AAAATCCTCAATAAATATATTATTCTTGATTAAGTATTATATAATCTTCGTAATTCAGAAATTATATAATTCAGAAATTTTATAAGAATACTTAAAAAAGTAGAATTATAACAATACAAAAAGCAATTATATCTCTATATAAATTTAAAATAAATTATTATGATTTTATTCTTTATAAATAATATACAAATTATTTATTACAAAAAGGCCGAAAAATTAATACGAATATTATTGAAAAAATCAAATCCATTCATAAATTATAAGATCTCAATAATATCAAATAATTCTTAAAAATCTATATCCTTTATAATTGTTTTAAAAGAAAATAGTAATTAATTTATAATATTTATATTAAAAAAATTCATTAAGAAATTTAAAATAATAAATAGAATAATAAGTTTTTTATTTTTTATTATAAAATTTAAAAAAAAAATACAAATCAAACTTTCTTTTATACAATCGAAACTTTTTTAAAAAAAACAAAATCAATACTTTATACAATAATCATCATCAAAACAAATATAATTTTCGTTACTTTTTAATTAAATTATTACTTAACAAATCTTACAAATAAATATATAAAAACTATTAATTACTACCTTTAATATATTTAGAATATTAAGTTCTTAATTATTGAATATAACGATAATCAACTTTTTATCTTTTTAAATATATCATTTATAAATGATTTTAATACTTATAAATTATCCTAAAAATATATTATATCCTTTTTCAATAATTTGATTATATAGAAAACAATTAAACAAAATATTATAATTATATCAATTGTAGAAATCGAATTACTTAATATCAAATATACATCAAAAGAAATTATAACAACCTTACAATTCTTGAAAAAATTTAATCTTATAATAAAGAAATTTATAATTATATTTTATAATATCAATAAATTATAAAATTAATAATCGATAAAAACAAATAAATCAATATAAAATAACATTATATTGATATTCAAAATATATAAATATAACAAAAATACCCCCAAAAGACCCCACGTAATCCACCCCTCTATATTTGAAATAATTATCAATAATCTTACTAAGAATTTTATATAATAAAAATTTGAATACCTTTATTTATTTTTAAACTTAAAAAATATAAATAACAAGATTATTAAAATCAAATAGATCATCCTTTAATTAAAAACTATTTATAAAAGAACTCAAGAATCACAAAAACAATTTAATATTCATTTTTATTCTTTCCTTTTCTTTTAAATTAAATCTTCCTTTTCAATTCAAACATTTTATATTCTATCTTATCTTTATCAAATAAAACCCTCAATAACAAATCTAATCTCTTTTTGAATAAAAAAACTACAAAGAAATCGATCTTCTTTTTTTTAATCAAAAACAATTTGGAAAATATAAAATCATTTTTCAATATAAAAAAACAATCTGAATAAATAATACAAATAACTTCAATATTAAATATAATCCTTATTACAATTCGATAATTTGAAAAGACTTATTATAATTAATAAAATTAATATAATTATAAAAAAAAATATAATTTAATCTTTAAATTTTGTATATAAATAATTATAAAAAAATATAAAAGATAAAAAGAGTTTAAAACTCCTTACAAAATGAATATTATAATTTCAATAAAAATTTTATTATCAAAGATTTTATATAATTAATATAAGAATAAACTTTAAATTTATTATATTTATCTTTAATTCGAAGTTTTTTTTATTTATAAATATTAACAATTTCCTTTTTTATATTAATATTCTTTTTTATAATAACTTTCTTTTCTTTTAACAAAAAATCAATATCGAACAATTTCAAAACTTTAATCTTTAATTCATAAAGAATATTCTTCTTTTCTCTTTTTTGAACAATTTATTCATCCTTTATTATTATATTCTCATTCAAAACTAACACAGATTATTTAAACATTAAATATCAAAAAAACAATATTCAAATAAAAACATAATTATAATTCATCTTTCGATTATCAAAATCCTTATAATTATAAAGAATCAAATTCTAAACAAAAGAACTTTTTTTTCGTTTAAATAAAAAAGTTTTCTGAATTTAAAAAAAGCTATTAATAAAATCATTATAAATAAAAATAATCAAATCAATTATAAAAATAACCTTTTTGAATAATAAACGAATATTAAAAATAAAAGAAATTATAAATTGAATAAAAGAATTCAATAAAATATTATCGAAATCAAAATTATCGAAATCATTTAATAAAACAACTTTGTAAATACTTTAATTATTATCTATTAATTCCGAATTAAAATATATAAACTATTTCTGAATCTATCATTTAAATATCAATTTTTGATTATCTTACAATAGATTTATTTATCGAAATACTTTTATTCACTTTTTCGATCTTTACAATTCTTTTTTTAAAGATTTATTATATTTAATAACAATTATTATTATCTTTAACAATCTTTACAATTTTTATTTTAAATACTTATTATACTTTTTAACAATTTTCTTCTTTTTCTTTTTCAATCTCTTCTTTTTTTTCTTTTTTCTCCTTCTTTTTTTCTCCTTCTTCTTCTTCTCTTTTTTTTTTTAATATTAAACTTTTTATTATTCAAAATAAAAGAAGAAATTGAATAATTATAATAAATAAAAAATTAAAAAATTAAAATTATTATACACTTCTTTTTAAATCATTAATACTCTAAATGAATTATAATTATTATATTATAATCTAATAACAATTATATTATTCAATAATTATATTATTTATTTATATATTTATTTAATAACAATTATATATAATAATATATTTTTCTGATAAAAGAATCTTTTCTTTTTACTAGAGGCCTGCGCCCCCCGACCTCTGGCTTTTCAAGAAAATCTAATGAAAATTTAAGATTTAAAAAGTTTATAATAATTTTAAATATTGAATATATCTCAAAATGTAAGCAGAATATCAACTTGTTTTTAATAATTGAAAATTAAAATATTTTATTTAAAAATAATAATTATAATATGATTTAAAACTATTATTTATAATAATAATAATATTATTATTATTATTATTATTATTATTATTATTATTATTATTATTATTATTATTATTATTATTATTATTATTATTATAAGTTGAATGAGATGAATTGAATGAGTTGAATAATTTCAAAGTTAAATAAATAAAGTTGAATTGAATATAAAAAGTTCCAAATTATATTTGTTTAAAATTGTAAGAGTTGTTTATATTAAGTTTTTTGTTAGATTTATTTATCAGGGTATTTTAGATCAATCAGATTGTCAAAATCGTAACTCATTTTTCGATCAATCATATCACAATCTTAAACAAATCTCATTTTCTACGATCTACATCAGGTAAATCTTGTGTACAGCAAGATTATAATGTCGACAAGTCGATAATCAAAAATTACAATTTCAAATTTTCTTACATATCTTTTATTTAATTACAAAATTATAATATAAACAAAACTTATATTTAATCAAACTTTTCAAAGAATATCATTCAATCACTTATATACTAATCTAATCAATCAAACAATTTCTTAAATTAATTATAATAAAAATCTGTATATAATCTTAATAAATCAAAGATTATTCATTCAATTCCAAATTTCGTTATTGAAAATCTTATATTCAAATATTTTACATTAATCATAAAACAAATATACTTATTATTGATAAATAAAAATTTAATAAAATCATTTCACTCTTTCAATTAATATATATATCATTATAAGATTTAGATTGAATTTCGATCTGGAAAATATATTACAAAAATTATATATTTTTATATATTTTTATATAATCTTTAATATTATAATACTCATTTGTTTATATTTTCCTTATATTTAATTTATTTTTTTATTAAAATAATCATTAATTAAATAATAAATTAGATCTTATATATATAAAACTCTTGATCAATAAAATTAAGAGTAAATTTATTTATTTTAATATAACTTTATATTCTCTTATATATTATTTCTGTTAAAATTGTTTATATACTTTGTAATTATATTATTTATAATAATATTTCTTTTAAACAAATTAAATTTAAAGATTTTGTTATCATTATATATAATGATGTTGAATTTAATACTTTTCATAGTATAAAATTATAAGAATTAATTAAAAGAATCTACTATTTCTCAATAGATAATAGTGAAGAGTTGTGGGTGGGGGCGCTTGAAGGCCTACGATTAAGTATAGGAGAAGAATAAATATTTATATCAAAAATCGCAATACCGTTTGTAACAAGAGACATTGCATTGTGTAGGTGCCCGCCAAGAGCTGAAAGACAGCATAAAGCCGCCCTGGTTTAAATTAGCTCTAGCACCTTATCATGAGCATGAAACCAAAAATGTATGCAAAGGATAGTAACTCAAGCATGAAGGAACGGGCACACACGGCTGGACGAGAAGGTCAAGTTTTGTCTCGAGGTAGAAATACCTACTGAAGCATCAATCTGAGTGATCATGGCCACGGATGAAAATCACATTTAGCGCTAGGCAATGTTCATCGAGATCGGACATCATGTTGATGTTAAGAACGGAACGAGAATGATGATACACATAAAAGTTAATGAAGGATGGAGGATAACTACATAACATGGTCAGTATGTGGCATTGATGTCTAAAATCAAAACACTATGAGGACACGCTCTTGGTCAAAGAATCCAGATGAGAAACACATGCTTCCATTTAGAGGAATGATTCTCTGGCAGTCTGAGAACATCAACGAGATTACACATTGTACCGGGACCTTCGCAGAATTTTGGAACTGGGTAAAATTCGCTTCACCAAGAACATCAGCTGTTATCTAGGCAACTAAAGATGACAATGAAATCCGGAATAGAGCCCGAGGCAGAAAATGGAGGAGGCGGTGACACGAGACATGTGAGAAAAGAAGAAAAGTGGCACCATCAAGGATATCGCATTAGTCATATGGGGCACTAGACAACAACACTGAAAAGACGCGTTCAAGCCAGAACAAGTGATAACGGTAGGAACGGAGATTATGAAGATGAAGAACTGTTTGTGTTGATGGTTTTGATTATCTCATGGACCAACCATGCCGGAATACCCCAATATCCTTATGATACAATAAACACCTGAAAGCAAAGAACCCATTCCCGTAACACACCCATCTTCCGACACAACAAGTCGAGGAAGAAAATTCATAATAGACGTAGAAAAGAACCGTAAACATGCAACCATTTTAACCACCGAAACCGTAGAGAGTACGTCCTTGGCGCTTGAGTGCGTAAACAACGTCGAGGGATGTGACTGTCTTTCTCTTGGCGTGCTCAGTGTAGGTGACTGCGTCGCGGATAACACCTTCCAAGAATGTCTTCAGAACACCACGGGTTTCCTCGTAGATCACTAAGTGAAAATATTAGACGCGTTATGAGAGGTGCGAAGAAGTGGTAACTTACTAGCTGAGATACGCTTGACACCACCACGACGGGCGAGACGTCTGATAGCTGGCTTAGTTATGCCTTGGATGTTGTCTCTCAAAATCTTGCGATGACGCTTAGCACCACCCTTTCCGAGACCCTTGCCACCCTTTCCGCCTGTAAAAGAGACGCGTTAGTAAATCGGACGTGACGAGAGGCAGAAGGCATGGATCCAACTGAATGACAGTGAGATGTAAGGCAGAGAGTGGGGAAGAGGATACTTACGTCCAGTCATGATGAATGTGGGTTATTAAAGAAGATTGCGTTTGGGGTTATTGGTATTTGATTGTTTGGAAGACTTGTTACGGTGTTGTAGAGAATAGAGTAACTTTGATAAGAAGAGTCAATACTTGGGAAGAAGTTCTGTAGCTCTTATCAAGAGATGCACTAACGGCCCTTCCGCATCACCACGCTAAAACTAAAAGACGCTAATACTAATCAGAATTAAAATCGACATTAGCCCATCCAGATTGGTAAGCATAGCGTCGAATTATGATTGGTCAAACGAGGAAAAGTAGGAACGACCGATTAATGTAATAAATCGGTAAGGGCGAAGGGAAAGAAAATAAGGCTGCAGAAAAGAAGGAGGAAGTGCTAGTTGTGCTAGACGTAGACTGAGGAACCGAGATATATTGTAGTAGTCTTTGTGTGTGTATATACTTAGGTAGAGTATTCATCAGGTGTTATTTTACAGCTTAGGATGGATCATAAGGTAGAATAATACTGTACCAAGTAGTATCCGAAATTCATTCATCAATAAGATTATCATGATCATCGTATGCTATTCTTCTCCTTCATCATCAATGGACGATAACTATAAGACCTTTTCCCTTTTACTCACTCTAATATCTAAATTCTAAATCCAAATAAATATATTTCTTTTATTCCTTATTATTTCCCCAGTATTTTCCAAACTTTCTTCTCCAAATCGGGTTGGGCTTGGCTGGGTAGTTGCATGATCATTGATGTGTGATTGCTGATCCTTGTTTGAAAAAATATCCACTTTGTGGCCCTCTTAAAATGTGAAATGAATTCTAATTGGTCGCTTAATTTTGAAAACAAAAGTTCTTTTTATCGAGCGATTTGAACAACTCAAAACTTCCTCTTTCCCATAGATTACACTAGCGTGTTTTTTTACACAGCACAGCCAAATCAATCACTCGCTAGCGTACTTTCGGATACAAATAATCGCCTTTCGCCCATTTCAATCTCTTTCCTTCTACATCATACAACCACAACTTCCATATCCACTTCAATAATTTCATCAATCCATAACAACCACATCACAATTCCATTAAATCATCAATAGATATTATCAAAAATGGCTCGTACCAAGCAAACTGCCCGTAAGTTATTTTCCCCATCTTTACTATCTGGTGACAATCAATACCTCATCGTCGCGTTCGGTCGCAAAGTTCTACATTGCGACCGGCAGCTATTGTTTCAACAACGCGACCTCTACCCCACCACAACAAAACAACGCAGCTTGATTATCGTTGCTAATACTCTATAGGTAAATCCACTGGTGGTAAGGCACCAAGAAAGCAACTTGCTTCCAAGGCTGCCCGTAAGAGCGCCCCCTCTACAGGAGGTGTCAAGAAGCCCCACAGGTAATTTCCCATTTTCTCTCCTGCCTCAACAATTACTGACCCTTTCAAGATATAAGCCAGGAACTGTCGCTCTCCGTGAGATCCGTCGTTACCAAAAGTCGACTGAGCTCTTGATCCGAAAGCTGCCTTTCCAACGTCTTGTTCGTGAAATCGCCCAAGACTTCAAGTCCGATCTCCGTTTTCAATCTTCTGCTATTGGTGCTCTCCAAGAATCCGTGGAGGCTTACCTTGTTTCTCTCTTCGAGGACACTAACCTGTGTGCCATCCACGCCAAGCGTGTCACCATCCAATCTAAGGACATCCAACTCGCCCGTCGTCTCCGCGGCGAGCGTGGTTAAATTTGGGTTTCTTTTTTGACTTCTCGATGTCTTCAGCTTGAAAGCGCTTCGGCTTTAGGTCGATTGGCAATGGCGATGGATCGGGTGGATGATAATGCTTTGGGGGTATCTTACAAGGGTTTTACGGCATGGAGTTCATTTTCATTTTATGGGGGACCTGCGTTCTTACAGGCTGTACATTATTCAGCCAGCGATGGTGCGCTGAGCTAATGACAACAGATAACAATTACGATTAGTTATCAATCTTTCAAAAATACATCCTTCTTTTGCTCATGCATGTGGATAATGTGACGTGACTCATTTTGGTCTTTTTGTAGAAGGCAATTGTGAGGCTTAATGTACCCGTGTTTTACAGGCTGGGATTGGTTTTACCTATACTCAGCTTGTGACTGGTAGCTAAGCTTTCAAATAGATGGCCCTCCTTGCTTCTCTACATTCACTGCCTTAAAAAAAAATCACTTTCTCGAATTCCGCAAGTCAAAAATTGACCGTTTGTTGGTTCGCACTTCCGCACTCTCCCGCCATCACCACTCTTCGTACGATCTGCATTGTTTTTGACTTCACCGCCACAGCTCCAACACTAGCTATCTACCAAACCAGGCTTGCTAATATCGAGGGCGCAGAAGCTATCTTTTGATCGTTTATTACCCTTGATGCAAAGGGGACACTGATTGGGAACGCTATGCTCTTTTCGAAAGACAAGTATGTTCGGGAGTTAATTCTATCCTTCATTTCTATATTAGACCATTGGAATTTTTTCTTTCATCGATCTGCTGAACAATCAGAACAGCAATCGATCGCGATGCATTGCTTGCTCCAGATACCATTTGTAATACTTTTGAGGAAGAAAAGCATGGAATTGTTCCTTTGCTCCTCATGCCATCTCGTCAGAGCATTGATTATCCTTTCCAGTCATACTTCACTAACCTTCTTAACAAGACATTCACTATTTGGGAAAAGCGCAGTATGCGTCTGACTTTTACTAGAGAAGATGGATATCATTCTCCATCTTCTATATCCATGATAGGGATGGACTCTCCATGCATCAGACAACCAAGATAAAACCGTTTATCGTTGTTTTGTCTTCCCAGAGTTGGAAAATACCAGTCTCTTTTTCGGGAGGTTTCCAGTCTGGCTGGGCAGAAGAATCACGAGGACATATGCAATCTGATGCATATACGAATGTCGACTTCTTTAATGCTCAAAGTCATATACTTCATCAACCTATCATGAGTGTTTTGTTTATAGCCAATCACCCGGACATGTCAGGTTATCTTTCCAAGTCCTCATCTGAATGGCAGTTACATATTTGTATTCAAAATACAATATCCAAACTTGTAAGACAATGCAAAAATGTAGTTGAAAAATCTTGCTGAATACCCGCTCGTATGCCTGCTAGGTAGTTCATTGATCATTGAGGTGGGCGAGTCAAACCAGATGTGGGGGAACTGCCACGGCTGATTGTTAGAGAATGAAAGAATGAAAGAATGGATAATTAATTACTAGATATGCCTCGTCCCTTTTCACATTACAATAATTCAATTTATAAAGAGAAAAACATGTACAGACCCCAAGAAATACGGACATAATAAACATCGCGTCGAGTTTATATGCAATATATACGATATAGAGGTACAATATAAATATAATAGGTAGTAAGATACCTGAAGCTGACTGCAGCACGGATACTGGTGCCGCTTTTGACCCCTACGACAGTTTTACTTCAACCTCAAATACCTACCTATACAAACAATCATTTTCGATCAGCAACATCAACAGCACCAACAGTGCTGCCTCTTCAAAAATGAAGTTCAATATTGAGTATGTTTTCATGAATTCCATAGCGTAGCAAAGAAATAATTACTTGAGCTAATGAAGGAGCTAGTGATTTGCCAGTGCTCTTTCCATATCCTAGGATATATCCAGGTAGGTACTCGCTCTCGCTCTTGATGGTTTGGATGCTGAATGCAAATTTCTAATTTATTATGTAGAACAATATGCGTGCGTTACCTCATTCCGCTGATTCGTAGCCTACACAAAGAATCTTTCATGCTAACCTATGATTTGGGCTCAGCTACATGTGTGATCTCAAAAGTATTTGTCCCTCACCTGCTCCTCGTCGGATCCCTCGTTGCTGATTATATTTCCCAGGAACGCTTGATGCCGGCGGCCATTGTGTCTTGGAGATGCCTTCAGGCACCGGCAAAACTATCTCACTATTGTCCTTGATCGTTGCATACCAACAATACTACCCAGAGCACCGCAAACTCATTTACTGCTCACGTGAGGAAGCCCGACCTGAAGATGAACAAAGCCATCATGCTAATAGGTATTTAGGTACTATGTCCGAGATTGAAAAAGCCTTGGCGGAATTAAAAGCTCTTATGAAATACAGGGCGGAACAACTTGGGCACCAGGAAGATTTCCGTGGATTGGGGTTGACCAGTCGTAAGAATCTGTGCCTTCATCCTTCGGTGAAGCGGGAGAAGAGTGGTGCGGTGGTGGATGCTCGCTGCCGAAGTTTGACCGCTGGTTTTGTGAAGGAGAAGAAGGAAAGGGGGGAAGATGTTCCTGTATGCATTTACCATGAGGTAGGTACTTTCGCTGTCGCATTGGTTAGCATTATATTGACGAGCATAGAATTTGGATCTCCTCGAACCGCATAATCTAATACCAAATGGAGTATGGACTTTAGATGGTATCATGAGATATGGGGAAGAGCATAAGCAATGCCCATACTTTACCTCCAGGCGAATGGTAAGTGGTGATGACCTTGCAACTTCAGCAACTAATGTGGTTAGATGTCCTTCTGCAATGTGATCATTTACTCGTACCATTATTTACTCGACCCTAAGATTGCCGAACGAGTTTCTAAAGAGCTGTCTAAAGATTGCATTGTTGTTTTTGATGAAGCGCACAATATTGATAATGTATGCATCGAATCCTTAAGTACCGATATCACGGATGATTCGCTTCGCAAGGCCACTCGTGGAGCAATTAACCTCGAGAACAAGATTTCGGATTTGAGGGATAGCGATTCCGAAAAGCTCAAAGATGAGTATGCCAAGTTGGTCGAGGGACTACATGATGCTAATGAAGCTCGAGCGGAGGATGCTTTTATGTCAAACCCCGGTTCGTTTGCATCATATCTCACCCCAAAAATACCTAGTTGCTCACATCCTTTTAGCTTTGCCAGATGATCTCCTCAAGGAAGCCGTTCCTGGGAACATCAGAAGAGCTGAGCATTTTGTCACTTTTCTGAAACGATTTATTGAATACCTCAAGGTGTGTAAAGTTCGGCCATGAGGAAGGGCCAATAGCTAACCCCAAGAAGACAAGAATGAAAGTCCGACAAGTCATATCTGAGACACCTGCATCATTTCTAGCTCACCTGAGGGAACACACATTTATCGAAAAGAAGCCTCTGAGATTTTGTGCAGAACGTCTTACATCGCTTGTGCGGACTTTAGAACTCACCAATATTGAAGATTATCAGCCACTTCAGGAGGTAGCGACATTTGCCACTTTGGTAGCGACATACGAAAAGGGATTTCTTCTTATCCTTGAGCCTTATGAATCTGACACCGCCGAAGTCCCAAACCCTGTCCTTCACTTCACGTGTCTCGATGCAGCAATAGCAATAAAGCCCGTCTTCGAACGTTTCAGTTCTGTGATCATTACATCAGGCACCATTTCTCCACTAGAAATGTATCCTAAAATGCTGGACTTTGAATGTGTTGTTCAAGAGTCTTATCCCATGACCCTTGCTCGTCGTTCGTTTTTGCCCATGATTGTCACCAGAGGATCTGACCAGGTTGCGATTTCCTCGGGGTTCCAAGTGAGAAACGAGCCTGCGGTTGTCCGTAATTACGGAAATTTGCTAACGGAAATGTCTAAGCTGACTCCAGATGGTATGGTCGTCTTCTTCCCATCTTACCTGTATATGGAGTCGATCATTAGTATGTGGCAAGGAATGGGTATTTTAGACGAGGTGTGGAAATACAAGCTTATTCTAGTTGAGACACCTGATGCACAAGAAACGTCTCTGGCATTAGAAACCTATCGTACGGCATGCTGTAATGGAAGAGGTGCTATTCTCCTTTGTGTCGCTCGTGGAAAGGTCAGTGAGGGTATCGATTTCGACCATCAGTACGGACGCACTGTGATATGTATCGGAGTACCATTTCAATACACCGAATCTCGTATCCTGAAAGCGCGGCTAGAGTTTCTTCGCGAAACATATCGGATTAGAGAGAATGATTTCCTATCGTTCGATGCCATGAGACATGCAGCTCAATGCTTGGGTCGTGTCCTCAGAGGAAAAGACGATTACGGAATCATGGTGTTGGCCGATCGTCGTTTCTTGAAGAAACGAACACAATTGCCAAAATGGATCAACCAGGCGATCCTTGACAGTGAGGTCAATCTGAGTACGGATATGGCGGTAGGAGCCGCGAAGAAGTTTTTGCGGAACATGGCACAGCCGTTCAAAGCTAAGGATCAAGAGGGCATTAGTACATGGAGCTTGCAGGATTTAGAGAGGTTTAAGGAGAAGCAATATGAGGAAACGCTTAAGGCTTTGGGGGGTGGCGGAAATGATGACCCGATGGATGGCATCAAGCAAGGTAATGAACAGACGGTCAGAGAGGATGAATATGGCATGGATGATGATGAAATGGAGGCAATGATGGAGTTAGATGCATAAACAGGATTTCGATGGTTGGTTACTTATTTACGCCTAGGGGAGATAATTATCAACTTGTAAGATAGCAGCGATATGGAAAAGAAAAACAAATCGCTTCAACTGGTATCTATTTTGGGGCATAAGAACATGAGATATAGCCGCCTCGTCGCGTGGGGTTTTGTTTCTAATTCATGCTCTTCGCCACGGTCCAAAAGCTGTCCATCTTTGACCGTGTCAAAGCATCTCGCGCTGCACTATCTGTCTCACACACTTTACTTTGCCACTTCCTGAAAGCCCTAGACTTCTGCTCTCCTTCCCATACCAGTTGGCATCTGTTCAAACTCATATCCTTTAGCTCTCCCTTCTCATCTTCTGCCTTTAACCAATCCTGTAATGCGTCTGCCTTTGTACCCTCCTTAATTCGCGTGGGCGAGTTCTCGGTCCAGTCTATTCGTTGCATCATAAGTTTTTTGTATTGCCGGATACTGTGCTCGCCGCCTTCGACAATCACCAAGTTAAATCTCGGATGCAAAATACAGATGCCTGTGAGAGCATGCTGTTCTGCGTTTTTAGCTATTTTAAATCTCTGACTACCGTTCGCAAGGTTGTCAATCTTAAACACCAAAGCATGAATACCCTTTTGAGCGTCTTTCTCCTGGTTTGCAGCTAATTTCTCGTGTCTCTGTTCTTTTGTTAACTTTCGTTCCTGATTCGTCTCGACATGCTTCTGGTGACGATCTGCAATTTCTCGGTTGACACGAGCTTCGACTGCAGTTGGATCCTTGACAGCTTCTTCCCCTAATACTCGCATAAGATTTCCCTTCTTGACCTTTGGAGGCGGTGCGGGTTCTAATCCTAGCCTGATCTTTGCTTGTTGTTCCTTCAATTCGGCCATCCGACGCTGCCTCCGTAATTTAGCTTGCTCTTTCGCAGTCAAAAACATAGCTTTAGGCGCAGGCGCATTCTTTTCTTGGGGTGGCTCGAGGAGAACCGGGTGCTGAACATATTCCGTAATAATGGAGTCTGGGGTTCCGATTTTGAGTGTCTTTGGACTCGAAATATCATCATAATTCTTGCCATCCACCAAGCCCTCATCCCACCATTCGATTTCTGGTGGTGCTTCCACAAGGAATTTCTTCTCGGTATCGATATCCTCGTCAATGCCAATCTTGCGTGATGACTCGGCGATGCGCTTTTTCATAGCCTCTAGGGCGGCTTGTCTCCGAAGTGCATTCGCTTGCTGTATATATTTGCCCTTCTGATTGAAAACTAGCTGCCTTGAATGTCTATTTTTGGGAGTCGCCGTTTGCCCACCCAGGCTCATGTCAAAATATGGATTATTGCGAATCTCTTCCGTGGAGGGCCCCGAAATATCGAGTTGTTTTCTAGGCTTCGCAGCCGCTTTTTCTTGTTGAGGACGAGCATTTCCGATGCTGGTTGCGAATTTGGGCGCGGTGGATTTTGAGGGTTTGTACTGTCCAAGGTCTTGCAGTGCTGGATGGAGATCAACATTCAAACCTCCTTTTGCAAGCATAGGATGTAAACCGGTATTCAATCCACCCTTTGCCTTACTGCCGCCGACTGCAGCTGCGACTCTAGCTTTCAATGATGCGAGCTTCTCGGCAGCTGACTCTGGCTTGCCAACACGGCTGGAGGAATCATGTCGAGGGGCCAGAATTGGAGAAGCTTTACCTCGATCCATATTGTTGCAGATATCCGCCTCTCAAATTTGTGTCGTAGAAGTTAGATGATGGCGCATCTCCCAGTATCATTAATTGTTAAATGCTCACACGCGAACTATGCCTGACAGGACCAAAAACCTCGAATTGTTGTGCACGTGATCATCGAACGGGGTTATCGTGGTTTCTTATCAATGGCGGGTCGGCTCGAAAAAAAAAGTTTCTCCGGCGAAAGGAACTTTTTCTTGTATTTACTCTGGAGTCGCGAAATCGCAAATTTCCAGTTTAATCAGACAACCTATGGCAGTATTTCTGCTTTAGTGTTAACTGTCAATCATAATGAATATCTCCCAGCCAGTTCCGTCGGCCATTGAGAGTGTCGACTTTGCATTCCTTTCTACGGCTGAAATCAAATCTCTCTCCGTGAAGAGGATAGAGAATCCTGTTACATTTGACAGTCTCCTTCACCCAGTCCCAGGAGGTCTTTATGATCCAGCCCTAGGTGCTTGGGGTGATAATAAGTACGGAAACGTCCGCTTAATCGCTTTGATGCTAACATTAAATAGCTGTACAACATGTAATCTCAGTTCCTTTTCCTGCCCGGGTCACGCAGGCCATATCGACTTACCCGCCCCGGTCTACCACCCTACTTTTATGGACCAGGTTCTGCGATTGTTGCGATCAAAATGCAAATACTGCCACCAGTTCAAGATGTCGCGCAAGGAGGTCAATCGATATGTTTGCAAGTTGCGCCTGATTCAACAGGGTCTGCTAAGCGCTGCTGAGGAGATTGATAATATCGAGGTCGCTCAACCAAAGGAAGGGGAAGAACCTGCTAGTGATTCCGATGAGGAGACTCCCGTCGACAGTGTCATTCGAAGGCGACTTGCATTTGTCAAAAAGGAACTCAAGGCCGCCAAGGCCTCTGGATGGGAGTGGAGAAGGGAAAAACATGAAGGTGTGGCAGAAGCACGCCGAGTTGTGGTCAAGAGCTTTATGAAAGCCATAACTGCAGGAAGGTTATGTGGAAATTGTCAAGGCATATCGCCCACTTATCGCAAGGATCGATATGTGAAGATTTTCGAGAAGTCCTTGAGCGTCAAAGACAAGGCCAAGATGGCCCAAGGCAGCTATCGAGCTGTGAATGCCGTGCAATTGGTTCATGGCGAGAAAAAAGACCGTGATGGCGATGAAGGTATCGCAGACATTGACCTGGAATCAAATGAAGACGAAGATGAAGGCGAAGGCGAAGGCGAATCCCTTGATGTCGATGGAGATGTGGTCATGGATGGCCCCGCCACCTCAAGCTCCAAACCTCGAGTCGCACCACTGCCACAACGATATGTTGATGCCATGGAGGTTAAAGCCTCTTTGACATTGCTGTTCGAAAAAGAGCAAGAAATATTGTCCCTTGTTTACAACTCTCGGTCATCTGTCAAGAAGCCATCTGTGGTTAAAGCAGATATGTTTTTCCTACAAACTTTACTCGTTCCCCCGAATAGATATCGCCCGGAAGCGAAGACTGGTGAAGGCGAGATTTCTGAGGCTCAACAAAATTCCCTGTACAAGCAGATTCTGAAAAGTGCTGATACCGTGAACCAAATTTATCTCGATATCCAGAATCCCGACAGGCCCTCACAAAGCGCAACATTGAGAAAGAGAGATTTCTTTGATCTTCAAGAAGCATGTTGCTCGATGCAAGATGCTGTCAATTCCTTGATTGACAGAGATCGAAACCCTATCCAAGGTGCAGCCGGAAAGAAGAACGAGGATGGTATCAAGCAAAAGCTCGAGAAAAAGGAGGGTCTTTTCAGAAAGAACATGATGGGAAAACGTGTTAACTTTGCTGCCCGCTCCGTCATTTCTCCAGACCCAAATATCGAAACGAACGAAATCGGTGTTCCTCCCGTTTTCGCCAAGAAGCTCACATACCCTGAACCTGTCACGAGCCATAACTTCAAGGAAATGCAACAAGCGGTCATCAACGGTGTTGATAAATGGCCTGGTGCTGCTGCGATCGAGAACGAGAATGGTCAAGTCATCAATCTTCGTTCGAAGACACAGGATGAAAGAATGGCGCTGGCGAACCAATTGCTTGCATCATCTAGTAACGGAGCCAGCGGTGCTCGCAATAAGAAGGTCTATCGACATCTTACTAACGGAGATGTTGTGCTCATGAACCGTCAACCAACCTTGCACAAGCCTTCCATCATGGGTCACAGAGCCAGAGTACTTCCAGGAGAGAAGACAATTCGCATGCACTACGCCAACTGTAATACCTACAATGCAGATTTCGATGGAGACGAAATGAACATGCATTTTCCACAAACGGAGGTTGCCCGAGCAGAAGCGCTACAGATTGCCGACACCGATCACCAATATTTGAGTGCTACCGCCGGTAAACCACTGAGAGGTTTGATTCAAGATCACATTTCCGTATCCGTTTGGATGTGTAACAAAGATACATACTTTGATCGAGCTACTTATCAACAACTTATCTATAATTGTATTCGCCCAGAAAGTGGACATATTGCTGGCGAGCGCATACAGACTGTGCCCCCTGCGATCATTAAGCCAGTCGCACGCTGGACAGGAAAGCAGGTAATTACAACGATTTTGAAAAACATCACACCCATCAACTGCGCCCCGATATCTCTCACAGGAAAAACACAAACTCCGGCTGATCGATGGGGCGCGGATTCAGAGGAAGGTGTTGTTCTTTTCAAAGGCGGTGAATTCATCACTGGAATTTTGGACAAGGCACAAATTGGTCCTGCGGGGGGTGGTCTCATTCACTCTGTTCATGAGGTTTACGGTCCTGCCACTGCTGGAAAGCTTCTCAGTATTCTAGGTCGTTTACTGACGAAGTACCTCCACATGAGGGCATTCACTTGCGGAATGGATGATTTGAGGCTCACTCCCGAAGGCGAAAAAATACGTACGGAAACTCTGATGGATGCTGGTAAGATTGGTCTTGAGGTTGCTGCTAAGTATGTATCTCTCGAAGACCAAAAGCCTACCGGTACCGATCAAGAGCTGCTCAATAGGTTGGAGGATGTTATGAGAGATGATAGCAAGCAGGCAGGTCTCGATGCGTTGATGAACGCTCGTGCTGGAAAGCTTTCCACCGCGATTACCAATGCATGCCTTCCGCAAGGCTTGGTCAAGCAATTTCCGCACAATCAAATGCAGAATATGACAGTTTCTGGCGCCAAGGGTTCTGCGGTCAACGCCAATCTTATTTCCTGTAATTTGGGACAACAAGTCTTGGAAGGACGTAGAGTGCCGTTGATGGTGAGCGGAAAATCACTTCCATGCTTTAAGCCGTTCGAGACGCATGTCAGAGCAGGAGGTTACATTGTCAATCGTTTCTTGACTGGAATACGACCACAAGAATACTACTTCCACGCAATGGCTGGTAGAGAAGGTTTGATTGATACTGCAGTCAAAACTTCAAGATCCGGGTATCTACAAAGATGTCTGATCAAGGGTATGGAGGGTCTTAAGGTTGAGTATGATACGTCCGTGCGGGATTCTGATGGGTCCATGATTCAATTCATCTATGGTGAAGATGGACTGGATGTGACGAAGCAAAAGCATTTGACCGATTTCAAGTTCTTATTGCAGAATCTCATGTCGGAGCTTTCTCAATTGAATTATGGCGACCCACGCTATGATACAATCTTTGAAAAAAAGGAAATCATCATCAAGCGGATGAAGAAAGCCTTGAAACATGCGAAAGCAAATGATCTAAACGGTCCAGATCCTGTTCTTTCTGAATACAATCCCGGTAAATTCGGATATGCAACGTCCGAGAAATATTTCGAGACTTTAACGAACTACATGAAGACCAATCCGGATGGTCTGGTTAAGGACAAAGAACATCCAGATGGTGTCGGACCAAGGAAGGCTTTGGAGCCTGTTCTTGTTGCCAAATACTTGAAATCTGTCGTTGAACCTGGTGAAGCTGTCGGTATTGTTGCTGGACAATCTGTGGGTGAACCTTCCACACAAATGACGCTCAACACTTTCCATTTGGCTGGTCACTCTACCAAGAACGTCACGCTTGGTATCCCCCGTCTCCGTGAAATTGTCATGACGGCAAGTAATCATATCTCAACGCCATCAATGACATTGACTCTCAACGAGGAGCTAACTCCAGACGAATGTGAAAAGTTTGCCAAGTCCATAAGCATTCTTTCTCTGGCCGAGGTTTTAGATTGGGCTTCCGTCAAGGAGCGAATTGGACGTGGAGTTGCCTTTCAACAAGCCAAGATCTACGACATCCATATCAAGCTCTTCCCTTCGAAGGAATACTGTGAGACTTACGCCATTGACATCGATGATGTCATCTTTACACTGCAGCGAAGATTTACACAGAAACTTCAATCTCTTACACGCAAGGCTCTTGGAAGGAAGAAGATCGAAAAGGCGGGAAAAGCAGGTGCAAATACCGCTGCAGTACCGGAGATTGGTAAATCTGTTGGTACGATAGAAGAAGCTAGACCGGATGCTGAGAGAGAAATGGGCGAAGATGACGATGATGACGATGGTGAAGATGATGCAACCAATGACAAGCAGAAAGCGAATCGTGCAGAGGCGGTCAGCTACGCCGCAAACGATGACGAGGATGACGCGGTCCAAGCACAAAATGCTGAGCCGGAAGACGTCGAGGACATGGAAGATGAAGGCATTGGAGGCAGTCCACGTGCACCGCAAACGGATGACGAAGATGAGGGAAATGATGACAATGGAGAACGTAGAAAGCGCAAGATGAACGCTGCTACAGAGGAACTCGAAGCTCAAGTAATGAAGCGCTGCCAAGATATTACTCGCTTCCGCTTCGACCAAGAGAATGCGGAATGGTGTGATATTACCCTCGAGTATGATGCCGATGTTCCTAAGGTTCTTATGCTTTCCATTGTTGAAGAAGCTCTTCGCTCCTGCCTCATCCAACATATCGCGGGCATTGGATCATGTGCCTATGATGGGGACAACGAAGTCAAGGACCCTAAAACAGGAAAGACTGTTAAGGTACCAGTGGTTCACACCGAAGGTGTCAACCTCAAGGCAATGCAAAACTATGCCGCATTTATCAATCCTAACACGATATCGACCAATGACATCGCAGCAATGCTCGAGAATTATGGTGTGGAGGCCTGTCGATCAACCATCGTCCAGGAATTGCACAGCGTTTTCGCCGGTCACGCTATCCAAGTGGACATGCGCCATTTGAATCTGATTGCAGACTACATGACCAGAGGTGGTGGTTTCAGTCCATTTAACCGAAATGGAATGAAGGGCAGTGTCAGTCCTTTCATGAAGATGAGTTTCGAGACGACTGTTGGTTTCTTGGCGGATGCAGTCGCGGAGTGTGATTGGGATGACCTGGCCAATCCAAGTAGTAGGATTGTGATAGGAAGGATTAGTAAGGTTGGCACTGGAGCTTTTGATGTTCTTACCAAAGTGCCAACGGGAAAGACGGAGGATGAGGTGATGGAGGAGTGAGTACTAATTAAGTCTGGAGTTGGGAGGTTGCTAGCTTTTGCTTATTTGGCGTTCTATTGCTGGCATAATGTGAAAAGTGTATTGGTGTATCATATGATGAAATGGAATAGAATCTACTTAGCCTGAACTTGCACCAACTCGTATGGGGAGATATAACGCACGACCTGTTATTTTGTCATTCAGCTGAATATATAGGGCACAATCTAGGATTAATGGTACGTGATAGAACGCGATGAGATTACAAAGCGAAGCTTCATATCGCTAATCGAATGCTCCTAAGCTGGGAAAGAGCAATGAAGTAGAGGAAAGAAAGAAAGAAAGGGAACGATGGCTTGAATTCATATCCTTTATCTCCCTCATCTTCATGGACCATTTCTAGCCGCTCGACCGAAATATGAGCGTCAATACCACCATCCACCACGCCTTTCTCAAAACATTAGCTTCACTGTTGAATTGCGCAGCAATCGCGGTTCAACGCTTTGTACCGCTGGCACCTGCAGTCGTTGTACTTGCCCCGACAAACAAAATACTTTCCGCTACACTTCTACCAGTTGTACTCGTAGCTGTCAATATGCTCGCAGCATTAGTCAAGCTACACATTTGTGCCACATGTTTACTCCTATTTCTTCGGTCCGGTAACACTAGTAAACTAGTATTCGGCGATCCTCTTTCTCTGCCCGATCCTGAAACCAACCTCGATTTCGAATCCACCACCATTTGAGAACCCGCCGCACTCGAAAACCCTACAGTCTCTGCACCACTTGCAAACGATTGATCTCTCGTGGTGGTATTCCTGTACACATTGTCCGCTTCCCAATACTGCGTTTTCAGCTCATTGTATCTAAAGACCTTGCATGTCATACGTATCTGTTTTCCTTGTAGAACAATTTGCAATTACTGATTTTCTGGATATATTGTAAGGCTAATGAAGGATGAATCGTCTTGGTGCATGTTGTTTCGGAAGTTGTAGGGGGAGCAGGTTCCTTGAATGGTACTTATTTACTTCATGGTTACACTGAGCTGGAAACCTAACGTGGAAAAGAAGACTTCAGGCACATCAGGCATTGCGCAGGTGAGCGAATTTTTTCCTTGTAAATTGTTCTACCAAAGGATTCTCTTCGACTAACGCTCCGGCTATTCATGCTTACTGGTGTATACAGTGTGATCATAAAATGGGAAGAAAGAATATATACTCCGGTAAAAGTGTTTTGTCTTCAAAGTACAACTTTGATACCTTGTAGACTGATGTGAGGTTGGGGTTAGCCACACCATTTTGCATGAGGCTATTTTCACTATGCTAAGAATTGTAAGTGCGATAGGGGCTCTCTTGCAACAATATGAAATCTCGAAATTTGACCGTTGTAGTGATGTCGAGGTACGCCAGAGAACTACTCAAGGAGTGTTCCCACTACTCGCAACATCATCGCTAGAATCTGCATGCAAACCTTTTCAGAACCTTGCTGATGTGCATAACCGGCCATGATAGACAGAAGGAAAAAATTGCACTGTTGTAACATAATAGTGTATGCTGGAATACACTCCGCAACAACTCATATTTATAGTAAATTCACAAGGAATTATCGCATTTGTGCGTCTATTGTTCCAGACTAGCAACAGTAGGATCCCAGGTACAAGAATAGTAGTCCCCAGTTTCCAGCCCCTCCATTTCCTCTGCTGTAAGCTCAAAGTCATAAATATCGGCGTTTTCCTTAATTCTGCCGGGGGTAACAGTTTTCGGCAAAGGGACAAAACCCTTTTGTAAACTCCATCTCAGTAGAATCTGGGCCGGCGTTTTGTTGTACTTCTTGGTGAGCGGTTGAAGAAGTTTGGAGTCATGTCTCTCGCCACGGACAAGAGGGGAGTACGCCTCTGCTACAATGCCTCGCTGCTGACACCACGAAATGATATCTGATCGAGCGAGCCACTAAGTTTGAAGTTAGCCTCCAAGCAATGAAAGTTTCTCCAATCCTTGGCCAGGTAGTTGTATACATGGCCAAAAAGCATGAGTGCCGGATTTTAAGAAGAACAAATCACATGACAGCCTACCGGGTGGAGCTCCCACTGGCCAACATCAATCACACCACCTCTGCCCTTGCCCCTCTCCTCTTCGAGCTCTTTTATGTAAACTTCCATTTCATCCAGATGATGGACACCGTAGTTACTAATACCAAGACTGCGGATCTTGCCTTCTTCCTGAGCCTCCACAAGAGCCTTCCAAGCACCTTTACGAGCAGCTCGTCCTCCGTATGGAGCATGAATGAGCATGAGATCAATGTATTCAAGTCCGGTCTCCATAAGCGTTTTGGCAACTTGTGCTTTGGTATTCTCATGGCTCAAGGAGCGAGGTGGAATTTTGCTAGTAAAGAAGATATCCTCACGAGGAATACTTGATCTTTGTATGGCGGCAGCACAAGGACCTTCATTTCGATATGCTGCTGCCGAATCAACCTGCGTCATGTTAGAGGAATGACAGATGCCTTTTCTCTGGGACTCTCCTTACATGTCGATAGCCTGCATCAAAAGCCTTGGTCACTAGATCTTCGCATTGAGATGCTGGACTAAGTTTGACATCAGTTTAGCTCATAGTTTGATTGTAGGGTATTTCCCACGTTTGATAGACTCCATAGCCTAGGATAGGAATTTCATATCCCGAGTTCATCTGAAGTTTCGAATTAATATTGAACTTCGACATACTAATGCTGCACTGAAAGTTAGGACCAAAGTCTCAGGTGAACAATATCAGAAAATGGAGTAGGAGCTAGAGTAACAGTGTCATTTAAGAATTTGCAAGTGGGATAACGGAAACACAGTCCAATTGTACGTAAGCATGTCAAAACACCTCGGGTATGACAAAGCTTTTGACGCAAGGGAGCAAATAGAAGATATATCGAGAAAGACACTCATCACGCAGAACGTACTTTTTTAAGGGGACAATAAATGACCTTGAATGAGTAGGCTTAATGGATGTATTAAAATGATTTTTAATGATATTGAGATGTGATGTCAACGCAGATCTCATGATGCGGGGGATTTAAGTTGTAAAGATAACAGAAGGAGAATAAGACATTTTTGGAAATCAATTTGAACGAATTTGATGTCTTTCCGTGATTATATATTGAATCTCGAGACTGCAGATCTAGAGACGTCCTACACCTACCTAAGATTCCCCATCGCTTAACTCCTTAGGCCGAAAACGAGAGGGGTATGTCACGTGAGCTCAGTCATCGATATCCCGCATCGTTTACGTCATGCGCCTCGTTGAAAAAATTAATGTTTCTCGTATCAGTATCAGTCCTTACTCACCAATGTAAGGTTATATGAATCCAACACTCGAAAATTTATACCCATGGGAAATCTTTGAATACCTTCAAGTTACTTACACTGATAAGACATTCAAACCTTTGAAATAGTTTTAGTATTACTCTGGCTGCACATCACATACCAAATACCTCGCCATCATCTAATTAGCCCTCGCCTTGAGAGATCATCTTAGACCCTTTTTCTTCTTCACATTACCTAGTAAATGTTTCCAACATTGCGACACAATCTACCACAAATTTGCAAATTTCACGACACAATCTACTTGAAAGTACCATAGTATTGAATAGATCAAACCTGCAGACCCAGAAGTTATGCGCCTTATTAAACAAAATATAGAGCGTGATGGCTCTGGTACCATCACTCTTCTCCCAGAAGAACCAGAAGATATGGTCGGTACATTCCTCATGGTGGGATTTAAACATTCATCCTAATGCATTACAGTGGCACGCGTATAATCTCATAGCACCCACCGACATCTTACGCGCCACCGCCATCCGAAAGGTCTCTAAGGAATCCAGTACTGGAAGCACATCCACGACCCGCGTACACCTCACATTATCCATTAGTGTAACAGCGATAGATTTTGATCCGCAAGCCGGTCAATTACACGTCAAAGGCCGCATATGCGAGGAAAATATGTGGGTCAAAGTAGGCGCATTCCATACTCTCGATCTCGAACTGCAGCGAAATTTCACATTGGAGAAATATGATGGATGGGATTCCGTCGCCCTAGATGTTGTGAAGGAAGCGGTGCGGGAAGATAAAGAAGGGGTGGTGCCTGCGGTCGTGATGCAGGAGGGAATGGCCAATATATGTTTAATCACCGAACACCAAACCATCCTCAAGCAGAGAATCGAAACAGGAATACCGAAGAAGAGGAACGGGATGGCGGGGGATCACGATAATGGAATCCGAAGATTTTACCAAACAACACTCGAGACGCTACTAAGACATGTAGATATCACTCAACCACGACCATTACTACTTGCGAGTCCTGGGTTCGTGGCACAAGGTTTTCAGAAATATATACTAGATGAAGCATCCAGGACGGGAAATAAAGCGGTACTGGCCAATAAAAAGAATTTCGTGGTGGTGCACAGCAGTTCCGGTCATCTTCACAGTCTAAACGAAATCCTCAAAAGTCAAGAAGTGCTAGCCAAACTCAGCGATACCAAATATGCCCGTGAAACCCGCTTCATGGATGAATTTATGACACTTCTCCGCAGAGATGACGGAAGAGCCTGGTACGGTCCAGCCGAAGTAGAGAAGGCAGTTGAGAAGGGGGCAGTAGGACGAGGGGGCGGAGTTTTATTGATAAATAATGAGCTATTTCGAAGCCAGGAGATTCAAGTCAGAAAACGCTGGGTTAGGCTAGTTGATAAGGTTAAGGAAGAAGGGGGAGAGGCGAGGATTTTGAGCAGTGATCATGAGAGTGGAAAGAGACTGGCGGGATTAGGAGGTATTGCAGCGATTTTAACGTATCCATTGGAGGATTTGGATGAGGAAAGTGAGGGTGAAGAGGAGGACGACATTCCCGTGAAGGAGATGCAGGGCGTGGCTATTACATAGAGGCAGGGAGGACAAATGGAGGATAAGGGGTTATATGTTATAGATATGACCTCATAATCTGGTCTCGCAGCAAGAGAATAATGTGCAATGTTACTTTACATTTAGAACCATCTGCTCCAAACGATATATCCACATTTAACGCATCCAGTTGGATTACCAGTCGAAGAACTCTCATTCAAACCTCCACATTAAAGAGCATCAAAGTTCAAATCAGACGTCCAACATTAATGAGACATCGAAATGATCATTTGTTCATTCCAAACTACCTACTCGAGTTTGTACATAAACGCAAATACGATCTGATATCATCCCAACCCATCGGACGAATTGCTCAATTCTCAAGCTAGATATGATCTTTCAACACTCTCAAGCTCATCATATTTTCACCGCCTATTATGTCTTAGCAGCAATTTCCCGGGTACTTGTAGAAGAAAAAAGGAAAGATCCTTTAGAAATCTGGGTGTAGTATTATCTTTAACACTTTTTATTTCATTTCTTGCTTGAGATATTAGAACAGTGATGAGAGTAGTGTGAATTAGTATTATTGTAACTAATATTGAAGCATTTGATATTACTTTAGTAATCTTCCATTTAAATTATAATATTATATACTTTAATACATAATTATAATTATATTTTAATAAGTCTAGTACTCAACTTTTGAAACATTTTTAATTTTGATCATCTTTAATTCAGATCACTCTTTTATATCAAAAATCATGATTTTCATCTATTAATAACTTTATAATAAATAAACAAAATTTAATGAAATTTGAATTATAAATTTATTATTGTCGGCTTGCCGACTTTATAACCTTATTATATGCGAGGTTTACCCGGTGAGTGATGGAAAATGAGAAACTTGTTTAAATGAATCGTGATCTTGATAATCTGATTGGTCTAAAATACCCCGGTAAATACCCCGGTAAATAATCTAACAAAAAGCTTGATATAAGTCTTATAGTCTTAGATAAATCTGATTTGGAGCTTTTTTCAATTTAACTTTATTAAAATCATTTAATTTTTTTAAAATTATTTAATTTTTTTTAATTCAACTTTATTTATTTAATTTATTTTATTCAATTCAAAATAATAATAATAATAATAATAATAATAATAATAATAATAATAATAATAATAATATAATAATATTAAATAGTATTATTATAATGTATAAGAATCTTATTGTTACGAAATCATTTTATAAAATGTTATAAAGTAACAATCAACCTGTTTTTATAAGTTTGAACCTTTTTGAAAAACAAAGCAATTTGTATATAAATTTATATAATAATTGATTTATATGATTTCTTTATTTTTAGTAAATTTAGATATATAATTTGATTCTTATTATATGATGAAGTTTTGAAAAATTTATATTTTTAAGAATTTCAAAAAGTCTATAAAAGTTTATACTTTTAAAGGCTTTCAAAATAGATTAATATATAATTAAAATAGTCTTATAATTTAGAAGTTTTATATTTAATTTAATTATCAATTAGTTTATTTATATTCCAATTGATTTAATAATGAATTTATTTTCAAATGAATAATTAATGATTAATAACTTTAATTTACAATTATTAATTATACAAAACCTCAGACAATCATTACCTCGACCAGATCGTTACACTTATAAGAGCTGAATAAACAAAGTTAATGTCACGATTTACGATTAAGATAAGGATATGTTGAGAGGCAGCAGTCAACTTGTCCACATGAGCTTAGGCCTTATTGAAAAGCAAGGCGATTCGTATACAAATTTGTATGGTAATCGCCTCATGTGGTCTCCCCACCTTTAGCAAGCTCGGACATATAGTCTGATCCTAATCACGTAATAAGGAGCCCTGGGAGCTTCGAAAGCTCCTAGAGCTCTAGGGCTCCACAAAGCTCCTTTACATTCATTAGTATATAGTCAGAATAATTTCATAGTTTAGGAGCTTCGTGCTCAACTTAGTTATCAATTAGTTTATCTACATTCCAATTGATCTAGTAATGTATTCATCTTCGAGTGGATAACCAGTGATTATTAGCCTTAACCTACAACTACCAACCATACGAAACCTCAGGCAGCCGCTGCCTCGACCAGATCGTTACACTTTATTAATATTTTTGAATTTTGTAAAGATTAAAAACCAGAGGCCTGCACCCCCCGGACCCCTAGCTTTTCGAGAAAGTTGTAACGATCTGACCGAGGCAGCGGCTGCCTGAGGTTTTGTATGATTGATAGTTGTAGATCAAGATTAATAATTATTAGTTATTTATTCGAAAATGAATATATTATTAGATCAATTAAAATATAAATAAATTAATTGATAATTAAATTGAATACGAAATTTCTAAATTATAAAACTATTTTGATTATATACTAATTCATTTCAAGAACTTTCAGAAATGTAGATTTCTGTAGACTTCTTGAAGTTCTCAAAAGTATAAATTCTTTGAGGTTTTATTATATGATTAGGATTAGATTATATATCTGAATTCGTTGAAGGTAGAAAGATTATATAAAGTAATCATTATACAAATTTATATACAAGTTATTTTGCTTTTCAAGGAGGTCTAAGTGTCACGATTCACGGTTTTCTTTATAGTAGTATTATTGACATCGGTGATTTATAGGCCGACTACAGGGGGGATGTGATTTAACCGTTGCTTTTGGGGGTCCTGATTACCTAAGCCTAGGACCCCAGGATTTCTAGGATAAGTATCCTAAACAACCATAGTAGAATAGGACAAGTGTTCTATCTAATTGATTGTAATGGGATTATTATTTTAGAGGATATTGTATCCTAGGATTATGGTTCCTAAAGGGAAAGCTCCTGGGACAAGTGTTCCAGGAAAGGAAAGGCTTTGGGATATGAGAGGTTTCAGGATCAGTTATGTGATATGCTAGCTCTGCTAGCCAGCTAGCAGAACTAGTATTACAGGAATGCTAGCTGTGCTAATCAGCTAGTATAGCTAGTATAGGAAAAGAGATTAGTATATAATCAGAATAGTTTTATAGTTTAAAAGCTTCGTACTCAATTTAGTTATCAATTAATTTATCTACATTCCAATTGATTTAGTAATGTATTCATCTTCGAATGGATAACCAATGATTATTAGCCTTAACCTACAACTACCAACCAGACGAAACCCTGAGGCAGCCGCTGCCCCAACCAGATCGTTACACTAAGCTTATAAGGATAAGTTGATTGTTACTTTGTAATATTCTATAAAATGATTTCGTGACAAAAGTCTAGTAAAATTTAAGTTTTAAAAGTTTATAATAAATTTAAATATTAAATATATATATTAAAATGCAGACAGAATATCAGCTTGTTTTAATAATTAAAATTTAATAATATTATTATAAATATTCTTATTATAAATGTTATTATTATTATTATTATTATTATTATTATTATTATTATTATTATTATTATTATTATTATTATTATTATTATTATTATTATTATTATTATTATTATTATTATTATTATTATTATTATTATTATTATTATTATTATTATTATTATTATTATTATTATTATTATTATTATTATTATTATTATTATTATTATAATAAGTTAAATAAGATAAATTGAATAAATAAAATTGAATTGAATAAATAAAGTTGAATTGAATGATTTCAATAAAATTAAATGATTTCAATTGAGTTGAATTAAAAAAAACTTTAAATCAGATTTGTTTAAGATTATAAGACTTATATCAAGCTTTTTGTTAGAGTTTTTATCAGGGTATTTTAGACCAATCAGATTATCAGGATCACGATTTATTTCTCGATCAATCATATCACAACCTTAAACAAACCTCATTTTCTATCACCTACCGGGTAAACCTTATATACAACAAGGTTATAAAGTCAGTAAGTCGACAATTACAATATTTTAATTAAAAGAATTTCTATAAAATATATTTAAAATTAAATTGATCTATATAATCAATTATAATATAAATATTTGAAAAAAATTTATAATTTATTTTTAATTATTTTTGTTGAAAAATTATTCAAGATTTTAAAGATTTTGTAAATTTGTATATAAATTCTATTTAAATCAAAAATCACAAAATTTAAGATTATAAATCTCAATAAAATTTCTAGAATTGAATTATATTTATATAATGAATTTATGATTCAAATTTGATTGAATTCTATTGATTAGTTGTAAAGTTATTAATAGCTGAAAATCATGATTTTTGATTATCAGCTTGCCGACTCTATAACCTTGCTGTACACGAGGTTTATGTAACGATCTGGTCGAGGTAATGATTGTCTGAGGTTTTGTATAATTAATAATTGTAAATTAAAGTTATTAATCATTAATTATTCATTTGAAAATAAATTTGTTATTAAATCAAATAGAATATAGATAAACTAATTGATAACTAAATTGAGCATAAAGCTTCTAAACTATGAAAATATTCTGATTATATATTAATCCCTTTTACACTCTTAAAGGCTTTAAGGAGTTTAAGGGAGCTTATGCTCCATTATATAATCTTCATCCTGATAGGCTAATCCTAGCAATCCTACCCTATTGGAATTGCTTCAGGATAATCTCCTTCCTAGAATAGTTGATATCCTAATATAATTATTCTAGGATAAATATCCTAGGATAATTTTTATTCTAGTTTATTTCGTAGAGTTAGGATACTTGTCCTATTACGTTATAGTTGTCTAGAACACTTGTTCTAGGATTCCTAGGTTCCTAATCGTAGCGATAAGGAACCACCTTGTAGTCGGCAGCTAAATCACCGACTCTCATAATACTACTATAATCTAAACCGTGAATCGTGACAGGTAGCCGGAAAGTAGGGTACTAGACTTATTCAAAGGAATCCACTGAATTCAGTATTTCCGTATATTATACATAATGTTATCAATACTATAGAATTCGATATTACAATCTCCAATACATATTGAAAAATGCAATACGTCACTGTAGTTGGGGGGCTAGGAATTACATCGTACACTACTCCCATCACTGGCCTAGAATGAGATATGCCCGTGATGTACGAGATGAAATATTCAACAGAATCAAAGCTGAGATACATTCGTAGCTAAGTAAAGAAGGGATTAAAACACATTGTTAAATGCTCAGATTTCAACCTAGAGCTCATGAAGCATGGCCGATTACTCTACAGATGATAGTTGATCAGAGATGAATGGAAAGTAAGGCTGTAATTACGGAGTGAGACTAAATCAGATTGCACGAGATGTGATGTAATTAGAGGGATTGTTACCAGGTAAGATTACTATCAGTTATAAACATAACACAATTGAAGAGAAGAAATCCACTGTGCTTGACTTTTAAATTGAGTTTTTGTATACGAGAGGACGGAGTTGTTGATTAGTTGTAATGGTAGAAGGTAGGTGCATAGCCTGGTTTGTATTCACTGTATATATTACCAATACTACTGGATCCGCACATGTGCCGAACAGCAATTACAACTGATAATATACCCTGATATGTAATATATCTCCCAAAGTTCAACTGAAAATACAAATAACCTCAAGCTTGGACAAAACATACAAACCGCTCTTCTAGGCTTACAAAATAGAACCTTCCTATGACGTCTTTATCTACAAGTGCAATACAACAGATGACCTAGACTAGAAGTAGCCCAGTACAACCAAAAAAACCAACCTAACCTCAACCAGGTGGCCGATACGGCTTATATGTCTGCGTAGGCTGAGCAGCCGGATGATAAGTTTCGGTTGTCCCTGTCCGCTTCATGCCCTTTCTAGATGGTTCTCCCCACCCCAAGTTCCCAAGTTGCTCTTTAAAAGATGGTTTAGTCTGACCAAGATGACTAGCATTCTAATCGGGTGAAGCAGACTGACTATCATTTGCATCTGGGAGTCTATATGCTTTATAAATGCGGTTTGGCTGACCTCCCACTCCTCCTCTCGTTCCAGAATAAGTTTTTGACCTGGTGGCTCCGAACCCACCCTCGATAGGACGTTCTATGGAACGCGGGAGTGGCGGCGGCAGGAGCTTATCCTCAACATCCGGTCTCCGTGGTAGAGGTTCCCCAACTAGTTCCTTAAATCCTAGTCTTATAGGATCTCCCTCCGTCATAAGTTCATGCGCATTCTTTTGTCTTTTTCGTGCCTGAGCACTGGGTGCATGAACATTTGCCCTTCTAGCGATTCCCTGACCGATAGGGGCATCCACAAAGTGATCCGAATAATAAATACACGCATCGAGTAGCTCATCTCCCGCCGGGTCCCAGGAGAAACCCTGCGGAATTGCAGGATAATCCAGGACACTTGGATTAGTTCCTCGGCCTCTTTCCGTTTCCCATATATTATTCACACAAAATTTGAAATATGCGGTGTCCATATCTTTAGTTTTCCTTTGAAGATCTACATTATTTAAATAGATTCTGCAGATAATATCAAAAATTGCTGTCAATTGCTCTTCTGGTCGGGGGTGTTTTCGCAAAGTTGTCGCCTGTGGCGCAGGTATCCGCATCCAGCCGGTAGGATTGATTAGCATTATCCCATAACCGGGATAACTGTAACTGTTGTCAATTAGCAAACCTGTGAGAATTGAAGAATGAGAAAAGTTGAACACCATACTAGAACAGTTCATTTCTTGTGTTTGCCACGAGAAGAAAGGTTTTCTATTTTACATTTGTGAGGTTAATCCCTCCATGACGATCGATATAGCTTTTGAACAGATGTGCAGGCATGTTGAAATCCATGGTATGTATAGCAAGTGCAAATTTGTTTGTTTCCAGATACCATCTGATCTCATCGAATCTGGGACAATCCATTTGTACGGGATCAGCTCTAGTGCCAGGACTTATGAATGTTTGACCACCATATTCTCCACTAGCTAGAACTGGTTCCATCACTTCTGGCTTGACACCCTTTGCTGCTTCTGAAATTATTGCAATCATTCTTCGTTTTTCGACATCAAACGAATGAGCGATTTTGGTTTTTGTTCGTGAAAAGCGCCCAGGATTCTTTCTATCAGAAGCGGGAATCGTGTGTATGAGACGGATATTTGTCCTTGGCCCATCAGGATTTGATTTTGGTTGGCATATACCAATTATCTTGGGGCCCGCATGGGCGGCCTTGGAGCCATACTTTCTCACGTAAACGTCCCAAAATTCTCGAGATTGGAGGCTCATAAAATAAGAAACATGAATCGGATAATATATTATATTCTCCCAATCCTTCTGCTTGCTCGGAGAAAGTACGGGTGCTTGAGAGTAGTGCTCATGTTTGTAAGTGGGCCAGTTATAGCTACAGTGATGTCAGATTTAGGTCATGTAGAATATTAGGAGACTAGTAGACTTGATTACAAGATGAGGCCCCCGGATGAGGCTCCTAATATATCAAGCGTAACAACTGATGCCGCGATGCCACCAAAAACCTACAAAGTATCAATGTTTACCAGCATGACGGTGCTGAAAGGGGTTAAATTCATAGACATACCTGATTTGTTGCAGAGAATCCACTACCTGTTGATTAGCTCCTCGATCAAACATGAATGTCAGTTGACTTGCAGTTTTGGAATAGGCTCATTCTCAAAGTAAGGCTTAACCCAAGCCCAATCATGAGCATCTGTACTCTTTCTTGTCATGTGATGGCACATAGCGTGTTGTTTTAGTTAATTGACTGCCAATAATAAGCTAGAATGTAGCCTACCGCTGTCTCGTGAAGGATATTTTCTGCCAGGCGAAACGTGTCCAAGGCTCTGTCCTCTGGTAAGGCTGTCGGGTTCAACAAAGGCTCGACCAAATCATAGGCAATGGTAATAAGTGTAGCATTAGGAACGACCGAACTGCTTGGCATGGCTCGACGAGGGTACCACGCCGTGTGCCCACACGTGAAATTGGACGCTTGAGGCATTCCGCTAGGAGTGCACTTGCGCCAGACGTAAGCGTCAGTTATCGTCCAACAAGAAAATGTTTTGGAAAGAAATCAAGAGCCAAAGCTTTATTTGGAAGATAAAAAGAATTGATAGAATAAGAAGTGAGGCTTTAGATCGGGGAAAGGAATTGAGCGGAGGGTGGAATTTGTGAACCGATCACATACCTTGCCTCCAGAAAGTGCAAAATAAGTATTCTTTGATAATTTTTTGAAAAATTCTCGAGTGTCTCATTTAAGTTCTCCATCCTTTCTGTCGTCCTTGGAGAAAAACCTCGTTACATTTAATGCGTGGTTGGGTGGAAGGTCTTTTGGCGAAACTCTTTCCCATGGACCTTTTAGTAACGAGTTAAACCTTTATCATTAGCGAAATAGAAGGGAAAAATATTAACCAAAAAACATACCATTCCCATGTATGTATATTTGCAATGACACTCGAAGCAAGCTTCAAGGCTGGCTCCATCGCACGCCACGCACTGGATACTGGTATTTTAGCAACACCGTGATGCACACGAATGGTTGTGGATATCAAGACAGCAGATTCGGAAACAGAGTATACTCACGCGTCATTCTTGGCCTAACTTGCGTAGTAAGTATCACATCAGCATTTGTACATGGTGAATCACTTGCCTCCCAATATTCGTTACCATCTCCAAATGGATATCTAGCAATATGTCTCGGCAGGTCGTATTGCCAGTTTTCTCGAGTCCACATGGGATGGATGGGTACATTGCCAAGATTATTTCCATAATTTATTCGCCGACTTGTAGTTTCGTAAGAATCTGCCAAAGCTAGAACCGATTCCAGCTCTGCGGCGGTAAAGCCTTTTAACAGCGTCAATAGCTGGGCAAAATCCATTGGAGAAATGCCTACCACAGAACCTCATCCTTTGATACAGCTCCAGATTTTTTGCAACATCTCGCTGGTCTTGGTTTTCTAAGAATTGTGCTGGAGTGACTGGTGTGAGGCCACTTTTTACTTCGGGCAGGTAATTTTCCAGTTCGGAATGAATGCCTCCTCCAGGATGTCCATACTTTTTAGCAAAGCGCGTAGGCCCTGCATATCTAGGATGAGGTCTTTTCCATGGCGACGGCTTCATATTTGGCACTATTGAAAGATTTAACTACGAAATTTGACTACCGTCTCATGGTAAACCCTCCAAACTTAAAATGCAAATCATCGAAAATGAATTATTTGGTTTGTCATCTCTTTATTACACAATGACCGAAAATACCAAGGACGTTAGACTCTCTTGAATGACGGACAAAGAAATGCGCGTTCAATATCTGCGTTCCCGTCTCTAGCTAGCTTTTTGTCTTGATGCTGGACAAAGAACTACACTGCTTCCTGAATGCAATTCAAAATAGTCTAGAGGATAGCTTGAGCTCGCAGTACTCTCAAAATTTTCACATGAAATTCTTTCTTAAAGGTGGAAAACGAAGTTGAGGTGATTGGATGCAATTTTGTTGTCATTGGTGACTTGGAAGCAGGTAGAGGTGAAGACATGCTATCTCCAACGATGAAGAATAAACTGTTATTCTAAACAGCTTGCAGCCGCCGAGTTGGTTGACATTGAATCAATGAGAGAGAATTATGAGCGACAAAATTTGCAAGGGACTGCTCCAGCATTTTGAGAATGGATTATTTCACAATATCTATCATTTCATGGGTCTTTCATGAGTCTTTCACTCCTCGAGACCTAAAGAGATGTGCAGCACCAGACAAATACAATCAGTAGATCGAGGTTGAGGAAAGTTGAAAAAAAGGTTGAATTTTCAAGTTCTAGACTCGGTATTGGCCTCCTTTCGATTCTGATTGTAACGTGGTTTCCCCGTCAACTTGACTTAAAATGTGAGATTACCCAAGATGCATGCATTGCATATGCACGTATGAATTTGAAATAGAGTAATCAAATGAGATGAAAAGGATAGTGAAGGTGAAAAGAAGCCATTGATTGATGATATTGATGACATTGATGACATTGATGACATTGATGATCTTGATTGGAATGATTGAAATGGTAAATGTGATGGACTTTTGATAAATACAGTATCAGTATCGGTATCTCTTGATTGCAAGATGTGTCATGTGTTACTTTCTCTGTGGGGCCGTTGTAGGTGGAGATCATGTGATGTGATGTGATGTGATGTGATGTGATGTGACGGCGGATGTGGCTCGTGCATAAAAAAGCACAGACATTTAGACCAGTTGTCCATTTACCCATCCATCTACTTGCAAATTCAATACCCACCTGCCCGCCCGTCCGCCGGCTACTCCCTACAGTTTCCACTCTTGGAGTTTAGGTACAGCTCGGTAAGGTAAGACCGTTTCAACTTATCATGGGCCATGGCGGGTGTGAGAGGGAAAGGCTTCCGTAAAGTGTGTGATCATGAACATATCCTCCGAGTGGTGCTAATTGACGAATTAATGATGAAGCTGTATACGACTTTAAAAATAAAATACCAAAAATATAAACTTAAATATAAATGATGGATGTAGTGACGCTCCGCTCGATGGTAGAAGAGCACTTGGGATTCCCAGTTCATTCATAGTGAAGTCGTTAAACTCAAGAGCAGTGAGGAGAAGTTTGGAGCTTGGTGAACGCAACTCTAAAGCTTACAAAGAACACGTAAAATAAATAAATACTGGGTAGATGGAGACATGAGAAGAAGATCTAGGTGCCGGTATATACTTTGTAATTGAACACGACACAACAGGAAATTTTAGTAGTAGTGGCCATCATCATCAGAGCATATTTATTATTGTCTTGTCTTTTACGGCTTCCTGTTCTCAGCCGAATGATTCTGATGGTACATATATAGATAGGGTCAATGTTTTGATAGAGTGAATAAGATCGAGATCTAGGATTGGAGAGGGCTCGTCACATTAAATTGATCTATTCTAAAAGTAGTTTAAATTCACTGGTTGACTCTCCACTTCTCCGCTTATACATCACCCTTGATTGGATCAAATACTTTTCTTTCTTTTTTTTTTTTTTTTCCAATTCCCCGACCTTAGCTCTCCTTTAGCGTTTGGAAGTGCTCCTGTTTAGTCCTCTTAGCTTTCTTAGCTTTCTTAGCTTCGTAATGATGGAGGTCTGAAGTTCAAACAGATTGGTGTACGTTCATTTAGCTGCAGTTTCTTGAGACGCGAAGACGCCACCTTTGAATTGTCATTGGCGAATTCGATATCAGATGTAACTCTATGCGAGAGATGGATGGGGCTTATTGCTGATGCAAGAAACCGTTTATCCACGCCCTGACATTATATTGGATGTCAGAGGTTGAGAGAAGGGGGAAGATGGAAAAGGAAGGAAAGAAAGGGATATATGATTGATGGATGAAGGGTGTGGATGGGGCAAAGAAAGGTATTATCTACCAAGTGAGGAATTTGAGAAGGGAAAAGTAAGAGAGAGCATGGGACACGAGAGGTGAGAGGTAGGAGGTGAGAGGTAGGAAGGTGAGGTGAGAGGTAGGAGGTGAGAGGGGAGGGGGAGAAATTGAAGAAGAGCAAAGAGGAGACTACTGGTGCTTTTTAGCTAATGCAGATCAAAATGTGTCAAGGAGAGAAGACTATCCACCTCGGACATGGTTAACTTCATTCATCAAAAATGTATTTTATCTTTGGAGGGGTTTTGAGGGAAGGTGGTGTAGGTGTATATAGAAGTTTCTCACTCGCCATTGCATACGAGGTAGGTACTTTGATCTTACTATTATATAAACGTATACAATTTTATCGTTTCTTCTTTGATTTCCCTTTTCCCTTTTCCCTTTTCCCCTTTCCCCTTTCCTTTTTCCTTTTCCCTTTTCCCTTTTTCCTTCTTATCCCTTCTTCTTTGGATATTTGTGTAATTCTTAGCCGTAAATTTATTAATTACCTCTTACCTGCTTTTTGGCCAGAAACCAATGCGAGGTATCTTGGGATTGATGGATGTCCAATGATATTCTCTTACAACATTTTTCTTTGTCCTTTCTCTTTCTTACTTCTCACTCCCATTTCAACTGGGAGACTTTACAATCAATCTCATCAATTACAATCTCGATCAATCATTACATTCTTCGAGAAACAAAGAATCATCAACCTTTACGAAGAATATCAGATCAATCCAATCTGGTACTCATTCCTCTTTTTTTCCCTGCATGTGCGTGTGCGTGCGTGCGTGCGTGCTGTGTGTATGGGTATACGTATTGGATATTTGATGGAACGATGTTAAAAAAAGTGGTGCTATCCCCAGACTATTGATGCTGTGCTTATCTATCCGCTTTTAAATAACTTGAGGTCTGCGATAAGGCTGCTTCGTTACTTTGCTCGCAAATCTCGATGGGAACACCAGAACTTGTCTCATATTGGATTGGACTGGACTGAAGCGGATTGAATTGGATTCAAATTCTTCGTATGTTTGCTAATTTATTCCTTACCCCCCCCCTTCGCGCTCTTCCAAAAACTTACGTCGCTCGACCAATGCCTACAATATGATTTGAATAATAATTCATTATCCATGATTAGATTTCCTTCATACTGTACCTACCTACAGTCGCAAATGCTCGATTTCGTCAAAACAATATCAGCCTTATCTCTCAATTGAATGAAATACAAGACTCACACGACTCCAAACAATAACAATATTAACAAACATTCCTCGACGAACCCGTTTTGGGAAAAGGATTGTGCCTTGCGACACAACTCCAAAAGACCCTCTCACATGCTGAACCTCGACCAAAAATCATTACAAGATTGCTTCAGCTCAATAATGGCGACAATTGCCTTACCTAGACCTATTCCCGCGGGACACACGAGATCATCTTCACCACCCCACTCGCACCCTTTGACTCCCGCGCTAAGCCTCGATTCCATCAATACATCGCCGCCATTTCCAATTCCTATCCCAAATAAACATCTGCCAGTGTGCCCGACAGGTCCAGCACCGGCGGAGAATCCAGATACCCCTCCTCACTCTCCTCCGACCAAAGAACTTTCCTTGCCTCAACGATCACTTCTATATCCACCGGTCAATTACAAATCACGTTACGTTGACTCCTCTATCATATATGAGATTGATGCCGCCGGTGTAGCTGCTGCTTTGGAACATTTGGCATCGCAACCTCTGCCTGATCCTTCTCAGGTATTTCCCTGGTTTCATGGTCTGCATCCTTGCAATCATGTACAACAGGCATTTTTCATACAGAGGCGTCGAACTTTGCGAAGAACGCCGAAATGTATCCGAGGTATAACAATTGTAAAAGCCGGTGGGGATTTGACTTGTTCGAGGCTGAAAGGTGCCATCACTCCCGACGAAATCCTGAAGTTTGGAACCACGACGCAATTTCAAGAAGTCGACCCAAAGGACGGATTCTCGGTACGAAACTTTCATATCCAAGCAGCAAAATCTGCCATGGTATCGGATATAATTGTTTATGGAGATGATCCCCTCATCGTTGAGGAAATGGCGAGAGAAATTGCCGCTGCACAACAAATTGTTCGTGAGAATCATGTCAATCAGGGCCATGAATTATCTCAGTACAATACTTTCATATGCACGAGCAATTTTAGTGAATTCGAGAAAGGGTATCCACAAGTTGTTTCGGTTGATTCTCGGGCTCGATGGACCGGGGAAGTTTTGGATTTCTTCCATCAAGAGAGAGTGGAGATGTGTGCCATGACCAAAGCTTCCGAGATCGATCGTAATGTTTGGTTGGGTCCAACCCCGGATGGATACTCAGAAAAACACCCGGCTTTGTCTGAAGGACAATTCGATATTCTGATCGAGTGTAATGACCTAGGCCAGATAAATCCATCAGAATTACGAGAAATTGCAGAGGGTAAATCGGATAAGTGGCAGTTAGGATTTCCTTCGTCTGGAATGATCCAACCACCGTCCTGGGAACATGACCAAGCCGATGGAATTCTTGAAACTTGCAAGTGGATTTACAATCTTTCCCACGGAATTTTACCCGAGGACGAAGATGGTGATAGCCCTATGACTACAAACATAAAGGAAAGAAAGATCCTGATTCATTGTACGGATGGTTACACTGAATCCACTCTCCTCGGTCTTGCATATTTTACTTATGCCACTGGCCTTTCTATTCCCAAAGCCTGGCTTGATTTGCATATTACAAAGAAACGTAACTTCTTTGCGTACCCGCAGGACGTCAGTCTTCTAACAACCATCGCACCTCGACTTCTGTCCGAATCGCCTGTTCATCGAGGCAGGAGCTTATCGGCCATTACTGATCTTGCTATGGAAGAACCTGATTGGATAAAATGCATGGATGGAAGTCTTCCTTCGAGGGTCACTGACTATATGTACCTCGGGAACCTTGGGCATGCTAACAACCCGGACCTTCTACGGCATTTGGGCATCAAACAGATCTTGAGTGTAGGCGAAACCGCAACGTGGAAAGATGGTGTGATGGATAAATGGGGAAAGGATAACGTGATGGTCGTACAAAGAGTGCAAGATAATGGGGTAGATCCATTAACCGACGAATTTGGAAGATGTTTAGATTTTATTGGTATGGCTTTTTCTCTTATATCAAAGATCAGCTATCAACCTACTAACAACCAAACAGAAAGAGGGAAACTAAATAATACAGCGACATTGGTCCATTGTCGTGTGGGTGTTTCTCGAAGCGCAACTATCTGCATAGCTGAAGTCATGCGCACAATGCATCTATCATTCCCGCGTGCATATTGCTTTGTCAGGGCCAGGAGACTAAATGTTATCATCCAGCCACATTTGAGATTCAGTTATGAACTTCTGAAATGGGAAGAGAAACTCAAGATGACAGGGGGAAAATACGGTGGAAAGTGGCGCGGAAGGGAATTGGAGTGGGCGGAAATTGCGAGGGAAATTGCAGAAATGAATAGACCGTACAGTGCTGGTAGATGATGGTTTGTGTTGGTGGAATTGGAGATGGACTTTGGGTACACTTCTTTTGGATGGGGAAATTACATGATATTATGATTGGGAACTTCTTTTCGGATGGTACGAATGATGGATAGGGATGGATCGGATACATCCCCACTTCTCGGAGAAATGCTTTGAAATTTTGGATACAACCTCGGATACGCTTTCGGATAGGATTGGGTAGGAAATGACAGCGACAGATACCACATTCCTTGGCAGTGCGATTGGGATACTTTGGGACTATTCTTAAGGATAATCTTTGGGAAAGTACGTACGTAATTATACGGTGTTTGGTCTGAATTTAAACACTTTCACGGAAAATTTTGTTTGAACTTTGATGAATGATGAGTTGATGCGACAATGTGAAGAGGTGACTGGGGATGAAAGATGAAACGGGCGAACTAGCGAACTGATGAATGAAGTGAGCGAGATGGGAGAGAAAAAATTTCTCTGTTCTCTTTCGTGTTAATTGCAGCTACAAAATCATCCTCAAACGCCATTGTGCAAAAGCTTCCCCTCGCCAATCGTGCTGCCGGCCTATCCTATCGTGTCGAATGTGGATTGCTATATCTCTATGCAGCTAAATTGGAAGTCGAAGCCTGAGTTTGTGGTTGAGGCGAGTGAGGTGAGTTTATCTTTGTAGATTTCGGAGGTGTATTAACATATTGATGTATACAGCATAAGTTAGGGAATCACATGCTGGATTGACCGGGGTGGACTCGACTGTGAATTGAATTGGGTTGAGTTGGTTATAAGGTGGTTTTTGGGATTAGCATCGGGGTTTAAGTGAGATGGAGATTATCTCACTGTATCGGGTCATTTTCAGAGCTGCATGGAAAGTTCGATTGTTGGAGCTTTTTGATGTTTCTAGTTGGGTTTGAGGTCTGAGGTGATATGGATGGATGGATGGATGGATGGATGGATGGATGGATGTCGAACATTATTTTAATGTTTGGATCCGTTTCCTTTGAATTAACCTTTTTCTGCCTTTGTAATTGCTCACAACGAGAAGATAGGCGAGGAAGTCAGAAATGGCTAGTCAGATGGTATGGGTGAGATTCGGGTTAGCTCTGTGGAGGAGTTCAGCAGAATGGAGTTGGGAGTGAAAGGGGAGGGGTTGTGAAAGAAGAGGAGAGGAGAGAAGTAGTGCGGGTTGTGTGAGGTTGAAGGGGAGATTTGGTGAAGTATGGGAAAGGATCGTGGAATTGGGCTGGGAATTGGAAGTGGGAGAGAGAGTGATGTGGGCAGAGAATTTGGATTTGAAGCACCATGAAAGAAAAAGAAGATGAAAGAGGAGATACGGGTGGGTAGATGGGAAAGGGTTGGGGTCGTTTTTCTGGAGAATAGATGAAGGATATGGATATAGCGGAGCTGTAAAGACTTTTCTGATGAGTAGGTGTGTTGTGAAATGTGGAAATAGAGCATGAGCTGTAAGAAAGAGGAAGTAAGGCGCTACGTCGCAATATATTCCACCTCCCATCTGAGAATAGAAATTGCAGATATACTATACAGGAGCAAATCGAGTCAGTATTCAAGACGTAGGTAGATTAGGGTATTGGAATATGTCGAATTCCTTTGTGTTCCTGGGAACGGGGAAGATGGAATGAAACTGTTTTCGTTATCAGTACCATTTTCATAAATTTATAACACTATCTGTAGTTTCTACAACATCGTCGTCGAAGTTCCTACTGCAATCGTTTTTCCGCATGTTTCATCCATGAATTCCTATCCTCTGACTTGAAGGCTGTCCGCACTGCCCTAGTGCCAGATTTGACCTGCAACTTCTTGAGTTTTTGGGCGGTTTTCGACATCGCGAGTTGCTTCAAGAAACCGTGGAGTTTATTGCTTCTAGACAAAAAGATAGATGTCTCGATGCATACCAATACTGAAATTGATATTCACGCATCCCCAAGATTCCATATATAACAAACCTTCAGGTATTTGTTTTTAGAGTTATTTGATATAGTTACTGATAAGTTCTTGCGCTCGTAAAATTTATTAGAAGCAGAAAAGTTTTGAAAATCCCAGGTCAAATAAAATCTAAGATTCTCCATGTTATCATTGAACCTGGATCGCCAGCCCCCAATCTTGGCATCTCGAAAAGGAGCACGAAAATGGGGGTCATCATCATCATAATCATCATCGTAGCATTGTTACCACTTCTCACCCCTTGTCATCGACGATCCTTCCGGAGAGGATCTACTCATTTAACTTATGGAACTTCAAGCTTAGAACTAACCTTCTTTACTTTCTGTTTACCTTACTAACTGTTGAATTTTTGTTTGGTACGATTCAATTCAATATTGTGTCAACTTTTGCTTTCGCGCAGAAGTATAAACATCAGAGCTAGGAGGGATTTGTACTCACATACGCCTCAACGTCGCAAAATGACGGACAGATTCACACAGAATTGTTATGCGTGGTTTAATGGTGGTGTGGAGACGATACAGCCGCCGAATTATTTTCCTTGTGGTACTGTTAATAGTACTTCGGTATGATGATTCCATAATCACATAGATTCATACGCGGAGAATATATATACTAATGAGAAAATAGGATTTCCTAACATGTTGCATGGAGTTTGATACCTGTGTTGGAAGTAACATCTGCAAATCATCATCTGGGTTGTCCAGTGAGGCGGAATGTAAGTTCTAGGACATCATAAAAGCGAGAAAGAGTGCCAATTGCTCAATGCTGATGAACCACGTGCAGATTATCTTGGATATTGCAATGATCCCACATATACCGCTTCAGTTTGCCCCAAACAATGTGGTAAGTCGACTCGTTACGAATCCCGATTCGGCACGTGTATCCCCAACTAAAGTTGATCCCTCATACAGTCGATCTAGAAACTAATGGCGGTGGCTCTCTCGGTATTGTATACAACGAGACATCCAGTGAATGGACTTGCTGTAGCGATACCACATGCAAGAGCCTCAGTGACCAAGTATTCAAAGCTCCTGATCCATCCTCTTTATCGGTGATAGCTTCGCCGACTTCTAGACCTTATTCTACCTTCTCCACGTCATCAGCTTCTCCCTCGAGTACTTCATCTTCGTCGGCAATGACATCTTCTTCCTCAGGAGCCTCGTTGATGATAGGATCTTCAACCGCATCAACTACAACGCCAACGTCCTCCCCTTCCTCGTCCCCTTCATCCTCAAAGCTAAGCGCCGGCGCCGCGGCAGGAATAGGCGTGGCGGCCGCAGTGTTCGTAGCTCTTTTAGGCCTTCTAGCATATTTTATTCTGCGCTCACGGAGACTCAATCGAAAATCAAATCAGGAGATGAAAGAGCAATACACGAAGCCGGAACTGTCAGCTGAAATGGGAAGTAGAGGAAGTCAAGGAATTGATATAGTACCTATAGAACATCATGCAGCAAATGCCAGGATAGAGATGGGCGGTGGTGAGATTCCGGAAATGGGGGATCGGAGGAACCAGGCTTGGGAACTGCCGGAGAGAGGAAGAGCTGTGGAGCTGGGTTGAGAGGAACCTGAACCTCAAATTGAAGGTTAGAAATACTAGCTGAAAAGTTACTTGAGAATTGTCATAGTAGTAACTTCGGAAAACACCGCTCTTACGCGGATGAAGTATTTCTTCAATGCGAATTTCCCTCCCGTCTCGAAATGAGCATAACACGTAGGTTTTTTGACATGATACCACAGAACTGGAATGTTCCAGCTGAATAGGCGTATGTAAAGGCGAAGAAAGGAAGACGGAACATGATGAATTTGTGGCAATTGCCTTGTGGCATACAAGATATTTCTTTGGTCAAAAGAAAGTTAGGAAAGACGGAATAATAGGTATCAGGCCTTTTTGAGTAATCGCTCATATTAATTCTCCAACTTCGAGACTCCACCAAAACCAGCCAGAGACTTTTCGCGCTTGCTGAGCCAAGGCGCAAACTTCGGCCCATCTGAGACCTCTCCTTTGAGCCCCATCACCCGACGGACTTGGAAAGCCTTTGGTTTATCTGCAGCTTGCAGACCTAGGTCTTGCAGATTTATCTTCTTGTACCTACAGAACCATTTGACACGACTGAAACCATCAACTCTCACTCCCAAAGTCGGTAAACCAACAATCACCTCCTGGCCCACAATCACACCGCCATGTGGCCTCCACACAACAACAGGTAGAGAATATCTCCATCTCGTTTCGCCTTCCACCGCTCTTAAAAGTCTCTTCAATATCCAGGATTCTTTCTCGCCGAGAGCTTTTCCTAGTTTGCTTATGTCATCTTCATTGAGGAATCGGACGACCAGACTACCAGCCTGGGAGGACAGTTCATTATGTATCAATAGCCAATAGCGATTATCAAATAAGACCCAACAGGGCTGCTTCTCCGGGAGCAGCTCCGGGACAACAATTTCATCTGGTGAATTCCTGTATCTGGGTTGACGAAAGATGTGCCACTCGTTGCTTCCTCCGATTTTTGGATTGACATTAATTGGTTGAAACATGACACCAGCTGTGTTAAAGGTTTTTGGCGCGATTTCGTTTTCAGGCAGAGGAAATATTTCTGGAACTGCATTCAAAACCTGTTCGAGAGACACCACGGAATTTGGGGTAACTGTCATGATTATACGACGGAGTAACATAGCAGCTATTGTTGATCTTTGAGGCGCGTCGTGAGCTATGAAGGGAAACCTGATTATAAGGGTCCCACGTCTAGTACTGAAGCTCGTTACTTTGCATCTTTTTATAAGCTGATCGACTTCTTGTTGACGTAAATTATCAGCATTTTGAAGTTGTAATGCAAGAGAGAGAACTCTAGATTTTGGTAATATGCAAGGCAACCCTGTACGATCGTATAAATAACGTATTGCATTCCGATCCGTTAGGGTGGGATCGTTGTTGGTATCATCTTCAAACCACTCCATGCCTAGAGCCTTGCATGTCGCAATGAGTCTTTCTTTTGGAAATTCAAGAAGGGGACGATAGAGAGTAATACCTCCCGATTCTACCTTTAACTCGGGCATGATCTTTTTGGCCCCAGATGCAGGCGAATCGATTTTGTTTTGTCCTGTCTGACGCGATGGGAGAGGCTTCGTCTGATGATTGAAATTAGTGATAGGTGGAGAGAGTGTTATGGGACTCCCGCTTTCATGAACTCCATATAAACCTCCACATTCTGGTATGGGAGAAGATGGCTTGATACCAAGCAGACCGCCTCCCAGAGCGCCTTTCGCTAGACGCATTACTACAGTTTCGGCTTGGTCATCAGAGTGATGTCCGAGAAGGAGTGAAGTGATGTCGGATTTCTGGCAATATTTTCCAATTGCCTGAAAGCGGTACTTCCTGGCTAAGCTCTCGAAATTAGGTAGCTTGGAGGGATTCCCAGTGACATCGTTCCATGGGAGAGTTAAAATTCGTCCGGTCATGCCTATTTTCATTCTTGTGTCAGAGGTCTATAGATATACGAATATAGATATTAGCATACCTAAAGATTCCAACACTTTCATGACCTTCTGAGCTTCTTCTAGACTGCCGTCTCTTACTCCATGGTTGACAATGATAGCTCGAAAGTCGATCTTGTTCAGATGTATTGGATATCCATCAAATGCAAACGGTATGTAGTTGTTTTTCATTTGCATACACAACGCCGCAAGGGCCATTGAATCTACTCCTCCACTCACCGCAAGCCCTATCAGAAGTTAGTAAACATTAATCAAGAGTAAAATGCAATCACATACCCAAAGTCCTATGACCCCGCCGGTCATAATGATAAGGAACTTGACATGGCCTCTTGAACAGAGCATCAGCAAACTCCTTTATTGAGATAGGAAGCGCATTCTGCTTCATGGTATTCATTCCATTATCTAATCGGAATAAATCCCAGCAATATCCACATCGATAGGTGAAAGTAAAAGTTCTATGATAAGTTCCTTGTATGGTATTGTTGTCGGTCTTATCGCGTGAATTTGTATCAGCCAGCAAAAAGAGACGATAAAAATCTACCCGAGCTCCAACCTCAACTTTGTCATCCCAAATTCACCCCAACCATGAATACACTCGCCCACAACTTCTATTATCTTCTTTGCCTCGGTACTATCCGGCTTCGGCCACCTTAATCCCACCTCCCCCCGTTCTCAATAATCCACCTTGCTCAATTTCTTCCTTCCGCACAAATGACACAATCAAGCTTCACGCCCGCCCTCCTAGCGGGTGCCCTCGCTGGTACTACAGTCGACCTCACCCTCTTTCCTCTTGATACCCTGAAGACTCGCCTTCAGTCCTCTGCTGGTTTCCTTGCCTCTGGTGGCTTTACTGGAGTATATCGAGGAGTCGGTTCTGCCATAATTGGCTCCGCGCCCGGAGCTGCATTGTTCTTCTGTACATACGAAGCTACAAAGGCTGCATTTGCGCGGCGACAAGTTGTTTTAGACGCCAACATACCTGGAGGTCGCGGAAGGGGAAGAGCAATAGAACATATGGTTGCAGCGAGTCTGGGAGAGGTGGCCGCTTGTGCTGTTCGTGTGCCTACGGAGGTGGTCAAGCAAAGGGCACAGGCGGGGCAATATTCGAGTTCTTTACTCACGCTCAAGGCAATCCTGGGACAGCGCAGACAGATTGGAGTATTAGGCGTATGGATGGAACTCTATCGCGGTTGGAGTGTTACAATAATGCGTGAAGTGCCATTTACGATCATACAATTCCCTCTTTGGGAAGCCATGAAGTCATATAGGCAGAGGGGAAGTGGAAGGGATACTGTGAGCGCAATAGAGAGCGGGATTATGGGGAGTCTTGCAGGTGCTGTAGCGGCTGCGGCTACGACTCCGTTGGATGTGTTGAAGACGAGGATGATGTTGGAGAGAAAGAAAAAGCCGATGAGCGTCTTGTTGAAGGAGATTATAGCTACGGGTGGTCCAAAGGCATTCTTCGCAGGGATAGGTCCAAGAGTAATGTGGATTAGTATTGGTGGGGCGATCTTCTTGGGTAGCTACCAATGGGCATATAATGAGTTGGCCGCAGAAGGCAAGGAGTGAAAAAAGGAAATTTTAAAGGGTGTAGGTTACCGGTGGGTCAAATACTGGGATGGATGTACTGCATATAGACGGCTTGAGGACCATGTAGATACCCGTTCTTCTAGGACATGATCTCACGATCGATATGAACACAAGTTTTATGTTGCCACGAATGCCGGGCCTGGGCAGCATCTCAATGTGCGAACCATTATGAACAAACAAGCTCCCGGGGAATAGTACTCTATATTTCTTCAAAAGAGTGTACGGAGATCCCAGCCATCATGAAAAATTGCACAGGCGTCCAAAAAAGAAGCAGCAAATACATCAGTTTTCGTTAGAGGCTACGAGGCAACAATACGCACGCCAATACTGGCTGTGATGACGGCGAGACATTATACCTCTTGCGATTGTTCGCCACAGGGAATTTGGGTCTGCTTCAAAGAGCTCTTGGAATACCGTCTACTTCCCCGTCAATGGTCCCGGACCTAATAAACACTTAAACCAACATAGCGGGTGGCCAGGCCTTTACAATCAAAAAGATACAACTGGAACTTCTCTAACAGCTACCAACGATACCTATATCAATGCCTTTTGCAAGTGCTTCCTGTGGCCGGTTTTTTTTCCTGATGGACCTGGTGGGTTAACCGTGTCTGTAATAGACTCCTCTTCTTAGCAAAGTGAGTTGTTAAGGCACTTGTTGGGTCCGAGATCAACCATTTCAAGGGTATATTAGTCAGTGAGTGAGTGGGTATGAGTGAGTGAGATTGCCGCTCAGTTGTGGGTACTGGATGGAAATCGTGAGGGCTGAGAATATCTGCATTGATAGCGAAAAACGAGCGGGGATGCAGATAGGAAAGAATTGGTATAGGGATTAGGTATAGCGCAATGTGCATTTGCTGTTATTGTTCCCGGGAATCTTTAAATGGGCGTGTTTTGCTTCCTAAGATATCAGGGTAACCAAAAGTTCAACCATCATTCATTAAGACATTTCCAGCTTAAAATATCTTGTGGGATGATATTTTCATACTTCTTTCAAATTTCCCTACATTTCCATTCAAAAGCTTCGCAAAATAGCTTACAACTTGTTAGACTACCTTTGTGATTCAAAGAAAGTACCACCTTTTGCTGAGTTTGGCACAGAGGTAATCTGAAAGGAGGGTACCAATTTGGTAGTCATGTCGAGCAAGTTCAAAGGTTATTATTGAGAAGAGGAACAAGGCTCATTGTACCACTGATGGCAACAACATCTCACCACATCACTAATAGCCACCTTGATCAAAAACCTCGCCATCACTATAATAACTTCATCAGCATTGCTACTTACCTATCACAACAAAGCAGGTGATATGGCTATGAATTTGGCAGCTGCCGGCACTGCTGAGAGAATATTTCCACTTAAACTGGAACCTCCTTGGCGAACCAAAACGTATCAAACCGTATCTTTTACACATGACGAATACAATTTACTGGGCTGAGCACTATGGCATTGAGGTTCTGAAGAGAATAGCGAATTGCTAGTAGATAGTAAATAGACCGGACTTTGTCTCCGTGGAAAGAGTGAGGAGTAGGGAGTAAGGAGCAAATAAATGTTTATAATTTGGGAATGTAAATGTTGATTTAGATATCTGAAGAATCTGGCGAAATAGTATGACAGGATTCAAAATTATGTCAGCCCTAGATTACGAAATTGAATAGTGCGGTAATATGCAGAAGTCTTGCTGTTATTGAGATACTCTGCATGTACCCCCTTTCCTGCGCATACATTGCGCAATTCCTTCCTCGAAGTTAGTCGGCGTTCAAATCTGATGAGATCCTTAAATATCTTCCCACAACCTACGCCGTGTACGGAATCATAAACCGTTCTCGATACCCTAGTGATGCTCTACTCAAGTCATAATTGTGCTGTCCATATCCGATGTACGGAAAGTCTCCTCGAGCATATGGTTTAGTTGCTATTAGCCATAACCACCTAAAGCGGGTAGATATTGCACTACCCGCACTTGGTGGCAAGTCGAAAGCATTTTGGCGAAATGACGGGCAATTTGCTTTTCTTAGATATCAAGTAGTTCTACCATGTACATAGTGAAGAAAGAGCGAACTTGAATATGGGGGCAAAGAAGATAGGGCCTTGAGGTAATCACACAGAAAGCCGAAGACGCGAATGTTCACCATACTGCTTCACAAATGAACAATCTAAACGAGTGTACGAGGACTCTATCAATCTCTCCTCAGAGATGGAAAGCCTAGCATCATTGTCATAATCGTGAATCTTCGCCGACCTGACTTTGTGGGGGCACAGTAATATTCATCATGTATACGAGCTAATAAGCCACTATGCCGGGAATCCAGTGTGAGATATTGCACATCCTATGCTAGAAATGGTTGCTTCAAGCAGCTACGCAGAAGGTCAAACTCTTATTGACCATTCTCCGCGAATCACATGCGCTTCGCTACCGCCAACAAAAATGGCCTGTCGCAAGTGTATCGATATCCAACTTTCGATGAGATGACAAAGTCATTAACCGAAATAGCCGCAAAACGACTAACCTTCAAGTCGATGTACTTTGCCGATCAAGAATCCAGAATGGGGTTTCTGGAAGCCTGTGAATTCCGAGTCAAAAGCGAGAAGACTTATAAAATACTTTTTAATAGCACATTATAAATAAGGTGCTGATGCTCCCACACTGTGTCCCTGTCATTTTACTATACATGAGTCTGGAAGAATACTGGGTTCTAATCAGTATGTAGCTTTGCTGAAGGATGCAGAAGTCAGCGTACCATTCGTACCTCGCAGCACTGCATAGGACCGACCAAGCTCATGGAAGCGAAGATGATAGTTTTAGATAATTGTTCTTTTAATGCAGGATTCGTTACCGAGTGGTTCAAACTGCTTACATGCAAATCGATTTCTTCATGAGTGCATATTGTATAGCGATAATTCCAAGATATGTAAAGAATACTTACTTAAAACAAAAACGGGGTGGGAGCGGGAGATAGGGAGTTTCGTGGATTGATGTCTACATCGCATTTAACTGCTTGTCCTCGAATAAGGAAATTTTGATAGCCTGTAAATCACCAGTGGCACCAAGCCAAATACATGTTGCCGCTTTTTTAACAAAAGAGTTTCAACGATAGCCTGGAGTGATTCCGGTGCTCCCCAGCAAACAATAGACAACCTAGTTCTATCGTTGGAAGCCTAGATACGAGACGAGAGGATACTATATGCATCGACATGCTTTCAAGCCACGTGAAAATGAATCCATGCCGCTTTCAAAAGAATGCGAACCTGTTCATTTTGCGACTCGGATGCCATCCAGATTTTGTCCTCTACCATCTTGTGACCAACAGGTTTTGTTGCTGATGGTTAGTTGAAAACATCGTTTTGTAAGGTATGTGGTAAATTTATCCCACTGTACATGTATTCGCTAGATTGTTTCTAATTTCTTGGAAGTGATATGCGAATGTGGTTGCAACGACATATCTCGGAATTTCTTCCTTGTCTTTTATTCGGGGACTATTAACCCATCAATTTCACCAGTGGTTGTAGTCCTAATGGGGTAATTAGTGAACTCAACGAAGTCCACTGCAGCACGGCGATGGATGTTTACAGGGTCCTGAGATATAAAATCGCATATCACGAGGCACTAGCTTTGAGGTAAACCCCAAAGGATATGTGAATGACTGGTTCACAGGCCGCAGACGCAAGGCCGTTAAACGTTTGGAATGGGGGAGCACGTAACAAGTGGCGAAAAGCCACTCTGGTCATATGAGCACTAGGATTCGACTCCTCCACGTTCGTGGGACAAGGCGGGTCTAGGCTGGGGACACTCGAGACAACCAATAATTATTCTATTCAACCTCTTGCTGGTTGTGTAAACGACCTTAAATGTACTCGTGACGGCCACAAACTCATGACAGTGCCATGTATGCTACTAAGTAGCAGGTCACTCGAAGCCAAAAGCAAACTTATGTTGAAGGTCGAACCCTTGAAAGGCCTCGGTTCCGCGTTGGATAGGACCAAGTTCGGAAGACAAATAGGGAATAAGCCGAAATTTTTTGGGTTTATTTGTCAGGAACAGTAATATCTAAGGCCAAATTTGGGCTACAGCCCTGCTGATGATCCCAAGATGAGCAAAGGCTGAAACTCGCCTTGAGTGCAGATAATCCTTGAAGAACCAAAGTGGCACAGTATCGGAGCCAGGATCCTATTGGGCAAAGGATTTCTTGGAAAGTGGATTGCAAGGCATCTTCTTTATTACGTTCGATAGGGAGATCTTTGGGGTGCGAAAACTTACTGAAAATAGTAATTTTCGCTTGGTATTCAGAAACTCCCCGGGGTCAGAGGAAGGGGGTGTGCATGAACACCGACATATACGATTAAGGATGTAAGCAAAAGTTCGACCCACTGCATAATCCGTGAAGATCTTGTATGACTTGCCGCGATGATCCACTTGGAGGGATTTGCTAAGCGCTGAAGATGCGTAGTCACTACGATCATATGTGGTGTGGAGGCAGGCCATAGAATTTACGTGCAGACTGTGCCCCACGGAACGGCTCGATGCTATGGGATCTTTGGGGGAAATAGTTTCAGAGTTCTACGCCGCCTTGATTGGCTCGCTCTAACTAGAAACACACAGATATTGAAAAACTAGAAAGGGGTTCAACTTCGGAAACCACTTTAGGGGTGCGGAGCGATGAGACTGCAGGTTTCGGATAAAAAGCACAGTGATAAGAATAGCTACCATTTTGTGATGGAGGGGGGAAGGCCAATCCGGAAATGCTACACGATGTGACTAAAACAAGCCAAGGCAGCTTTGGTGATTATCGCTTGATGCCAATCATGTGAAAAAAGCGATGCTTGAAGGATCATTGATCATTGAAGGTGTGGTAGATACGATTGGGGGTGAAAATCGGCCAATCTTGGTGGATCGTTGTTCCTACCAGCAGGTTAAACAGTTTTCTAAGTCTTGCAGCCTTATAGCATCACAGAGGCCTGTCACCCACGTTTCTTAAACGTGTTTTAACATTTTTTACTATGCGTAAATACCAAAGTAGCCACATGTATGACAACTCAACAAGGGTAAAAATCGACTCTGCAGAGGCGATGTGATCATCAGACGATGTCCATTTCTGAAGACATTTCTATAGCTCGCGCAGTCGTATCCTAATGTTCAATTTTGAGTGGAATGTTTTGGCCCAGTCTGCTTGATTGTGTAGAATACATCTACAGTATTAGGGATCATGTAAGGCTGATGATTGATGAAGCTGGGGTAGTCAGATGAATAGGGGCTATTGTTTTGGATTATGGATCATAGAAATCTAGTCTGCATTCTAGATGAGATGAGATGACATGAGATGAGGCCTTGACAATAAGCCTCTGATGATAGCTATGGTTGCTATACGAATTAGACAATTGCCGTTGTCTTATACCAAAATGTATGAGCCTTTCCAGATTCTACTGCGGTCTCGTGCCAGCGTGTAAGACTGTTGATAACTCTCGCACACGAACATGATTGCTTACTTATATCGTAAGACTTGACTTAGTTCGTAGACTTGATCAACGAGAAGCCATCCGGCGATGTATTTTCCCAACATGCCAGCAATAGAAGTAAATTCAAGTAATGTAATGTTTTTGGGGTGGGACATGGTGTAAAGTAGCAGCGACACGGACATATTACCGAATTGGGCCATGTTTACCCCGTTTCTTACTAGCATCGGGGGAGGATTACTCCGATATTCAGTAAGAATCACAGTTGCTTTCTCATTTCTTATGTACATCTCTACATTTCAAGCACATAACACCTTCTATTTTGAATGATGATCAGGAAATATGACATGACAGCCAGAAGTCCCATCCGGATAATTGCTGGTTGATAGGTTCTTATACCGTCGGCCAAGATAATGACCATGGATTCAGATCATCCCGCCTTTCAACCTATTTTGTTGCCAAATTTATACACAGAGATACTGGGTATTCTTGTAGCAACCAGTACCTATCAACAAGGAGTTACCGAAAGAGCACCACAGCAGCACTGCACTATGCAGGGCCCTCGTATATGATTGACCACTGGCTGTTAGGTGGACAAAAAGCAGATGGAGAATATCAAGTGGACGCTGGTACAGTCAACTAAACCTAATACTCTTTGATCATTTGGGTACGTAATCCTCATCCTCATTTGAACGGTCAGAGCCTGTCCCGTCCCTCGTTCATTGTTCCCCATATTTTCATGCTTGCCACTATCAATCGCGAGATAACCCATTAATCCCTCGTTCTCCACCATCATCCAGAACATCAGGAATATCATTTCCGGCATTATCCTTAACTTCGAGAGGAAGAAAACAAGCTCAGCGCTCAGACAAGGTTAACAGTAGGTACAAACGACGATCTCCTTGGAAGATCAAAGCGTCTAGTGTAAGATTAAAATCTACTAGGCGAAATGCTCTTAAATGTAGCCGCCGTTAGGGGCTAACCCACTGCCGTGCCATCCGTTGCGAAGATATCCACCTAGGCTTGATGGCTTGATGGCTTGATGGGCTTCTTGGCTTGTAGGCTTATATAATATAATTTCAGCCTTCAAGCTCGTTTGTTTCAAAAGCTTCTGAAATCTTCGATCAAGGATAGCACAAAGAGGGCGTTGTTTCCAGTACTCGGCGTATTACCATCTTTGCAAGTGTTCAAGCGAAGTACACTACCATGTTATTAAACAAGATATCGGACAGTGTTGCCACGAGCATGACAGGTTAGGAACGGAGCCAGGATGTTACAATTGCACATGCATCATGTGTGACAATCATCGTCCATAAATTTTGAGCTATCCTGGTCCAAAATCTCACTCCTTGGGTCCTACTATTAGCCTCATTTATCGTGACGAGAATTCGGCCGGAGCCCCCATATCAAGCTCGTCCCAATCTGTCAAAAGATTGGCATTATCAGCCGAACTAACCACGTCGACGGGCAGCACTAGAAGCAACAACAATTGAAAGACAACACACATCAATCATATCATAGGATAAAATGCGCGCGGTTAAGAATCGGGATTCTTCCCTGCCCGGAATACTCATCTACTCCCATTTTTGGTCCGGACAAGTTTTTCACTGCGGGCCCGCAAGGGTATTTGGAATTTTGTGCCTTCTAACCAATTACCATCTTTGTACGAACCAACAGCTCGGACTTCTAGCCAATAGATGACCGATCCATTCCAACGGGATTCATAGCAGATTTTCAGTCAAATACCTTACAAGCATCCATCAAATTAACAGAAAACGTATGATTCTACCAGAAGGAGGAAGGGATCTACACTGACACTCTCACTCCCTCCTCTTGCCTTCTCCATCTGCTTCAGTCACCCCCATAGTAATTCTTTCTAGTAATTCTCTGATCTATTTCTGAGCTTATCAAGTCATACGGAGTACATCTAGTTCGTACATGCGGCAAGTACTCCCCGGATACTACTCCCCCGGCTACCGCCCCTGTCCTTCTCGCGTCCAAAAGACATCACCGATCCAGCCCACCGACCCGGCATAATGTTCTCCCTTTCTTACTCGCATTTCATCCCTACCAATGCTACCATGCATACATTGATGACCTATTCATATTCAGGTATGCCCTTTCATACTCACTAGCGGCATCAAATTAACAGCATTAGCCTCGCCCCGTACCTGCCGCCTTAACCACATATTCTAAGCAGCAATGATTTAATTATATGTTGAGTATCCAATGATATTTTACCATCCCATTTCACATCTAATCCATCATCCCATCATGTGAATGATTAAATTTCATATCTGACACCATTCCCAATCGGGATTTCGCGAGCTACCCAATGAACGATAGCGAGAGATTGAGATTTCGGAGAAATAGCTAAAAGGAGTATATATGCATACAGTACCTAGGTATCAATACAAAAAAGATCGGTCTGGTGGCCAAGGAAGTTAAACAAGGCAAAGGCATAACGAAAATTCTTAAAGGTTGTCCAGGTAAGGCAAATGATTTCATTTCAGATGTGTGAATTTTAAAACGCACTCCCATTTTATGTCATCTTATCTATGTGATCTGTCTGTAACTGTCTGTGGAAAAAGGCAATCCCCGAAATTTTATTTCGATGAAAGAGTCCCCTAGCTTCGCTCGCTTGTAACTAAATATCCTTTCCCTTCACTTAACTTTCAAGCAAGATGAACAAGTTGAACAAGATGGAAAAATAGACATTCTCTTTGCAGTGCAGTGCGGTACATCGCATCACATAGCTCAGCTCTGCTTCGTACATACATGCATATGTCAAAGGAAAATAAAGTAAAGTAAAATAAAATAGAGATTTGATATCAAAAATTGAAACAAAAAATCCAAAATTTATGCCTTCCCTTCCCTCCCCTTCCTTTCCCATTGTATGCCAATAGCCCAAGGTCCCATATTTACCAACCAGAATGTGCCGTTACAAGTTTGTTTTCATTTTTCAAGAAACCCATCCATCTATCCATCCATTCATCCATCGCGCATATTCATTCCAAAATGCTTGAAGTTGCTTGCCTGCCTGCCTGCCAAAGTCCAGAAGACTACCTCCCAAATACAAGTCCTTTTTTATCCATCTATCTTACCCAGTTCCTAATCCCTACCTTCCCACTGCCGACCGATCGACCGTTTGTCTGATTCTGATGTTGTATCCCGCTGACAGAGAGAGAGAGAGAGGCATTAGAGAGTGAGGAAAGGGAACAATAATCCCCTCCCCGCCAAAAAAAAATCAAGAAACTATGTAACAAAAAATTACTAAAGAAGGAATAGAAAGAAAAGTAAGAAGTAAAATAGTAATACCGATGAATAGATCAAATCAAATAAATCAACAAATCAACCAATCAATCGAGATGCCTCATTCCCAAGAAAATTCCCCAACTGTTTGTAAAAGTACATGTGACAGATAGATAATTGATTGATATTTTGATTTGAAGCGACCGAGGTTCAGCCAAACCATCAGAATCTCGCAAATCACAATCGTAAAATTGCCCAATCCCCCCTCCCAAAAAGACACCGAGTACAAACAACAATGTTAAAAAGCAACAAAACAATACAACCAGCCAAGTAAGATTCCTGTGTGCTAGATTTCCAGAAAAATTACAGGAAAGGAAAAAAGACCAAAAAAAAAAAGAACAGTTGGGCCGATGCATTGCAGAGCGGGGGTAGCATTCGCATCGCATCCGCACTCCCTAATGGACGCGGGAACGAGCGCTGGCATCATCTCCCAATCTCGCATTCGATTCGTGTCGTCGTGCATCATAGGGTTATCATACATTGCGCTCGTGTTGTGGAACCGTCAGCGGTTCCCCCGGTTCTACCGACATTTGACGTATGTAGACATACATGTAAATGTGTGGATTTGAGCTCGAAGCATCTTTTTTAATGTGTGTGTGTATGCGTGAAAGGTGATACGATGATGCGATAAGATACGATACGATGTCGAGACCTGCGTGCTGACATCTTGACGGGATAGATAGGGATGCGTATGCACGTCTGTTTGTTTCTGGAAAGAAAATTTATAATTGATGAAGTGATGGATGACTGATGAATCTGAATCTGGACCTGAATCTGAATCGAAGCGCTGAACCATCCAAAAACATATAGATCGCTTTTCGTAATTCTTCCAATATGATGTGATGTGTATGACGAAAGAGAAAGTGATTGAAACACTCTTAAATCAAACTCGGAAACTTCTATGCATGCCAATGGTATCTTTCCCGCCATGCGATTATTCTCATATCCTCTCACATCTCCTCCTGCGCCGCCGCCTCCACCCCAACCAAAAGTAGCAGTGTAATCTATTGGCTGCTCCACACAGGCTCCTGATTGTGATGTTCCGAGCTTGTCGTCATAAGGTATTGAGCCCCTGACGAGGCTGATGTGAGAGGACTAACCATAGCGTCGTGATGCGCATGAACGGAGCTTCCGCTGTGTGGAGGTGGCGAATAGTGGGAGTTTTGAATGTAAGATGGAGCTCGTCCCATTTGGTCTGGGTGAGGCGGGAGTACTAGCTTTAGTGTGTGCGTTGAATTGCTGTCCATGGTGTAGTTTTGAGGTCTGAAATCGACGGTTTCGATGTCGAAGCGTTTGGAACAACCGTCTTCCATATGTCTGTTGTAGTTGTTAGCTTGAGCCTAATAGTAAAATTTAGAGAGTGATGTGGGGGCGCACCTTCTGAGTGTGTCTTTCCTTGCAAAGAATCTGCTGCAATAGTCACATTTATGATTTCGTTGCTTCATGTGAACACTCTGGTTGTGACGCTGGAGGTCCGTCTTTCGGACGAATTTCTTGGTACAGTTCTCCACAGGACATGGAAAAGGATACTCTCGATCCACATCGTGAGTTTCCATGTGAGCCTTGTAATTGTAGCTACGGCCAAAGAGCTTTCCACATCCCTTAACGTGACACTGGAAATTTGCATCTTCCTTGGTGGTGAGCTTTCGAGGTCCCCTCGTCCGTGCTACTACACTTGGACGTCGAAGATCCTGTGACGATAATCTATCCTGACTTTCGGATCGCCTCTCGTAAGTTGGAATTGGGAGCGCGGAGAATGGTGGTAAATCAGTAGAGGTGTATTCCACCTTTTGTGCCCACGGGGATTGGTCGTAGTAAGATGTCTCGAGAGTCCCTGAGTAGGTAGTCACTGCACCAACAAATGGATGCTGGCCATTGTGAGGGGAGCCTAATGTGAAAGAGTCACTACTGGGAACATATTCTGAGTGGTCTTCCATCTTGATGCGTGGAGTGTAGGAATGTATCGACCCGGCCTGAGTAAAGATCTCTGAAGGTGGAGCAGAAGATAGTGAAGAGCGATGAGAGTTGTTACCGGACTGAAGTGGAGAAGTTGAAAGAATAGACGTTTCAACAGTTTGGGAAGTGGTATATATATCAGTAGTGAAAGGAATTGATACTGCCGGATTATACGAGGCAAACGGATCATACTCCGCGGAGAGAATATTAGGCATTGACCTGGATGATCTAGGCGTATCACGGCTTTGCAAAATGGTATCTGCCCAGCTGTTGGAGGTTACAGAAGAGAGGTCTCCTGAATGCAAGCTAGCATCTTGATTCTCCATTGCCGGCGGAGACCCTGACATAGAGCAAGAATAGATTTCCAAGCCTTGGATGGAATCCGTCGATCCGTATCTTGATTCACTTTGAGCCGGCGAAGGATATTCAAAGAGTGGCTGTGAGTTGCCTGAGAAAGTGAATGGCGGCGTTGGGGAACGAGTGGATTGGGGGGTTAATAACTCCATGTTGTTTATAAGAATAGAGAAGAGAGATCAGGAGTACAAAGGTGATATGGAAGGGGTGAATAACTTGGAACGGTTGGGGGCTGAAAAAGTGACTCGAATGATGGCTTATAGGACCAAGTACTGGCAGATCACGGCTTGGAGATGTGTAATAAAAATCCCTGAAATGTGGTGTGATATTTCATACAGAATCTGAGTCGATGACTGTGGAGAACGAGGACTTGAACCGCGGCGAATGTAAACCTGAAGGAATCCGGGGTTGTATGAATGATATCCCACAGGAGGAGAAGGTTGAAGATGTGATATGGAGCTACAAGAATAGCTGCAGTTTAAAGTACTAGGAATATTGAAGGATGTAGTGTGGTAGATGTATGCTTCTTGTTCTTTCGAGGAAGAGAAAGGAAGACTACGAGCATCTAAGTATTGCAAGGCAGATATCCAAGGGTTGTCGTTCTTTTTCAAATAAAAGATATGTAAACATAACGGGTTTAATGAAATCCTGTTACTTACCAGGGTTGCGGCAGTCTGGGTTGGCACACATACATACCTAGCTAGAAGACAAAGCAGGGGGGGCGAGCCCCATGGAAAGACTCAAATCGGTAATACCCCTGTCGTATAAGCCAACTGCAGGAGACGCACAGGTCGAGATCCGATGTAAAGGTAACCAAAAGTACCAGGAAGCAGGGATATTATGCTAGTTCTTACACGTTATAACGGCAAGCGAATAAATAAATTAGGTTAAGGGTAAGAAGTGAGTGATATGGAGAAGAGCGAGTGGAGAGGGAGGGAGGTATTGTATTGTACTGTATTGTTATTGCAAGGATCAGATTGAATGTCAGTTAACATAGCCAGAATGGCTGTATAATTTTCCCAATTCCTCATTTAGAAAAGCTGACAATCTAAAAGGCAGTCAGACGCAGTAGCTGAACAGGTAAAATGCATCCGATTATGGTATTCCAACAGACAATCTGCAGGACAACGCTCCAAATTTGCTAAATCTGATGTTTTAGAACATGGCTCAGGGGTCTATTTCCTTGGGGGTTCCTAAGATAGAGTAGAGTGCAGAGTGCAGAGTGCAGAGTGCAGAGTGCAGAGTGTAGAGTGCAGAGTGCAGAGTGCAGAGTGCAGAGTGCAGAGTGCAGAGACCGAGCCTTGTCATTGTCGTCAGATATATCTGAGATTGATGAGGCTAGCCTTGACATGAGTATCTTTTTTAGGGCATCTCGTAATTCAATCTCGTTTAGGGATGTTTGAGTTCGCTGACTGAATTAGGGATATTCTCAGATATGTATCGGGATATCTTGGATCTTGGATCTTGGACCTTGGACCCTGGACCTTCTATGATCCAATACGAGGCATTTCATGAGTCGGTCAGAGATATCTCTCATATCCCAGGTGTATGTATGATCGTACCGGAACGTTGTGTGGATCAAAGATAGCAAACATGGTTGCCTTGTCGAGAATAGCATGTTGTGAGGTGAGCTCGGCCTTGTATTCTATGATTTGATCCCAGTACTTCGAGATGCATGGAATAAATGGACAAGTAACATTGGGTCTGGTAGTAGGAAATCAATTAGATGTTGGAATCATGTTGGATGACTGTATTAGCAAACGCGCTGAAAAAACTAAATTGACACTACTGATCATACCGATTAGTGACCGTTTTAGCGTTGGAAAGCTTATAATTTCTTTTGCTTCCCCACCATCCGCTTCTACGACTCCCTATCCTACCCAGTATCCACCTATGTAACTATGTAACTATGTAACTACTCGCTCACTAGGCAGTTAGGTGGTATCGTTTGACGCGTCAAAAAGAAATCAAATTTACCCGCTGTTTGGGATTTGATCTTGCTTTTTAACTAGCCATTCAAGACATCCCCCTCTATCAAATATCGAATGATAATATCATGATAGAAAGAGCGCGCACACAGTCTCGAGTAATTAGTAGCAACATAGAAAGAAAGCTTAGAGGAAACAGCCAACAGAGCTGTCGGAATAGACCAGAAGAAGAACAACTCAGATAACTAACAACAACCGTTACTATTGAGGGTCCAGGGCTGTACGGTACTGTATTGAATGCATCTCCGAGTGGGCTAGACGTTTAGACCCGCAGATAAGTCAGGTCATATGGATGATTTGGTTACGTTTGCTTTCTTGCTTGCTTTTTGCTTCCGTCGTTATTCTTGGGAAGTCGAGTCGACATCAAGCTTGATATTTTTACCATATACCTAGGGAACGAGTCAGAGATTCGGCTGCCTGCAGATGTAGGAATCATCACCATACATATTTTGGAAACAGCTTGTCTCTCCTTCTCTTTGTCCTTTATAGGATTAGTTTGATATACAAATGTTTGCCAATATCAAGAGTGGAAGCAGCGTTAGATCTTCCATTTCTGGTTTAGCTGTAACCAAAGTCGTTGAAATATGATGCCACTCGAGGCACTTTTGTATTTTGTAGGTGATATGCTACCGGGCATGACGTCTCAATCGTTCGTGTGTCCCAACCACACAGTAATGATCCCCGTTGAATCGAAGGGTGGATTGAACAGCTCGTTTACAGTCAATTTGTGAGTGTTGATCAAGTGAATGCATTGGAAGGCTTAGCCTGGAACAACCATCAAAATATTATGTCTACAGTACTAGGTAATTATCTCGAATATTTCGATCCGACTCCTCAGTCCTCCACTCCATCAACTCCTTTTGGAACGATTTGCAGACGATTTGTTGCATCAAGGAGCCAGCTGTCTCTATCTTTTACTTGCCTCCTGATTCCCTCCATTCATGTGATGGGATGACACTCACACTCATCTTCTTTCTCTTCCTCCCGTTCGTAAGTTCGTACTTGTGGTCCAGTTAGAAGTGCAAGACCACAACCGAGTTCATAGGGCCAGTTGTCCCACTTTCTAGCCTGCCAATCTAATTATCGACCGTGCGAGCTTTTGGCCCAGGCTCACAGGGCATGTAGATCTTTTTGGGACCGGATGGATACTTTTTAACTCAAGGGCCGGACCTTGCTGAGGCTCACTTTATTAGAAAAAAGAGGCTGTTGTTGCGATATTGCAATTTTCCTACTCTAATATTAATAGATAGTGACCAATCCAGGTCCATAGGAACTGGACGGTAGATGCCATAGTTAGTTCTACTAGGTACTCCTAAATCCAAATCCAACATTTAGAGGCTGGTGGGCTCATCTCATCTGCTTATCCGCTCATCTAATTCCTGTTTGGGACTATCATGACAGTAAAACGTGTACACCATGAGCTGTCCCTCACACCTTAGGTCTCGTTTCAACAAGCACACCTCGTCTTTTAAATCATGTACCACGAGAGATCGTCTCGTCTGCCTGTACCCCCCGAAAAACAGCCCTGTACTAACCTAGCACCTGGAATTCTCACCCTTGTAAGTTCGTCCTAAATAAATCCCATGGGTCGAAAATGGCCTCCAGCCGGATGAATTTTTCCTGCGACAGCGCTTAGAACCCTGAGGATTTACTAAGTCAACCGATTTGTAAGTACATAGAACGAGTTCAGTAAATGATCGTAGGGGGAAAAGAGAACCAAGGTTCGGGTCAATTTCGAGGTAGTATGTCATTGTGTGGGAGAGATAGCAATACACCAATGCACCCTTAGCACGCGATGCGATGCGATGCAATACTACTCTTGCCCTAGGGTAGATGATTCTGTACAAAGTAATTGTACGTAAAAACCCCTTCTTGCCATGCATATATCATGGTTTGAGAATAATGAAAAAGTCTATATTTATCAACGATGCATCTGGATTTCTTCCATGCTGTTCTTTTCAGAGTGACATAGGGCCTGATGATCGATATGCTAATGATGCAATAACGAACTCCCCTGTCTGTTGATGACTTTTCTACTGTGTTGATAGGCCCAGATACTCGAACTTTATACTTCGATACTACAGGTCTGCCTTGAGGGAGGCAGACTCCGCGTGTAGTATTTAGCCTCTCATACATTCATACATGACCTATGTAAACGACTTTTCGATATCCTAGATGTACAAGCTAACCACGGAGGAAGTACGAGGTAGAAGCATCTAATCGTAAAATGCCCCAAAATATCCACAGGTATAGGTAATTTCCAATATTCAAACCCAATTTCCAAAAATCCATCTGTATTCCGCCGAGGGCTATGGCAATCCCAAAGATCCTCCCCTAAATGAATGTAACATAACATAAAATCATGAAAATCACCACCAACAACAACCACCAAACCTTCCTACCCCTCGATTCTAAAAATGAACCTAACACAAAAAATTCCCCATTTGTCCATGAGGATTCTAAAAATCCCCCATCCAATCAAATACAACCTAATTCAGAATTCTCTCGTCTCACCGTCCGTCCACACTGTAAAGGATTCAAAACAAACTACTAGCTAGGTACTCACTCTGTCCCGAGGTACCTACATACTGAAGACTACACTGCCTACGCTCTAAATCCCCCGGATAACATACCCGAAGCGAAGTCGCAATTAGCATCTCTCCGTCTATCTCGTAGTTCTGCGGTGAGACTCCTTCGGGGAGATAGATTTCTTCACATCAATTTACATTCATTCTCGCACAACCAGCCCAAAGACCCCGACAGACCATCGCCACCACCGAGTCTTCCCAATCCGCTGCATACCCACCCTCTCTACCGCACTCATTAACGAACTACAGTTTAGCTATCCGCGTATTTCTGTAAGGTACCGTCTGTACCTACACTTATTCAATCGTATATCATATCGTACCCTAAAACATGGTTTTATGTACCGCATGATCTAAGCCGCGCTTCATCCTAATTCATCCCATCTCATCTCATCTCATACACATTCAAAAAGCCCCTGAATAATAAATAATCCGGGGCTACTTTGGTTCTGGCGATGTGGGGTCTACTTCACGGTATGTACATGAACAGTGAGCTATAATTACATTAGTCCAGGCAGGTACGAAGGAATCACTATCCTGTCTTATCCGTCGACGATTCAGATTTCATGCAGTATAAACCATGCCCGTTAGTGAATCCTTCTCGCACGAAACGCTCAAACAAATCGTACCCGTTCTGCTCCACTCCAGCCTAGAATTGGTTGCGTGCTGACACTCCACATACTCCATACATAAGTCCCTTTTGCAAATAAAATTTGCCCACCTGCTGCATTTGGCTGATGAACGATAACAGTTACCAGGTATGGGGAGGGGACAGTGTAGCATGAGAACGAGATGAGATTATAATGATATTTGCCATTAATTGCTATGCCAATGAAATGAGAGACGGCTCGTAAGCTTGGTCAATAATGCCCCCCTTTGTACCAAGAACGACTAGCCAGGAACTCCTAACTTAATGCTGGAAGTTTTAGAGAAGGAGAATGAGAATGAGAATGAGAGAAAGACCCGCTAAAGTTTGCCACAAGAACGCCATTCATTATACACCCTCTAGCTACGATAATTAACTGGCGGCTCTAGACTGTCGTCGCCCTCTAGGACACTGCCGACCTGGTTAGAAGATATGTAGATCAATAAAATATCAAGGTTGGTACTCACGAATACTGCTTAACCAGGACTCCTTCTCCTCCTGCTTCCATGTCTATACTATAAATGTAGAAACCTCCGTCGCTTGTTACCACCATTACTTGGGGACTGCTACTACTCATTGCCACAACACTCTTGAGTGGGCCACTCCGAGAAGTAGCTCCCATTCCTCCTTTTGGTAATTTGATGAAAGCAAAATCCCGCGCCGGCTCCCACATTTCTGTGACAGCCTGGGGTAGGTATCCTCCAACGACTCCGGCAACACTTTTACCCATCATTTGCGATGATCTCCTGATCATGCTCCCAAAAGTGCCAGTGGACTTGGATTTTTCAACTGGTACATCTGCCATCTCACTACCAGGTGATGTCCCAGCTGGAGGAGACCCGTTGTCACTATCAAAACTCCGGGATCGTTTCCATTTATCTTTGCCGTTTGGAGATCGCGGTGACTCTGGCATACCCGTAACAGGCCCGCCAAGTCGGAATATATGGATTGTATCCGAATTAGAAGACACACAGAGCAATGTAGAGCTCATGTTAAATGACAGGCTAAAAATCGTCGATGGATATGTGCCTCTTCGAAACTGGTATAGTTTCTGTCCATCCGGTACCGAGAATACCCTAATGATTGTCCCTGTTTCTGACGCCGTAGCCAGCAAAGTTCCATCATTGTTCAATGCAATGCACGATAGCGGTGCCCGATGTGCCTCAACCACATTTACGGCTTTCAATGATTTTGCATCAAATATAAGGACTTCTCCAGACGTCGGTGCGACATATGGCGAGAGCGGCGGTGCATGGGCCGGTCTCTTATCTCCCGTTTCTTCCCTGGGCTTTGGTAATGGGTATGCCAAATAGCAGTTCTCCGATGAAGCAGATAAGGCGCAAATGGCGTTTGGGTTTGCTGATGTAGAAATTGTGTATAGAAGGCCCATGTTTTGAATATCGTATAGATATATTTCTTCCTCCAACAACACGGCAAATCGTTTTCGATTCAGTCGCACTGCCAAAACCGCAGATGGAAATGTGAGTTCGCATATAACCGTGCCTCTCTAGAATGTAAAGAATGGTCAGTATATGTAATTTCCAGAGCTCCATGAACATATGATTGCGTTGATGGTAAGTCGTACCTTGGTGTTCTGAATTACGATATGTCTAGGTGACTGCTTGATGGCCACCAAGGAAGTTGAGAATAGCATCTCAATTATAGTTACATTCTCATTATCCCCCGTGAATATCTTCGAAAATGGATCGGTATGGTATATTCGAAAGCCTTTGGCAGTTCCTGATGAAGGGGCATTAGTAAACCTCGAAATTGGATCAGACAGAGCACCAACCAACTGCCAGGCAGGTGTAGTCCTGGTTGAACGTAACATAGTTCATAGTTGCGAATCAGTAGACTTAAAGTTACTATGTTGCGCAAAGATGTTTCTCGAGGATAATGCAAGAACTCAGTCCTGCAAGCTTCAGGGTTGATTGCTCGCCGTGAGGTTTTTGGTTGGAGATTAGGATTGGCGCTTCTATGGATGGATATCCCCAAGATCAACTAGACAGCTGAGCTGTAGCAATCGATACTCCTTTGTATGAGCTGCACATTTGATTTCGAATCGTAATATTGAATCCCTCGATAGATGATAGACTGCAGACTGTACACTGTAAGCTGGAAACTGTTGACTGTAGAAAGATAGTGAGGGACGCGGGGTTGTTTCCCATTCTCATTCTAAAGAAGCTCCAGGAATTGGGAAGCTGGTTCGCCGCCTAAATTTCGGCAAGTCGGCCGCTAGACTAAAATGTGAAAGTCCATGAAGCATCTTGTATCAATTTTTCTTTTTGGGACAAGAATCTTTCCATATTTATAGGTAAGTGAGAGTTGTACAAGAATGGAAGGACATATTCAAAATGGGCGTCGTCCAGCAAAAATTTCAAAATCCTCTGGGCAGACCAAAGCCCAGAAAACGGATGATTCAATAATGGGTGTAAGTTTTTGGTACTTGAATAACCTCTCATGTGTGAATGTTAATGCAAATTAGACCAATAACAGCAGCATTGTTTCCAAGCGCAGCGTGGAACGTCTTTACTTCCCAGATGAGCCCCATTTTTTCCGTTATTTCGTCAAGAAACCCCTGAGGCGATCCCCTCTTATCAATCGTGGATATTGGCTACGCATGAAAGCCATAGATCATGTGGTGAAACAGTTCCTAGAGCAGAGATCCGAGAAACAAAGGGTTGTCATCAATCTGGGATGTGGATAGTAGGTTTTGAAAACTCGACTATACAAGCGGTTCACTGATTACCCAAAGTGATCCCCTTCCTTGGCAATGTATGAGTAGATATCCTACAGCTTCTCAAGATGCGAAGTTCATCGATATCGATTATAAAGACTTAATGGTCAAGAAACAAACAGTTGTCCGAAACACATCAGAGCTCAACTCCATGCTCACTAACCTGAATATTACTCAAGACGGAGACATATTGCTTAGTAGCGATCAGTACTTGCAACTAGGATGTGATTTACGAGATCTCAAACGGCTGGAAGAAACTATATCGAAAGTTGTGGATATAGAGAAATGTTCATTCTTATTTACAGCAGAGGTTTCCATCACATATATGCCTACCGAGTCGGCGGATGCATTGATACAATGGGCTAATAAACTTCCAGACGGTATAGTCTCATTCTTTCTTGTTTTCATGCATGTAGAACTAATACTTTCCAGCTCGTTTTTGTCTCCTAGAACAGCTACTTCCAGAGGGAATAAGCCATCCATTTGCTCAAACTATGATGGCACACTTTGACAAACTTGGCACACCCTTGGGTGCATGCAAAAAGTATCCAACTGTCACTGCACAAGACACACGTTTTCGCTCTCTGGGGTGGCCATCGGTATTAGTACGCAATCTATGGGAGCTTTGGGGTGCTGAAGGGTTCTTAGACTCTAAAGAAAGAATCGCTTTAGACAGTGTCGAGCCTTTCGACGAGTGGGAGGAGTTCGCTTTGTTCGGATGTCACTACCTTTTACTCGTTGCTGATAATACTAGTACAATGCATCATCAAGCGATGCAGGAGGGCTGCGAACCAACGTTGAATGGCTCCGGGGCTAAAGACACTATAAGCACATACTCCGAATATCCAAAAGCTCAAGGCCAACGCAGGTTTGCTGCCCCACTTTCCGTAAGGGCTGGGAATAGAGGTCAAGATGCTATTGGTAACTTTTCCGGCATGGGCCTTAATACTCGAGTGAGTACGTGTGATGTTTACTCCACTGATGATACTGGTTTCACTTCATTCAATTATCAAGGTTCTCATTCTTGGCCATCGAGCCGTATGTGCCACACTATCACGGAAATCGGCGATGGTGCATCTCTACTAATTGGAGGTCGAACATCGCCAGATAATGCCATAGTTGACTGTTGGATTTACCATAAATGGTTGAACATTTGGGAGAGAGTTGAGGATCTTCCACGGCCCAGATATCGCCATTCGGCTGCCCATTTAGGCAATGGCTATGTAATGGTGATTGGTGGCAAAAGTACCTCGAAGACTCTGGTTGATGATGCCGTGATCTGGAGCCGACAGCGAGGATGGGTGAAATGCAGTATCAACTCAAACCAAAGGCCCCCTGCTTTCTTTGGTTCTTCTCTTATCGTCTATCCTAAAACGTTTTCTCATCCTCCAGTATCAAGGTCTGGAATTATGGCTGGTGGCATAACTGAAGACGGACTGGTTCAAGAAAAAGTCCGGGAATGGGATATATCTCAATATAGAGCTGAGGTAAAGTTTAGAACTAAGTCACACTGTTGCTCTTCTTGACTGACTGCTATACAGCAACCTTCCATATCATTTAAAATTCTGGACAGTCCCAATACAAAGGCTGAAAATGGCGCAACTCTTGCTCGTTTTGGCGCACAAACGCTGGTTCACGAAGACAATATTGTCGTATTAGGTGGTATTGTGAAAGATATACTACTACCTTTCGCCAACGAGATATGTAGTAGTAATATTGAAAGCATGTCGAAGACTGAACGTGGAGTCTGTTGTTCAAGTGTGTCAACCAGTCTCGAACCACGGCCACTTCTTATTGGTACTTCTGCTGTCTCAAGCGGTGATGATATCGTTATCATGGGTGGTTCAGCGGTGTGCTTTTCATTTGGAACATTTTGGAACAAAGGCTGTTATTCATTAACCGTGAAGCGTTCTGATATCTCGGAAGCTAGCAATGGTGTAATGTATGATTCTTTGCGTGGGCCATGGAAGTTTATGCGCACCATTGATGGAGCTCCTTCCCCTAAAACAATATCTACCAGTCTTCTCAGCGCAACTCCAGGAACTCAAAGCTTGGTCAAAGTACCACGGATAAAGCTCAAGTCGTCTATGGAATTCGACAAAATCCTTGATGCAGGCAAACCTATCATCCTTGAAGGACTAGATACTGGTGTTTGCGCCAAAGAATGGACCTCTGACTACCTAAAAGATAAAGTTGGTGCTGATAGAGAAGTAGTGTTTTCCCATTCTTACAACAAATTATCTCTAACTATTTGTAGGTTATTGTGCATGAAGCATCGACAGAGCATATGAACTTCAGTTCGAAAAACTTTACATATGTAACGAAGAAATTTGGCGATTTCCTAGATGAGGTAGAGAAAGGAAGTAAGCTCTATCTGCGATCATTATCTGCAGAAAAGGCATCGGAACTCCCTGCCGATATTATGAAAGATTACCCTTCGATATCCGCCGACTTTCAACTACCTCCAGAGTTGGCATCCGTTACGCATAACGCACATAGCTCCCCATTACGTATTTCTGGACCTGTCAATATGTGGTTACATTATGATGTAAGTTTATCCTGTTACCTAATCACGTTCAAGCCAAGTGCTGATAATATTAGGTTATGGCCAATGTTCTCTGCCAAGTTAGAGGTTCTAAACGTCTTCTACTTTTCCCACCCTCCGATGTCAAATATTTAGATTTCGCCCCAGGTGCTTCAAGCTCAAGTATCAATGTTTTCGAGAACCTCAGTGATCCCAAGCTCTCACATACTCATCCACACGAAGTCATGCTTCAACCAGGTGACATACTCTTCTTACCTTCACTCTGGCTACACACAGCCTCACCTACCTCTGGCATAAGCGTAGCTGTCAATGTATTCTTCCGAAATCTCCGCAATGGATACGCCGCGGGAAAAGATGTATATGGCAATCGAGATTTACAAGCATATGAGAAAGGTAGACAAGACATTGCGAAGGTGATGAAGTCTTTCGAGAGCCTACCCACAGATGTTCGAGAATTCTATTTGCAGAGGTTGGCAGATGAGTTTATGCAAATTGCAACATAAGCATTGCTGTTGTATGAGTTTCGGCTAGATGACTGATGAAGAGACGGAGTCATGCCGTGGAGCTGAAGTCAAAGATTTTGTGATATATACCAATTCAAGACACAGTGCTCTACTCCCTCCCATGGACGAGTTGATATTGATTGTTGAATGTCCAAAAAGTACCTACCTACCTCAAAAAAGCAGCGCATTATATAATTCCGATAAAATAAAACTCAAATTCAAACCCCCCTCCATGCTTCTTGAAAGCTTAATACATATACATGCCAAAAGCACTACCTAGTAGCTATCCCAACAGCGCATCGTACCCCTTCACCTTACCTGGTACTCCCACAAATAAGATTACATAGTTTCCACACCAGAATCATCAATCTCAACAACTCTACATATACAACCCATCAACCGAACGATTCTTTCCCGTAACATCATAATAACAATTTGCCCTAAATTTCACATCATCCACTATTTGAATTTTGAGTTCTAATTTCAAGCAAGCGGAATAACACACTTTATTATCTACTTTCTTTCAAAAGGAGGTATAAACCTTATTCATGAATCCACATCCTTCGTCCCGTTTCGCTATTCTAAATAGATCTTTTCCTCTTAACACGCCATGCATCCATCCATCCATCGACCGCATAACAAAAAACCCCCCTTCTTGTTTCTTCCCCTAATCCCCTGATATCTTCCCCTGATATCTTCCCCTCACCTTCCTCAAGCCCTTTCCTGTTCCGGCACATATCTATCAACCAACGAAAGAAGTAGTACCGCCCCCAGTAGCTGGCGCCGCAGCACCAGAACCAGCACCAGCTCCGGTAATTCCCGACCCGGATCCAAGATCTCCGGAATCCTCTACAGATTCCTCAGTAAGCTTTTCATATTTAATATTTCTCCTCCCATTACTTTTATAATACAACATTACATCGGCACCGCCCTTCCAGACATGTGCGCGCAGGGTGGCGAGCGACATTGTTATGGGGAGTTTCTGATTGACGATTTGGTTAGTCTCGGTTTTTTTGGTATTTATTCTGGAACCGGGCCACGGAGGTTTCGTCCCGCCGCAGAACTTCAGGGAAATGATGATGGATAATAGATAGGAGAGAATATAGGGAAAATTAAATGAGTAACAAACCTGTTCATAACAATACAAATCCAGATAATCCTCTGGCTTCATAACCTCTGGTTTCGGCTGCTCACTCGCCGGTTCGATCCTCTCCGCTACATACGCCAGAATCTTCTTGACCCTCAACATGCGATTTGCATTAAGTCTCGCATTACCATCCGGACCTGCAATAGAGGGGAGGATATCTTGGTATGGCTGAAGGATGAATGAGACCTTGACGGGATCTTTAAGTGGGATTTTATTCTGTTTCTTTGTTAGTTTTTGCGTTTAGAAGACGAATGAAACTAAAGAGATGGAAAACGGGAGAGACACATAGATATATACCTTTAGAAGTAATTCACCCAACCACATTGGAGCCTTCTCGGCAATTGTATCGGCATCTTCACCTACTGTCTCTACACTACCTCTGTAAAGATCCTTGACACCACCACTCGTTTCTTCCTGGATAATAATCGTAGTACCTCCAGGGATTTTCAAAACAGGCGTCTCAGGTGTCAAACTAGGCGTGATACCACTCTCAACCTCTTGAGCCGGGTTCTCGGCAATTGATCTTTCGTATTCATTGCGAATTTTCTGTATCACGCCATTGAAATTATCCTCAACTTCTTTTTCAGCAGGAAGTTTATCACCTGCTTCAGATGTTTCGGATCCTTCATCTGTGGCTTTGTCTTTGTTGTCGTCCAATGCAACTGGTTTATCCATGGTAGTTGAGGAGGAACGACCGAGTTTCTTGGTTCCGAAAGACATCCCCTTGCGGAACTTTTTGCCAAACGATGTGCTGCTATCCTTGCCATTACTTTCCTTTTCAGTGTCCACCGCTGGAGACTTAGGGTCTTGACTATCGCTGTTAGTTACTGCCGGTTGCTTAGGAGGGTCGTTTGCAATTGCTGAGCTTCCAAAGTAGTCTGGCTTTTCCGCTGAGCTCCTACTTGCTTGTGATCCTCTCTTATCTAATGGCCCACCATCTTCAGATACGGAAGGTAAAAAACTTCCGAGTCCAGGAGTAGCAATACCAATACCCATTCCTGGGGTTGCAGGATAATTATTACCATTTGCTCGAGGAGTTAAGCTTCCCTGTTGATCCCAGGCAGTTGTAGAAGCATTGGGTATATTGATTGAGATAGGTGGATTGGCTTCTTGTCTTGCTTTGACAATTTCATTGAGCTCCGCGCGGTGAACTTCATCTTTCTTGATTTGCTCATCAACCAGTCTCGAGAAAATATACCTTAATATCCACTTCCCAAGGTTTACTACATAAAATGTAAGCGTTATAGCCCTTTCATCCTTAAAGGGAAAACTTACTTCTCTGGTCTTCTCTGAACTCGACATCATCCTTTATTTCCAGTTCATCTGCATACATCTCCGCATCGAAACAATTATACTCCTCTAAAACGACAGCTAATCGACCAGTTCTAGTATCTAATGAACACCAAGGCGCCACAGCCTCCATGGTGTTAATCTCCGGCTCTACGTCTTCAAGATGACATTTTCCGAAAGATTGAATAGGCACGCACTGAATCATGTATTAGCTGTCCGCCTGTAATTTTCTGAACGAACTCACTCACCTTGAGAAGGTCCCACATTAACACATCTCCAGCAGTGTCTAGGGTCAAAACCCTTCTGCGATCATTCAAAAGCTTGTGCTTCACTAGACCGTGTTGACCCTCGATAGTTTCTTCGGGTAGTGCATGAATAGGAACAATCAATCCCAAATCCGGATCCACGATTGGCTCGGAAGCTTTCTTTCCGCCGCTCATTGTTGAGAAGTCGGTGACAGAATCCGAGGCCCTTACAGTTGGCGCTGGAAAGCTTGCCGTATTTGATATCCTCAAAATTGATTTTAGAGGAATCTCTTTCTTAGAATTTCCATTGGTAATAGGAGGCGAAGCCCCTCTAGGTCTCGATACTGAGCTAGTAGCACGATGGCGCTGGTAAGCTTCCGGTAACTGTATATCTGATCCAGTATCGACATCTGCCCAGCGATTAATAGAGGAACTTGAGGTGGCCGTCCAGATGTGTTCCCCGGAAGCAATAACTCTAGTAACGCCATCATTCTCTTGCGCCAGTGCCAGCGAAATTCCATCATCTAATTCTCCTAAAGTACCTCTGATATCCGTTTTGGCAACCAACCCAGAGCGATCACTACTGTAAAAGACGCCAAGTGATGGATCCTCAGAGAACAGCGACCAAACACTATCGTTATGCATAGTGAGGGTATGCATACATCTTCCAGCCGTCATACTCCATACTTTGACGGTCTGATCCGAACTCGCGGTCATAATCATATCGCCCGCTTGATTAATCAATATATCTCTAACATTATCCGTGTGGCCCACAAACTTCGTTATCCTCTTCCCAGTCCTCGAATCCCATAGTCGCACAATCGATTCCGGTCCTCCAGCCGCTAGTATATGGCTTCCAGTACTCAATGCATAGACTGATCCTTTCTCAGAAGTATCCTCATCCCCCACTTCAATCTCAAGTTGCTTTCCAGCTCCATTTAAATCCCAGAGACAAATCCTTCGATCCAGTCCACCCGAAGCAACCCAATTCGCGGCACTGCCAGGACTGGCCAGACACTTCACATAATCCGCATGTTGACCAATTGTCACCGGTTCATTATCTTTCTCCCAAGGTCTCCAAACCCTCACAGTCAAATCGCTCGATGCGCTCACCAGCGCCGTGTTATTCTTCGCGAGCACCACATCATTAACCCAGTGCGTGTGAGCTTGAGTTTGCGCTCTAAATGTAGTCGCAGACTTTGGGTTAGATTCGGAGGGTGGGTCTTCGAATGGGTCCCTCACGGAGGATTCTTTCGGTCGCAGATCAAGATTTAGATCCCAGGCGCAAATAGCACCGTCTCGTCCTCCTGAATATCTTTGTCCTGTTAACCAATGCGCCCATTGTCTGCCAGTATTTGCTTCCCTCGCATCTCCACTGACATAGGACAAACAGAAGATGAGATGCAACACAAAAACCACAAACTCACAAAATTGACTGCTCACTATCCACGGCCAAACCATTTACACCCAACCTATGTCCGCCCGGAGAATTCGCAAGTGGTAAGACTATAACCCAGTAGATCCACCAATTAGCTTTTGAGACATCTTTTGTTCTTTCCGCCATAAATTGTCAAAGAAAATCCAAAGCGACATCATTACACGAAACGGAATCAGGGCTTTAAACATACCATAACTTATTCTCTGCCGTGCCTTCTTGGCCATCGCCATCTTATCTTGGAGACTTCCCTTCTATCATTCGCGTTGGGCCAGATGGATATTGTCTTGCGCCTCTATGTACAAGATTTGGTACTTTCGTCCATGTAAATTCGATTAATATTTACAGAGATGGTATCTTGTTAAACCGCGAAGAAGGTGTAGTGGACGACGACCTGCAGATGTGGGATTGAGGTTAGCACCGGGGTTTCGGTGTATTTGAGTTTAGTGGGGATTCTAGAAGGATGAACTGCAGTTTGTGGGGGTGAAGCATTTTAACCGGGGTGAATGTCCGGTTTGGTGATGTTGGTGATGTTGGTTTCGTGTTGTGATGTGATTGTAATAATGATAGATAGCTATGGATCTTGATGTTGACATTGACATTGTAAATTTGATGTTGTCGCTCGTTCAGGATTATAGTCTTGAATTATGTATAATATATCATTTATTTTCTAATCCTCCATCCTACCCCATTGTGATTCACCTACTAGCTAGCATATGTAAGTGAAGTAGTAAGTACCTACTATAAGCAGGCACAAGGGCAGATGGGATCTAAAATTTGAGACCATGCCATCTTCTGCATATGTTCATGTCATCATAAACATCCGAGCCATCTCATCCCACCCATCATCACCCAATGAACTTTATTGCCTCGGCTCTTCTTTCCCTAAACCAAGACTCCATCCATCTATTAAATGCATTTGTAAACCTTCCAGCAACCTGCCATTTTTATACAACACAAAATGGGTATCGTTTCCTTTGTTCCTCCTAAAACGCCTGTCGTAAAAACGCCTGATACAGTTAAAATACTCCTAGGCCCCAAGCAAAATCCCCTTGGAAACCCTTATTTATTAAGACAGCAGCTATATTCCTTCTCATGGTTGCCATATCCGTCCCATTATAACAATCCGTATTGACACCCAGAGCAACACAGAGAGCATTTGTACAGACGAATACTCCACAATCATAGCCATTCATCTGTCGAGTACATCCGGTATTTGGTGTTTTCCATTCATCTTCTTTGTATTCCGCGCCGAGTTGAAATTTCAACCATCCACGCATCAGTCTGGTGAATGTGTGTGAAGATCCTTGCAGACTATCGAAATACTCGATAGTTCTAGCTATCGGCCTCACCACCCCTACAGTCCAATGACTACCTCTGCAGATAGGAACAAACACAGTGTCAACCTGAAGCAAGGAGGCCCCAGGCGCTTTTTTCCTATTCATCAGGCGCTGTGTACTGCTGGGCCCTTTCTTGTCCAAGTTTTCATAAAAGAAACTGTTGTGTGCTATGAATTTTGGTACCTTTCCTACAGGTTCACCAAAAGCCTTTGCCTCTGCTTTAGCGAACTCGTTCGCAGCTTCTACCACCCATTCTATATAAGTGTTGATAATCTCGTCGTTGAGCCACGAGTTTTTGCCGAGTAGAGTCCCAAAATCCTTGTAATGTAGTGGAGTGCCGCCCTGGGATTCCGTTATTGGCAAATTCCCGTTCATTCTCGCACGATCTAAAGCTTCACGTATAATGTTCTCCCACTTGTCTTCCAACGCATGTACTAAGCGATTCGACGGATCTCGCCGTGTCAATCTGCGTTCCTTCGCAATTCGAATCCTTTCTTGTTTTTCCTTGAGTTTGCGCGCTTCGGCATCCCTCTTCATTTTCTCTTGAGCTCGCGTCGAGATAGCAAACGGCGAGCGTCCAGTCCCATCCTCTTTATCGTCATCTAGGGTCAATAAATCGGCCAAACGCTCATGTAAAGAACTCCCATCCTGGGCTGCAGATGTGCGTCTCTGTAGTCTCATCGGTTGTAGGCGGATGGGGGGAGATCTGGGTGAACGCTGTGATCGCAGCGCATCCGCTATTGATCTTGGCCTGTCCTCTTCGACTTCATCTTCATCATCTGAAATGACTATGACTTCTCGTTCTACTGGTTTCGTAGGTGCACCAAACGCTGGCGGGATCCATTGTGCATCGGCCTTCGCTCTCAGTTCTTCTTCCGACAAGCCGTCCACTTGATCCTCGTTTGTTGGTGTCATTTTTCGTTGATGTGATGAGTTTCTCGTGTGCGCGCGATTCTTTGATTTATTTCTCTGCCGCTTGACTGCCGTGGACCCGTCTTCTCTCGCTTCTGCCCTCTGGATATGTTCGTCTGTGATTACTGTTAAGAATCCTTAGTACAGTTAATAATATGATTTGCAATGCACCGCTCACCATCAATATTACTATAGGTCATATCTGTGTATGACGGATCGACCCTCCTACGAAGCCATTCCAGGGCACCCAAAAACCAGCCCATTATAGTCTCGAACATTTCTTCCCCTTGAATCGGCTAAAAGAATATGTTAGCTCCCATATCCTTGAATACCTTAACCTTTCCAAGATCAGGACATACCTCAGTAACCTCTATCGAGTTATGAGTTAATTCTTGACTAGCTTTGCGCTTAAGACTGGTGGTCATGACGAAGAGAAGTTCTGTGATCGCTAGGATTGACCAACATCGAGAAATACTCAATGAAGTACAGTACTAGGCAATTCAAAAAACTTTCTGGTGGATATTTGATTGGTGATAACTGATGTGTTGTTATGTAGTTGTGAGTTGTGAGTTGTGAAGGGTTGCGACAAATCAATGATGAAAGAAGAATTGGAGCTTCTTCAAGCGATATCGATGGAATGGTGATTTAAGGTTTCTGGACAAAGCATTTTACTGGATGAGAAAGTGCTGGTGCCGGGATAAAGAGCCGGGGATGGTTTTGCTGGGTTCAGGTTCAGAAAACAAAAGTTAATTGTTTAATTAATTAATTGATAAAAAGTACAAGCCGTTGATAAATTTGATAGGTATTTTAATTGTTATCCTATATATAATCTTTCCTTTAAATTGATCACATATATCCACTACTTAAAAGGAAATTTTTTTATATTTGTTTTCTTTATCTATTTAAACTGATTTACAGGTAAATATTCTATCTATGCATGAGCCTAGATTTTAACCAAATTCTATTCTAATCCCGTCCATCATTGCCATCAAATCGTACAACGTGTGCTATGCTAATATACAATTATTCTCACAAATTTGGTCTCGACTCTCCAAGTTCCTTCGAACAAAAAGCTCCAAAATACTCATTTAGTGCATCAACTGTTGCGCTGCCTGCTTCCAAGCTTACAACAATTCCTACATACCCATCCGGTCTAACAACCACGATGCCTCCCTTTTCTTCATCTAATCCCATCTTGCTATGACTCGAAGCTTTAGCATCTGGTACCATACGATCCCAAATATCATCTGCATAGACGTGATCACTATATCTAGCCAGAGTCTTCGGAACATCTCGTGCAATCTCAATGTTTTGCCTCTTCTCGGCAAAAATGGTGCAAAAGGTGAAGAAGTGACTGTGGGGGTTGTGACGTTCGTGATAAGATACGGTATCGATGTCTGATCGCAAGTATGTTGAGAGGAATGAACCATTCTTGGTAAGGTTTTGTGCAAAATCATTAAGTGCCTGTTTAGTAGTTGCCGGCTTTCCTGCAAAAACGTATACTCGGAATGAACCATTGACAGGAATCTCTTGCTCGAGGTGAACAACATTGGCGTCTGTGACTCGTGTAACATTGGAATTGGTGAGAATACGACCGGTTCGGAGCTTATTACCCTTTGGATTTATGACGCTCGATTGTGCTGGATGGGATGATGACCAGTTTAGTGAGTTGGGATTATATGCCACTCCGTAACCGCTGGTAAATTCACAGGACTCTTTGAATGTCTTGATGAATTCGTTTTCTTCTCTCTCCAGGCTTGTGTGTTCTGCTCCTTGATGTGTGGCTGCCTCAACGTCCTTGGCAGCTGGGGCCTTTTGTGAAAATAGAGCTGCGTATTTCGCGTCGAAGTCCAATAAGTTTTCAGCAACCTTTTTCCTTTCGGCCTCGTATGAATGAAGAATAGATCGATCAGCGAATCCTGATTCAACGTGGTGTATCTTCCAGGCAAGGTTCTGAGCATCCAAGAATGCTGTGTTCATTCCCTGTCCAGCTTTCGGCTGTTGCTTGTTAGCTATTGTCCAGATGAGCACATTTGAGATGACTTACGCTGTGTGTATGACAGGCATCACCACCCAGGAAAACTCTATGATCAAGAGTGTATTTGTCGGCGATGCCTTGACCAATTGGGTACACAGAGAACCATTCTACACGTTCCCATTCAATGTTATAAGGTTGTAGTATTTTCTTTGCAGAAGCCTGTACCTCCTCTTCCGTTGCTGTCTTCCTAGGGTTCCAGTCCTTGTCGGTCGAGGATGCGATCTGGATGTAAAGGCGAACCATGTTATCTTCTCGTGGGATGACCATTATTGATCCAAAATCCGAATGAATAGTGCATTTCATCTATCAGCGTATTAGCAGAGTAACATAAAACACTGTATTGAAGAATGATGACTCACCTTGATATCAGGGAAATCTGTTTGAACCACACCATCCATAACACCCCACACATGCGCGATTGGATCCTTGTGCTTGATCCCAATTTTCAATTGTTCTCGCACAAATGATCTTGCTCCCTCACCACCAAAGAGGTATTTTGCTCTGACAGTCTCCTTTTCACTGCCTTCAACTTGTGCTAAGTTCACTTCTACCGGATACTCGGAATCTTCCCCCTCATCCGTCTTGAACCCCGTGATTGTCCAAGGTCTCTCGATCTGAACATTGTGCTTCGCCAAATCCGCGATGAATACTCTTTCAATCAAACCTTGATGCAGCAAGGTCGTGAACGGGTATCTGGCGTCAATAAAGCTAGGACAACTCGCCCATGTTCCAGTTCTGTGTATTCCCTTTCCACCAGCTGTTGGATCCCAAAATGCGACCTCGTAAACCTTTGCAGGTTCGTGTGCCATAATAGCAGATTTCAACCCCATGTTTCGTAAAAGATCCAAGGACCGAGGTTGAATACCATCTGCTCTTCCAGTTTTGGTTGGCTCTGGTCTATTGTCGATGTGCTTGATCTTGTAACCCCAACGTGCTAGACAGGTTGAAAGCAGTAATCCTACCGGTCCAGCGCCGACAATTACAATGTCAAACTTCTCCAATACATTTCCCGTGCTTCCAACGCTCTCCCGAGGAGCCATACTTTTCTCCATAGTTACGGTGCAAGGGTGAAAATAGTAAATTCGATGGCCTGGTATGAAACAGAGGATACTTGATGAAAGTGGAAAATGCAAGAAAAGAAAAATGAGTCTGAGATTTGAAGAGAAAAGCAGAAGGAAACGGTGAGATTTTAATAAGAAATCTTACATCACTATTATCCGCAAGTTGAGGTCGGAAAGCTCGAACGGCACTTACACCGGACGCCATTGATCCATTCTAGAGCTCACTTGACTTACTTTGATCGGATCCCGAGGAGCAATGAAAGGAGTGAAGTTGTAACGGTAAAGTGCACGGCAAGTTTTACTCTGAAATATTGCGGGGAAGATATTGTCTTGAGGCGGGTGGACCAATCAAATAGCTCGTATTGAGATGGAACTTGTTGTCGGCTTCGAAATCGGTAATAATCTTTGAGCTTGGCATGGAGAAGTGTAAATGCGGCCACCGTATAAATGAGGTACATATGTAGCTCATGGGCTAAGCTCGGTAAAACTTTGGGTGTACATATCAAACATGATCAATCACGAGAGACTTTGTTGAGATTGTTCGAAGCATCCAACGATACATGAATGGTAATCCTGCAGGTACTGACACCAAAGCTGCAAGGGGAACAGAATTCCGCAGCCGAACCCATGGCGCAAATCTATCGACCCAAAGTTGCAGCAGGGAAAGACTGGAGTATGGGCAATACACCCAATCACATGGTGCTTGTATATTTTCCATGGGATATGTATAGATAGCTCCCAAATTACCCTTATGGATCTGAGAACTTGGGTCCGCATCAAGTCGAAGATGTCTTGTGCGATGTCAGCTGAAGTCAACAGATATCTCTTTGAAAAAGATTGAGGGAGGTAGATGGATAGGTAATATATCTCTGCAGAAAGGTTCCTAGGTCAAATCCTCATTAATGTGAATTAGGACAGCCTCATACTCGTGATCCAATTTCAGATCTATACACAAGTATATGGGTTTTCACCATAGTGCGTAGACGGTGGGATCAAATTCGGCTATGGTAGCACATTGGTTCTTGTGGAAAGGGATTACCGATCAAGAATTGGACTTCCCACCAACTATGAATCTGATGTGTTTGCCGTGATAGAATTTCAAACAGAGTGCCTGTAGCTTGCCCATCTGAAAGTCAGATGGCAAAAGTCGGAGAATAAGGTTGTACTGTGAACGTCTCAAATACTCATGAGAACTCACCTTGAAGTACAACAAGGACTTCATGTAAGTTAGTAATTGGTTTCTTGAGATGTCCAGTGAGTGATTTTTATGGTTAGAATTTCTCATTCTCTTCAGATTTTGCCGAATGCTCATTTCCCTAAGAAATGTCCCTTTCCCAAAGAAATGACCCATACCTCTTCTATGATTTTGATTGCTGGTGGTGGATGGCAGTTGAGTGGGCCAAAGAATCACGTTGGACTGTTGGAAGAGGATCGTGCCTTCCCCCAATGTTGAGACTTCCTCACCAAGGAGGGGACATCGTATGATGGAAGAATGCTCAAGTCATATCTCCAAGTTTTATATTTGTCAACGTCCAATCGATTGTTTCTGTTTTCATCCAGAAGTCTCCAGATGAAATATTTCCCAGCAGGCACTGTTATTTTCGGTACCCTTCTTATTTCACATTGGCAGTGCTAGAAATTGTGCTTGATAAGACATAAGGTGCAATAGACTATCTGGAACCTGGATAACCAAATCACTTTCAACTTTGTCGAGTAACAACATAACAATCAGTTGACTTATTAATCAGTACCCAAATTCAAATCTTCGAACTGTCGAAATAATCACAACTTAACAAAATCCTCAGTATTCCTCACATTGTGGCATGGTAGATCCACGGACAATTTTCCACCATATTTGAGAAGTCCCATCTAGAGCTTCATTCAATTCTTCTATATACTCTTCCTCATTCGTTATGAGGTGTACTTTCTTCTTCCAATCTGTTCCACAATAAGGACATTACTATTACTCCGGCTCATCTCTTTCAATATACCAATTCACTGCTTTGATCCCAGGAGATAATTGTTTTTTGAAAATTGCTGCTACATCTGTCATCTGTATTCATCTTGTCCATGTACAATTGTTACTCTCACATTACCACAAAGTTACCTGTGTAAAGCACCTAATTTACTTCTTCTGGGATTTCAATGGTGAAAAGCGCTTCCATTGATGGCGATAGTCCATCAGGGCATGATAAAGGAGGCACGGTACACCCAATTTTGGGCAATTACCATCTTCCTGTAGAGATAGAGAACACACGAAAGCAATCAGGAATGCACAATCTTTCTCGAGAAGGCTGGGGTGAAGACAGTGAGTGAATGCCTTTGATGTATGTTTGTTGAAAGCAATTGACATTTTATAGAATGCCGCAACTATTTAATCCGGCTCTGCTCAGATGGTAAGGACAAAATTCCAGTATCCTCCATTGTCGTATTTGGAGACACATCCCGAATCTTGGTTTTGGTTTTCAAATTAATTGGAAAAATGCCTACCGATGGTTTTAGCAATACTTCATTCAGTATACACGTTTCGTTTTTACTTAATATATGCTGATATTAAAAATTCTAGTGCCTCGAAATTTTCCTTACAAAGATGGATTGCGCATATTGCATCCCCGTCTTCAAGAGAGGTTCGGGGACGAGAATGTTGACTTGGCTTTGGGTGTCTTGGAAGAACTGATCGAAGTGGAAGAGCAACCTCCATTCCCAGCTTCTGTTTTCCAAAGATGGAAGCATGAACATCTCCGCAGAAAGGTTAGCCCCAAGTGAGCGACCAGGTCCTCCTTTTCCTTCTAATAGCGCTGCAGGAAGACTTTACCAACCCGCATGCCCCTCACACGGCAACAATACAAGCGCCAGTCGTACCTACCAAAGCACTCATTGAATACAGAGAAGAGCAGGCACTAAGGCAGTTTGTTCAGCCACAAATAAGTCCAAGTGCCATGCCATATTGCGAATCGTGCAACTCGAAGATTGCACATCAACCTAGTTGGAAAATTGAGCATAGTGTATTTGTCTCAGTGGGAGGGAAACCGGCTACGCTGGCGTACTGTCCGACACCAGCAGAGCTTCACAGAGCAATGTGGGACCCTGAGTACGGTCGTGGAGGCGTATGTATGCGACCTAATACCGCTCAGACAAGCCCGCCCGGCTCCGCAATAGAACCAACTGGACCAACTGCGACATCCTCAAAATATTCCACGCCTACTAGGTCGTTCATGAATAATGCGAAGAAAGAGTTGGGGCACAGAGTGATGAGTGCTCTCTCAGAAACCAGAGAAAGTCTGAGTAGTGCGGCTTCTGACCAAGTAGAGCTTATAGAAATCGGGAGGTACGAGAAGCTTCCTCACGATAGGGTGCCTACTACCTTCGTAGCCCCCCAAAACATTGGTGGACAGGGTGCAATTCGCAAGGTCTCCAACATAATGAATGTCAACTTACCACCAGGTCGTGATATTCCGAATGCGAATTTTGCAAGAAAAAACGAGTTGATTCAAGTCGGACAGCCAACTCCAGATTATCTTCTTGCTCTTCGTCAGCCCACTCTTGATGAGGTCGTCGATAGACTATGGGAATCGAAGATAAAATGTCCTGGTAAGCCGCCTCAAACATCAATGCCGATGCTCCGCTAACTATTACAGACTCTAATCCGCTGCGTTCTTACTTGAATAACTACTATAGCCTTCCCGCCAGTCCTAGTGTCTTCTTTGACGGCGGCCTTGACTATAAATGGGACACTCCAGATATCATCGAAAGCACCGAGAACGATATCTCTAATATATATTCAGCCTCAGGAATTGACGAGCTACTACAGTCGACCCACCTTACATATGAGGATAGTCACAACATCACAGACGATTACCAAATAGAGAATACATATCATGCGCATACAACCGACTGTGTTGAACAGTTCGGCCTAAGCAAACTTTCGATCTCGAACAGCCATGATACGAAACTGTTTGAAGACAAAGAGGGGGAAATTCTGTATCCTACCGTGTATGTGCCTCCTGCGAAGGACAGAATCTCGAAAAAAAGCGGTCGAGTAGAACACTCAAAGAAGGAGAATCGTAAAGGGAATTCGGCACTAAAGTCCGAGCGCTATCAAATCGAATGTGAACATCACGATCGCGATAGTTGTGATGGTATTTGCCAGTCGTGGGAATGTCGTTATAAACAAGAATACCGCAAATCTATTGGGAACGTTGTGAAATGGAGCGAGCCATCTTCAAGATACGCCGGAGAATCCGAAGAATCTGAAGAATCCCGGCTGTCACCAACTGTCTACAGTCCACCATCTTCCCTTGATCCCTTCAACAAGTACAAAGGTTCTCCACGTAGCACCAAGCCTTCATGGGGAGAAAATAGCATTTCGCCTCATTTTATAGTTGATTGTCTGGAAACTTGTGGTGCTGAAACTGCGACATCCGACAAGCCGACGTTGCCAAAAGAGGAGAACCTCGAGGTAACTATGTCGCTCGAAGAAGTAAACCTTACTCCACCAGGTCGATTATCTAAACGTTCATATCTCCCAAAGATTCCGGTAGGAAGTGAATCTCCTGCCGCTTTCGGTAGGCGGAAGGCGGGAAGCCCAAAGAACTCAATTCCCTTGACAACCGAGTTTCCATTGTCTTTAAAATTACAAACAGATGTTAATCAATATACCACTACGAATGGGGACCTAACCATTCCATATTTTTTAAAACATTCGAATGATTCACCTTCACCTGTAATTGCGTCCAACCTGGTTCGAAAAGGAATTATGGATTTCGATGGTGCAGCCGATGTTTGTTTTCCAAAACAGAACAATAGAACCAAACAATCGAATTCAGACAATAAACCAAAAACTCTCCATAATAGTCCCGATAGCCACGATGGTCATTCACTTTACGATGAAAATAACTTAGGCGAAGCTGCGAAAAGATTCTTGATGGAACTCAATCAAGGCCGCCTTCCCACTCTACAATCTCCAACAATTTGCCCTCCACAACCGTTGTATATCTGCAAGCAACCAAGTCAAGTTCAACTTGAACAAGCAGCAGAACATCAAAACCATAACACCAGCCACGAAAAAGCGCGTTTCCCACCTCGTTCGTCTTCGATTCCAAAACGCGAGTGTTCAGGTTCAATTGAGCAGGCCAGGCCTTTTTTATTCGACCAAGAAGTAACTATCCGCGAGCCAAAAAGTCAACTTGACGATCCAAAGATATCAATCAGCCGCAGCACAAAGATTTCACAGATTTATAGCAATCAACCAAACACTCCTGAAATTGCTGCACGCTCAACTGTCTCTGACATCAAGCAATACTACTTCTCTAGCAGCTCCAGTGGCTTATTTGGTGATTTCATCCCGATAGGAAGTCCCGGATCGTTTTATTCTCCTCCTCCTCCTCAACAACAACTGCCATTGCAAACAATGTCTGCCAATAGGTATGCCAATTTATGAATTAACATTGAGACATCCTAACACGAGCTAGTTCAGCGTACGGTCACAAGACTGAGAATTCCAGAAACCCATACGCATTCGAGCCGGAGACTCCCTTAATTATGGATGAGTTGCGCCAGACCACAATGACCGATTTCATGCATATTTACGACGATGTTAGACCTGCCTCGTCACCAAGTCTTGGCCTTGGCCATGTTAAGAATTCGCGGTCGGTTGGTCATACAACAAACAGAAGTGATCCTTTGGCTGCACCTCAATACTCAAGTCATGGTCAAGGTCTCCAGCGTAGCGGAACATCTCCAAGTGTAACGCCGTCACGATTCGTGGCACGCGAAGAATCCCCAAATCCCAAACATCAAGCCTATCATGCTGATGTCGATTCTATCTCACCCATCCTAAATAATGCTTATCCGACTCAAAGCCTACCCCACCGCGGTCGAGCCGCGACGTTTGAGCATTCTAGAACCCCTCTCCGCAAGGGTTCCCAAGAGCGATTTCCACAACCGTCGCGCTCCCCTGCCCGTAAGCCATCCGGCGATCATCGCGTGCAGCCTTCACAAACTTCCGATGAAGCAGGACCCGATGGCAGAGGTCGTTCTGCAACATATACCCCGATTCGAAAGGAGATGAACTCAAATTACAGCAACGAGTCTTATTCGAGCTCAGCTTCGACTACAATCAATCGACATATGACTCGATCCCCCGCAAAGAATCTTATCGACGTAACTGAACAAGATGAGCCTAATTTTGAAAGCCCAGATATGCTACTGATGTTCCCCAAGAAGAGATCGCGCTCGCCGATGAAAAAAATGTTTGGAGAGCATGGCTGGCTTGGATCTTCACCAAATGAGGTTATACCCAGCGTTTTAAGTTCAAAATCCGCCACCCAAAAGATAGACAAACCCAGAAAACCTGGAATGATGGAGAAGATCAAAAATAAAATTGAGGGTTTCGTAAGTGTATGCTCTACGTTTAATCGTTTCTGTTAATGACTCTGAGTAGACCGAAAAGGCGGACATGAAAAACGACAAAAATAGAATATCAGTTTTGTCTATCTCCATCAACCCGTACGAGCAAGCTAGATATTTGGTTGAGCTAGAACTTATGATAGTTCATACAGCCAATACATTTCTCATGATCCAATTTAGTCAAGGTCGTATGTCTATCGATAGCATCAAGAAGACCGTGGACACATGGAAGAACAAGGGACGTCCTGCTGTTGTTGAGTTCATGTACGACCAAGGCACCCAGCGAGATCTTGTTACTGCCAATCAGTATAACTTTCGATTCCACGGCAACCGATTGGGTGATGACGTTCGTATCTCTTCTATGCTCTATAATTGGAAGCAGGTGGCATCACTCATGTCTATCCGCACCTTCTGCAATGCAGATACTGTTCTCTTGAAGTTGGTGTTTGATGTAGAACAGATATTGGAGCTCATTGGTGGTTCTGAACAAATAATGCTACGACTCCAGCATCTTCGATTGTCGATCAACGAAGCGATTCGCATTGCCAAAGTTGACAGGGCTACCCGTACTTCGCGTAATGGTCATGACAAGCAGTGGGAATCACATTCATCGTCAGGCATCGCGCATAATGATCCATACGGATGCATGAAGCTCGTTCCTGAGCGCTATCTTGGCTGAGATACTTTGGTCTCATATCATATGTATATGTATTACCGCTCTCACTTCCACGTTCTTGAATGATATAATGGGTATATTCAGCTTAACCAGTCGTGTGCCGTTAAGCAGCGCAATTTCATTTGGACAATCGCTTTAAATCGATCTTGGACCTCATCCACAATGTCTGTCGTCAAGACCTTGGTAACTTTCAGAGCACAGGGCTTTCCCTTAGGAGATTGAGGTTCACGATTGTACACGGTCGGGCTTTGCATTTACGGAATGGATAAAAATTGTTCGTTTCGCGATTGAAATTTTGATTTCAGTGTTTCCGCGCATTTTGCTAATTTGCTGATTTGCTTCAAGGCCAGGTCATCTCAATCATATCCGGGGGAGGTTTCGGTTTCATTCATATGCGTAAGGAGGACGGAGGTGATTCGGGATATGATGAAGATGAATATGACGAAACTGGTAGATATTCTAAGAATCTTAAGAATTTCTAGGAGAATAACATGAAATATAAAATGGAAAATGGAAAATGGAAATGTTTATGCATTCGCGTTTGTGATGTGCGACAAGGTAGTGATTGCCCTCAAAAGCGGGGTCACGACATTTTTATGGGGCTCACCAGGCTCAGTATGTTCTAAAGGCGTCTTCTTGACAAATGGCTATTACCATTATCCGATTTAACGAGATTTGAATACAACCGTTGCCATGAAAATGAAAAAACCCCGTACTGCGATACTCGTATGTGAAGCTATTCGCAAATAAACAATGACCAAGTTGGAAAGTGTTTTTTCAAGGAAGTTTAGCCTTCCCAGCATCAGCATATCATTATCGATTAACGGGGCATGTGATGTTTGTTGTTTGTTCACTACCCAAAAGCGCCGGACCATAGCCTAGCCGACGTCATCTCACCTGTAGGTTACTTGGACTCGTACAAGTTTGAATCGTAGCTGCCTCCACGCCTCTGAAAGGGAACACAACCAACGACAAAAAGTAGGTACATCCTTCCTGTCTTACGCTTGCCTGATATTGGCAGCGACACTGTTGGCTGTTCATGGCTTCTTTTATTTCTGTCTCTTCCTATTCTCCTTCGTCTACATTATCATTTTCTTTACATTCTTTACCTTTTACCACCAGTTACACCGCCATCAGCATCACTATACCGTCTCTGCTTTCGATTTTTTGACGACAAAGACGTCCGCAGACGAGCATTCATTTCCTATAATCATCCTAATAGCCTAGTATTACCTTTTTTTTTTTGGGCAAAACCAAAACCCCAAAAACAGTAAGTTTGCCAGCATTCCTTCATCTATTCCGCGACGACCGCTGATTTACTCTTAGCAGTACGAGACAACATGTCTCAACCTATTCATACCTTTGGGCGAGGATGCGACCTAGCCCCTCCCAGCAGTAGCGAGCAGGTCCGCAAACCGTGTGACGAGATGCCTCCAATGCGAGCACAGTTTTTCTATTGCTCCCCTCTTCCTCTCGATGATCCTCTTACAGCTCTACCACCTCCAACCGCCGATTCCAAAAATATAAAACATCTTCCTCGACCATTCCCCAAAGGTGATAATAAGGCGCTCCTGGAAGCGTGGCTGGGAATGGGTTCGAAGCGGGATCGCAAAAGTCATAATCGGACATGTAGGCCTAAAGTAGGAATCGAGCCGACAGCAGACAAGAGGTTTGGTGTTATTGGGCTGAGGCCTAAGATTAAACAAGAGGTGAAGGAGCTAAAAGAATCTCTAAAGCCGACTAGAGCAAACCCTGATACATACCAGCCAACGGTTGGATCGGTAACGCAGCAAGCTGATTCGGAGATTGCAAACAGCCACCAGGATCAAATTACAGAAGGAAAGACGGGAAAGCCTACCCAGGAATCTGTTGGTTGCCCTTGCAAGGGAAGTCATCTCTGGTGCAGGAAGAAGGCTGGGAGGTGCAAATGTGCATCTTGCCCGAAAGCTCCACAAGAAGTTATGTTCGAAACCCAAACCTACCAACCCGACATGTCCGCTCAGCAGACCAATGACAAACAGCCCGCTTCACAATCGATCGCCACATCCAATTTTAGGGAGGACCCAAAAGTAGAGACTACTGATCAAATCAAGCGGTCCAAACACTGGGAGCACAATTGCAGCAAAGGAAGATCTGAAAGAGGAAGGTCTGGAAAGGAATCTAGACTAGAGGAATATCCGGAAACCGGGTGTCCATCAACACAGTTATTAGCAGGTTCAGATTGCAGGATTGAAAATTCCCAAGAATCTAAATCAATATACAATCGCCCTACCGAGTCGATCCCGGCCGACTTACTCAAATCTTCAAAGCACAGAAGAGACAACTCTGGAGAAAGTAAAGTTAACGATATTAAGCCCAAGTATTTGTGTCCTGAGGAGGTCCCTCGAGAAGAAAACACGGATCAGATCAAGCGATCTAAACATTGGGGGCACAACTGTAAGAGAGGTATGTCTGAAAGGGCAAGGTCTGAAAAAGGACTTAACCCAGAAGATAACATCCGTGCTGAGCAAACTAAGGAGAAAGAGCTTGTTAAGATGAAGTCGAAGAAGAAGGGAAAGGCTGCTGCTGCTGCTGACGATCAAAATGAAACAGCTCAGGTGGAAGAGACAAGGGCATGGTTTGATCAGCAGTTAAGAGCTCAGGTGGACCCAGATTCGGCCCCACTCTCTAGAGATCAGCACAACCAAACGGAAGATCCCGAGGATTCTGAGGGATCCGACCAGGAAGATGACTGCTGTGCTGGAGAAATAAAGGACGACCCAACTTCCGTAGTCTCAAGAATACCAAGTTGCTGCGATGACAAACATGGTAACATCTCCAAGCGACAACAGTCAGAAGCTGAAACTATTTTCTCGGGCAGCTGCGATCCGAGTAAGCTTGATGATCCGAGTAAGCTTGATGATCCTTGTAAGCGGAAGGAATCCGAAGTTGAAATGACATTTTCTGGCGACTGCGATGAAAGTGAAAACGATGAGCTTTCGAAGCGAAAAGAATCAGAGGCCGAGACTGTATTCCCAGGCGGCTGCAACAAGAGCAATTTCGATTCGTCAAAAGTTCCGGAAGCAAGCACTAGAATCCCAAGTTGCTGTGATGAAACTAGGGACAGCCATTCTTCCAAGCAAGATAAATCCGAGCCCGTGTCAAGATTTGGGAGCTGCTGCGATGGATCCCACCCCGACGGCAGGCAAGTTTCTGGGAGGCAAACAACTGAGAAGCAGGATCTTGAGAGGCCTGCATTGAAGACGTCCTCTAAGAATGTGTCTGAGTGCTGCACTTATTTGGAGCGGCACGCTGCCGCTATCGTACATAGATCGCTCCACAACAGTGACCAAGTCCAGGATTCTACTGGACCACCAGTTCAAATACAAATATCCACGTCGAATGACAATCAGTTTGAGCACTCGACTAGACCGTCTGCACTCAAGTCACATTCTCATCAGCACTCTGTCCAGCATTCTTCAGGACCGCCCAGACACATACACAAGTCCAAGTCTAATGACAATCAATTCCAGCATTATTCTAGAGCATCTGATGGTCATCATCCATACGTGGAACCAAATCTAGGTACAACGAGCAATGATTCCAAAGGTAGGGGAAGGTTCTTCGGTAGACGGCAGGCAGATGGTACGGCCGAACCAGAGGGCGGATTATATGACGACTCCGACGAAGACCTCCCTGCCAATCAGGAGATTCCTGACCAAGGAGATGCTGCGAATGATGAGTGTATCTGTGAACCTCGTATGCAATCATCTGAACCTAATGTACTCGTAGCTGGGAATGGCAACATATACACCAAAAGCGTACAACCAGCCGGACCTGGTATAACAGGAAAGCCATTTGTGAAACTTCCCGCTCGTGGCGAAGATCCTCCGTCTCAAAATTATGCTACATATGACGAGGGGCCCTCCCCTGATTCTCAAATAGCGCACGAGCGCGATCCTACAGAAGACATGGAAGTTGAAGGGTGCAAGGCTTACAAGCATAAAGAGCATCCAAAGTGTCAAGTTGACGTCCCTGTTGGGACATCCAGGCTTCATTTGGTCACTTTACCGTCTTTGGTAGTGAAGCCGATTTACTGGTCACCTGTCAACGATCAGTATCCTTGTATATATGGTACCTGGTTTTATAAAGATACTATGTGTCCCGTTGAGCCGGCTGTCGCCAATCAGTTAGAGAAGGGCTATAGGGAGAATGAATGTTGGTCTCAAACGTGGGATGATCAGCTTAATTCTGCAATTGAAGTTGGTCCTGAAGGCGAAGAGAAAATTGTTCACCGTCTCTGGCCTAAAGAAGAAGAATCCAGAACCTCAACCTATGATACTTCCAAACACATTCTTTCTGTAGATCCTCATTGCGCTGCGCGTTGCTTCCAAGGCGAAGCTGCCGCAGAAGGCAAAGTTGAAGAGTCAGATGCCAAGCCAAGTGCGGCCACTTCAATTAGCAAAAAATACCCTAATTCCCAGGTCATTTATAAGAACTGTGAGGAAGCCTTCATTCTCAAGCCTAGTCTTTGCCCTTCGGCTTATTACGGACGTCGGCCTCTCGCCAAAATCAAAAGTGGTGTCTGTGTTGGTGTAGCCGTCATTCGTGGATTCAATCGAAGGGCATGGAATCAGCTTTATCCCTCAAAGAAATCAACCACTTTTACGAAAGCACAAAGCAAAATAGCGAAGGAGAGCAATTCTAATGTATTGTATGTGTGTCCAGCTTGTAAGGCTCAAGATGAACCTGAAAAGGTGACTGATCTGTGCCTGGTCATTCACGGTATTGGCCAGAAACTTTCGGAGCGCATGGAGAGTTTTAATTTCACATATGCAGTCAACAGCTTCCGCTGCGAGATGAAGCGCGAACTCACCAATAACGATGTGAAGAAGGTGCTCCGGGAAGGCTTCGATGGCGTCACTGTGGTTCCTGTAAACTGGCGTGCAACCCTTTCTTTTGAAGATGGTGGACCAAGAAAGCCTGGAGACAAAGAGCGTGCTGGATGTGATTACTCTCTCAATGACATCACTCAACAAACGATTCCAAGAGTCCGCGAACTAATCTCGGATGTGATGTTGGATATTCCCTATTACATGTCCGGGCACAAGCATAAGATGATTGCAGCTTTGGTTGCCGAAGCTAACCGCATATATCGTCTTTGGTGTAAGAACAATCCTGGGTTTCACAACAATGGTCGAGTTCACATCATTTCACACTCCCTTGGTAGCGTCATGGCCCTTGAAGTATTGAGTAGGCAACCTACCACCCTTCCAGCCGAGCTTCCATGGAGACCTAATACCAGATATTTCGATTTCCAAACAACAAATTGCTTCCTCGCCGGGAGTCCCTGTGCTTTCTTCCTTTTACTCGAAAGCAAATCTTTGGTACCTAGAAAGGGTATTTATAAGCCTGGCTGTGAATCTGAAAATGGCAGTAGTAAGGAGATTTTCGGTGATGCAGGTACATTTGGCTGCTTGGCAGTCGATAACCTCTACAACATCATGCATTGCAATGACCCTATCGCATATCGCCTTAATGCATGCGTGGACGCGAAATACGGCGCAAATCTTAAACAAGCAGAAGTTCCAGATTCTTCGCGCAGTTTCATGACAGCAGTGACCCACGCTATGAAATCCGCTGCTGGTATATCTCAAAATGTAGAAATTCCTGTCGGAGAGCTGCCCAGGCCTGCTACGATAACCAAGATGCCTTCTCAAATGGAAATGGAAGTTCATGATTTTACGGCAGAGGAAATGGCAGAAAAGAAATTCTGTCAATTGAATGAAAATGGTCAGGTCGATTGGATCTTGGGCAATCGTCCAGGCATGCTAGCTAATCAGTATATTGATATGTTGTCAGCTCATAGCAGTTATTGGAACAATAAGGATTTTATCCGTCTCTTGTGTGTGGAAATTGGAAGGAAACCAGGGAAGATGAATACCTTGCCAAATATGATGGCGAGAAAGAAGAGTCAAAAGTAGATGGGATACATGCATGTGTAAATTGGGTTGTTTGCTTTTTGGGATTGGAGATCGAGGAGTACAATCGCGTTTATGGAAGGAGGTGTTTATTGGAGCACATGCGTATACGGACATGGGAAGGCGAGCTTGCTTTTGGGAACAGGAACAGGAACAGGATTGGAGCCGGGGGCAGTGTTGCTTTCATTACATCGTTATGGTAGATTTCCGTCACAATTACCCTAGATTACCTACTACACTATGATACCCACCTAGAATGAATATGAAGTACGATTACGGCGAAGATCAAATGTTTTTTTATGATTAGATGAAATAAATGAAAGCAGGATCTAGTACAGAGATGGAGATGTGTTACGACCACGGATCTTATACTAACCGATCGTGTGCTTACGAGATACGATTTGATCGATTTAGTATGGGATTAAGGTGGTATGGGGAACAAATATGAATAGGCCTTGTTAAACTTAGATCCAGTTCGATAACAATTACAGAATTATATGGTTAGAGGATCATATGATGGAGCATTGAAGGTTTGAAAGCTCCTTCGTAACAAGATGGAGACATGTAGGAATAGGATTTGGCTTTTTGGAACTATATAATTGTATTGTGAAGCAAAGTTTTCGTAATATTCTGCATTTTAATTTATAGTACAACAGGTATATAATATTTAAACACTAGAGATGAGTAGAAGCTATATTAGATCAATTAGACTCATGGTTATTTTTATCTTTAATGATTAATAAACATTTCTTCGATTAATCATCATAATATTAAGGGGCAGAAAATTTGAGCTCTCTGATTGACCAATTAAGGTCACGTGCGAGATGTGACGTACAATTCTAGCTAAAGGCTTTACATTATGTCTTATTATACACTCTCTACACGGTAAGGAAGGTATGGTGTCTATATCCGATAGCGGTACATAATAACCGAGGTAGTTCGGAGTTCGAGTGCCAATTCTATCTAGCATTGAATCATTTCATACTTAAATCTCGTCATCGAGCTTAAGGAGGTAGCGATATCGATTCGATATGGATGCAGTAGCGAAGGAGAATCTGCGAGGAATGGAAGGGCAGGGGAAATCAAAGAAGATTGTGTTCTTTGTTGATACGGTTAGCCCGTTTGCTTATGAGGCTTATTGGATTCTTAGGGTTAGTGTGGTTTTTCTTGTTTCTGGGGGTTGATTTTTGGGCTTGGGGTTGGATAATTGGGGTTTGTCGGTTGGGGATGGTAGGATGGGAAGATGGGAGAGCTAGGGGGATGATACTAGCTGGAATGTGCAGGTCGAATGAAGAGTCTGCTTTTGATTTAAGCTTCGTAAAGAGTAGGGAAGCGACTAGCTAACAAATCTCTTCATCTAGAATAACCCTACATTTTCACAATGCGATATCGAATACGTCCCTGTTTCCTTGTCGAATATTATAAAAGAAGTTGGGGGTGCTCCACCTATGACTGTCAAAAGTTTGTCCTCTTTCCTTTTCCTCCTTGGAACTTTTTACATCTTCTCACCACTAACACCAAACCCTCTTTTTCAGATAAAGGTAAATGGGCCAACCGACAACGTCTCCGCTGGGCTTCTCTGTTTGAAATACCTATTACCCCAAACATACCCACGGGATTTCCGCATAATACTTTTGGAATTCAAAGTGCACTCTGTGTATTACCATTTTTGTATGACAAGGATGAAGCGCACGAAGTGTTGTGCAAATGTTTGGATGCTTTTTATAATCTATATTGGGTAGAGGAAAAGGAGATTTCGGCTCCTGGGGTATTGGAAGATGTATTGAGACGGGTGATAGGAGAGGAAATGTTGGAGTTGGTGTTGAAGGAAATTCCAGGGAAGGGGAGAGGGTCTTTGCAGGTGAACACTGCGAGAGCGATAGAGGAAGGGGCTTTTGGATTACCGGTGAGCTCTTTTTTATTTATATTTGGGAAGTGATGATAGAGGGATAAGAAAGATAGGATAATTGAGTATATGCTGACACAGACAAAAATAGTGGATGGTATGCACCAACAGCTCAGGCGAAACAGAGGGATTCTGGGGTGTGGATCATTTAGGACTAGTGGTTGATTTCTTGGGATTGGAAAGGATGGATACTAAAGCTTGGAAGACTTTGATGTGATTTAACTCCATGCTTGTTTTTCCACACCAGAATTTAAAATTTCATATCTGAATACTCCTACGAATCATTACCATTTCGCTTCTTCACCATATTATCTCCCAATCTCCCATCCCTTCCTTTTTCCCCGAAGGTCCTCATCTAAACGACTAAATAACTAACAGTCTGGCAACTCCCAAAGCACTCATTAATACCAAAGTAGCGCTCAAAGAAATACCAGAATTCTTCGTTCCACTCGAAGTGCTAGAGCTGGCGCGAGCAGAAGAAGTAGTTGTGGAACTAGACTCAGTTGGACAGGTTGATTTATCGGAAAGTTTGGTGACTGTGATATTAGGACTGGTGGGACATTGAGTTGAATTGTCCGAAGCGTGCAGGGCGGTGGTGTTACTGGAGAAGGTTATATCTGCGCACTGTTTTTCTTGTGTTAGTCTTATTCTTCTTTGTTTGATTCTCTAGTTTCTTTTTTCTGCTCTCATATTTCCCTTCTTGGTTGAATTTGGGGGAAATAAATGAGAAAGAAAGAAAGAATGAATGAATGAGAGAAGTAGGAAAAGAAAAATCGAAAAGAAAGGGGTCTCTTACATTGTAAAGCGCACTACCACTTTCTCCGACAGTAACTACCTGCACTGTGGCATTTAATCCATCTTCGAGTTTAATTTCAGAGGGTAAATCGAAGTCGGAGAGACAGAGGTGTCCTGATCCAGTGGCATTTAGGGGTGCAGGAGTAAGCGAGATATTGAAGTTGGAGGAGCCATTTGTGCCGAGTGCTAGGGGGTATTAGTTTTTGGGCGGAGAATGAGGAAGGGAAGGGATGAGGGGATATACCGAGATTTACGAATATATATGTCCAGTGATGATGTAAGTTGAGGCCAATGGGGAAGGAACTAGTGGGGTAGAGAGTACGATTCTCCGTGGTGTTTATGTTTGCACCTGGAAATGAGGTTTAGTATTTGTGGAGAGATGGTGGAGATATACCAGTGGTCCTACGTACATGGATAGATCCATTGGGAAGCAGGTGGGAGGAAGGAATTGCCGCGCGAAGGGGGATATTCGAGGGAGAAGTGAGCGGATACGAGGGAGGAGAGGAAGGAGAAAAGGAGGACGAGGTTAATAGTAATCATATCCGATTAATTTGCTGCGTCGATCTATCTAGCAGATTGCGAATTTACTCAAAGATTCAAAAAGTCCTAGTATTTCTTTTCAAGAAACGAAATCAAAAGCTAACTTCAAAATTCAAGATCGACCGACAGACTAAAGGAAGTTATTCATGAAATATGTTCAAGATTCCACTTCCAATATATACAAAGCATACAAATAAACAAACATACAAGAATAAGCAAACAAGCAAAACAAAACAAAACACTACCAAGCCAAGGTGCCCAAAAAACTAATTCCCTCATAATCTGCTCAATATCACTGCCTAGGTAATACATATCCCATCGAAACATTTATCTTATTCACGCTCCCCCAAGCCTTTCTTCCAACGCTCCTCTCACAAACCATACAAATATCATCTGAGAAATAAGAAGGATTCAGATTGTCCGTTTAAAATGTGCTCAATGTGCAATCTTCCGTCCTTGGCAATACGGTACTGTGTCACGTTGGGTAACGCGTAGGTTACTTGTTTGGGATGGCGTGGTTGCGGGGTTGCTTGGCTGCTTGGGGTAGACCAGTGGGGTTGGCCGAAGTTGGTTTCTCTGTTTGCTTTTTTATGCTTAGGGGTGCGGTGTGCATGCTGCGAGTTGTGCGCGAGTTTGCGCGAGTTTGGGTTTTGGGGATGGGATAGAGATGGGATGATAAAGGATTAGGTGAGCGGAGGATTGATTGGGGTTTAGGTGTTGTGTGTATGTGTGTGCTGGTTCGAAAGTTGATTGGTTGCGGAAGAGAATGATTACTTGGAAAGGCGGCCGGTATGATATTAAAGAGCAATATAATCTTATACAAATGTCCCTGCTAATCTCTGTCCTTTAATTAGAGAAAGATGAAGAAATTGAGATGTTCGCGACGGTTGCCAACCGATGGTTACACAACCACTGTCTTTGATATTGATAATATATTTTTCGTTTGACGGAATATTATCAATCCGTCTTATGTATACCCAAGGCAGCTTCATTACTTGGTCACTATCTGACCAGAATGATATTCAGTTTTTATATCCCGTAGTGAAGTGTTTTATCAATTCTAGATTTCTTCTATATGATGAGAAGGAAGGGATTATGAATACCGATTGTTGATTTCAACCTGGTGGTATTGAAGCGTAAAGAGCTTTTAGTCCTATTGACAGTATTCCTTGATTGCTTCTATTTTATAATATAAGAACGAAGTTTAAGTAATAGTTACGAGGCCTCGTACCTTACAGCTAATATGGCCTCATTCATGGTTATATGATCACTGTTCTAACACTGATTTTATTGTTGCATTAGATATTACTGCTTTGAAGTACTTTTCTTTCTGTTATATTAACTTCTACTCATTCTCCCTCTCGCGACTGTATCGTAAATTACACATTATATATAACACCTTTCTTAGCGTAGGAGCCGATTTTGCCATTGCATTGCCATTGGCGGCGCCGGCATCTGTCTTCTATCAGTTCTAACCGACAATCTCGTCGTTACATCACAACAATCTAAACAAATACAATTTCTCTGCCAAGTGCGACGTATCTCTTTCCTGCCCTGAGTATTTATATTCTTTAGACTATAAGAGTTATTCTTCTAGTTAAACTGTCTTCAACCAAGTCCTCTCTTACTGCGCCTTCCAATCTCAAACTTCTATTTCCATCGCAGCGGCCGTTACATACGCGTGTATAGAATATAGAAAAGTGAAAGATATATAATTTTTAATATTCTTAATAGTTTATTTTAAATTATAGAAAGACGGTTTTGTATTTCAGTATACTTGGGGATGCTGCAGTGGGTATAGAATGACTTAGGCTCTTGTTTGAGAAGGAACTGTTATTGTAAAAGGACAGAGAATCGGGAAGGAGTCAAACGAATTTGAAAAGTCTGCAGTGGATGATATTGAAGTTGGTAGTAGCAGATGAGGATGTGATACTGGAGGGACGGAGGTGACGAAGCAGATGATGGGTATTGCTTAGAGAGATTATTCTCCGCTCAGAGGGTTGTAAGTGTATATATCTGAGTTATGAGTTTTTTATATATTGATATATAGTATAATAATCAAGTTTATAATTTGAAAAAGTCAATAAATTTATTACTAGATTTTTATTATTAAACTTTAATTAATAATCTTTTATATCTTTCAAATTATTTTAAATTATTTTAAAATATATTTTAATAAAAATTTATAATATACAATTTAAAAATTAATTAATTAGATTTTTTTTTAAAAAAGTTCACTTATATCATCCAATCAAAAAGTGTAAAATTTTAAAAGAAGATCGATGTAAAAACTAGATTAGAATCTGATACAATACTTCTATCAATTTTGTGGCTTCCTAACTAGGCATAGAGCTAGTATCATTTAGTGCTCCTGGCTTTATAAAAGCAGTGACTTCGCATATTACATTCTGACCCAATACAACTCATCTCACAAATTTTTTCCCTTTAGCTTTCTCCCCCCTCTAGCTAATTCAACCAAAACCAGCAAATACGAAGCTATTTCCAGGCCTTGTTGAGCTGACTTTCGCAAGTACTATAAATGAAGGAAAAGAGGGTGTACGCCATGTAAATTATTTTCGAAAATTAGTCGATAGAGCACTACGATGTAAAACGCTTCGAAAATGATGAAAATCAATAGTGGTGCGTGGTCACATGCGTGGGGCACTCACAAGCAAAGCAAAACTGCACACATAATGACCTTTCGTTTAAGACAATTACCGCTGGTGCATATATTTGGAGAAAATGCTGCGGAAGGATTGTGGTCAGTTAAGAATGGCCTCATATTGGAAGATGAGATATCAATATTTTGACAATTGCCAGCTTGCAATCGTCCCATGCTTATCTGAGGAAGATGCTTGGGAATTGACTGTAGTGGACAAAGCATTTATTGAAGAAATGCCATCGTTAATGTGAAACCTCATTTAAAGACCTTCCTTCATGCAAGGAAGCTGGCCTTCAGGAATGCAAACAGATCAAGAAAAAGATACCTGTAAGCTTCGCCACTTCCCATGCTCACAAAGGACATAGCTCTACCATTATGATCAGTTCACTAGTCTTGTTTCTCTACTTCAACTATTCAAAAAGATATTCAAATTCGATTTATGACGGACCTACCACAGCTACAAGTTTCTCGACACACTCTACTCAAGGTTCAACTATTTCAACCCCTGTTCCAACTTCAAAGCCTTATTGAAATCCCGTGGCAAGCATTCCTGGACCTTATCGTTGCCCATTCGACCCTCGCTCCTCTAGCCAAGATTTATCTGCCCGCCAAGTAAAAACATTGCCATTCTGGAAGATCCTCCTCGCTACACACTTGGTAGTAGGAGAAGTCCACCGGTACTAAATCCGCACTATCTGTACGAAAGGTTTCTTGGTTAACACTCAATATTCTCTGCTCAAATATGCAGCTAGCTGCTATTTGTCAACTAGCCTAGAGAAATCCCGCTGTATAATTCTTCTGCCCAAGGTCCGCGACCACAAGTACCAGTAACCCGCGATTATCACCTATTTGAGGAATTGAGATGGCAAAGGTTGTGTCTGATATTAAAATTGAAACGGGAAGAATTTAAACAGGCAGGACTTCTGGGATATGCTGTTAGACGTTCAAAGATAAGTGGAAAGGCATTAATACCCTAGCATGGGCATGCCATCGAGGGAAGGATGGGCACAGCCTTTAACGGACAGGGTGATGGAGAATGTGCTGCCTTCGAGCGCACCATGTGTTTGACCAACAGATTTCTTGCCTACCGAGATGAAGGAGACTATGGAGGTCATTTCTATTGGACAGAGTTGGTTGACCTCTGGGTTGTTATTTCTTGAAACGGCAGCACGAAGCTCTTTGGAATTCCAGCCCGTATGATTGGTCGGATATCTCAAGCCCGAGGCTAAACCAAGCTTCAATGCTTTTCTACCTTTCAAGCTTCCGGGATTCTTTCGGGCCACAAATTAGTGGTACTTAGTGATGGAGGTATGGTTGATAGGAGCATGAGAAGTATCGAGTCTAGATCACATGTTTCTTGGATTGTGGAGTTCTAGGCGAATATTGCAATAAGCGGCATTAATCGGCATTTTTGAAGGCCTAATTCAGAGCATTGGAGGCTTACTCGATGGCAGATTATTATGGTCTACTCTGGAAAATATGTATGGTCCATGGTAACTCCTGTTGAGAAGGAAATCGGTCAAAATTTAGGATTCTTTGTCAGATCTTGCACATTTAAATGCACCCAGAGAGAATGGAAGCGTGCTGTTCATCTGTTCGACAAACTCCACCTAGTGCTCTTTCTTTGTTTCATAGTGTTGTTGAGAATTCGAGCTCCTTTTCTGACAGAGTTTTTCAATATAGACACTTCTCCATCATGTTGATAGATCCGGTTCTTGTAGCTTTTAGTCATCCATGCCGCATATTCGTTGATGAGACTTTAGATGTCTGGCTGATATGCACATTTGATATTCGTCAGGGTTGACCTTGAGATATTGCTGATCCTTGTATGTCGATAACTCTGTAACTCTGTTTCTTCTTGATTAATCATTTACATCTCATGAATTAGTTTGTTAAGATCATGTCAAGTGTCAAGAAAGAATGAATAATGTATGAGAAAATGGACTGCTAGAAGGTGCTGCGGCTAGTTGTGTCTCGCCAAGTCAAGAAGCCTAAATACAAGCTCCGCACAAAAGAACGTTTAGGGAAGGGCGCGGAGCTAATTACCAGGCTCTATCCAGCCGGGGAAGAGAGGGGCGTGCGGGAATCGGCCTTGCCTCGTGGTAGAGAAAATTGGAATAGCAATGCATTTCAGATGTCAAATTTCAGAAAATTTAATGGTTAATAGCATGAATTGGACTTGTTACGTCAGTATCAGCTACAACATCTACTAATCGAGGAAGAAAGTAGACTTTCTGTGCTTGACGCGCGGATGATTATGCTTTGTAATTTTTGTCAAGAGATTTGCTATCTCTCAACATGAGTCTATATGCATGCAAATTACACCAATTAACTCTACACCCTCTACCGTTCCGTTGGGTTCCCTGGTATAAATCCCCTTGCTTCTGTTAGAGGAATCGTGACCTCTATTGAGGACAGCCCAGAGAGAGCTATGGGTATTGTATAAGTTTGCCGGTGATATTTATATACAAGAGCATTTGATTTAATATGCGAAATGCCTTATAAATACCAGTCCACGTCTTACAAGAATAGACCATCCCATCACACCATTTCCATGCTCATTAAATCCAGCATTCAAACGCCATCAAATCCGATCTCATGATACCTAATCCCCAACCCTCACTATTGCGTAACATAATCCTTCCTCCCCATAACCATCTGTTCCAAATTCAATCTCGCACTCCAAACAATCAAATTCGTAACTCCCTTCTCCCTCTCCCCTTTCACATCTCCTACCCCCAGACTATTAATATCACTATCCTTATTCATCGCGCCCGCAGGCCGATGGTGCTGAAACAATTGCGGCTCCACCGAAAAACATTTCATATCAAGATAGCCATCACGACAAAGAAGCGCAATGGCATTATCGATGGCACGATTATGACCCCCTTTTACCGCGAGCGCCATGAGGATTTTCTGGGCTCCGCGATAGGAAACTCCATAGCCGGAAGTACAGGTGGGAGCACCAGCTTTGTGAACGATTCGAGTTTTTTCAGGATATTTTGCTAGGGTTTTAAGCCCTGATTGCGCGGATTTAGGAGCGACGGTTTCGTCGTTTGCGATAATGTAGATTTCATCCTTGACGTCTTTGTGGAAAGCGGATGGGAGTTCATCACCGCAGTGTCCTGGCCATAAAACATCCCAGTCATCGCCATAGGGGGAGTGTTGACGTTTATTCAGTGGTATGTTTGATAGTGTGCGGACACCTTTAGCGTATTCGGGTAGTTGGTTTAGGAGCCGGATGTCCCAGTCGACGTCATCCTCCATGATAAATGCTGAAGCGAGATTTCTTTCTATAATGCTATAGCAATGACGGACATTCAATAAAAGACCTTGAAGAATGAACGTGGAATTCGAATAAACAGTATGTACGTACCTACGTATCACATTCATGTGACCCCGCCAAGAACCCAACGACCCGCCGGCTAATAAAAGTCCCTATGTCCAAGCGTTAACCTTAGTTCTAAGCTCAAGGCGCAGCAGATGGCGGATGCTGTAGGTGTAAATTTCACCTACCGGTGGCTTTGCCTCATTAGGTACATCTTCGCCTCTCATCCCATCGAAAAACTCCACTCTAAAACCTGTCAGAGAGGCAGATAATGACATAGCATCACGATTATTTGAGCGTTCTCTCAGCCCTATGACGAATACCCTCTCGAACTATTTGACTATTGTGTGAGCAAGACAAATAAATAAACCAGCGAACAAATAAAACACATACACCAAGAGTCGCATTACTCGACCGGCCTAATTCTGATGTGGTATCGGCTGGTTTGAGCCTTTTGTCTGATGTAGCCGAGACATAGTTACTGTTTCTTTCATGGGCGGTCGATAGGGAGGACTTATCAGAATAGTCTAGCCATCTTGAAGACGTTTCTTGACGAGTTCGGAGGGAAAGGAGAAGAATGAAGGCGAGAGCGATACATGCGCCAAGAACATACGGGCGGGAGCTCGGTGCAACCATTTTTTTTTATTACTCCATATACCGATACTTGTTTTGAGGGCGGAAAAGAGGACTGTACTAGTACAATGGAACTAGAATAAGCAGAATTTCAAAACATTTGGGGGATTAATAGGAGGCTAAACAGAACCGCTCCTTTTCGTAACAATTTACAAGTAAAGAGAAAATCCCTAATTTTGAGGGTATATCCACGTTAGATCCATCATTCAGGGGTCAAACTTAGAGTGGGATAAGGATTCGGAAAGCGGCATTAACCTTTTTTGTAACACAAGCGTTTAATTGGTGAGTCGTGAAGGCTAATCGCAACGTTTAGCCCATAGAACAATGATGTAGTGATGGTTCATGAAATGATGAATTGGACAAGAGAACATAATCCAATAAAATCTGGAAATTGCTGTCAGCTCGCTTAGCCCCTGCTATTTGCTGCACATTCCCTGTCTATTCCGACGCCCGAATGCCCAGAAATAAAGTACGGAGTATGGCTCGAGCGTGGCAACATGGTTCTCGAATTCTAATACACCTGTGTTATTTACACTTACCCCATGGGTATTGCTGGTCCCCAGTATCCATAACCCTTAATTGAACCTCTTGAAGCGGGGAAGAGATATGGAAAGGATTAACGAGAATATTCTCATCAACTAACAACAGGCATTGAGGTTTGATGTATCTACCATTTAAAAGTCTGGAGAAGAAGATTTTCGACAAGAACACCGCCTTGTCTCATCAGACGAGGCAGGGTTGGAATCCTACAACTTCGCCTCGACAAGATATAAATGAAGTGATGCAGCGTTCGTAACGTGGACCATGTAGCACGTGATGCGCTCTTGGAACACCAGCCAATTGCCGTGGTATATTTTCCCTGGCAGAGGTAGGATCGCGCTTCAGACGATAGGTTCACTCCACTTATGCTCAAATTAGCATCTTCCCAATGACTTGGAAAGGTCCCAAGTATCTTAACTTCCTTTTGAACATTTCCGGGCCATTAAGGCTTCATGTAGATCTAACAACCTTATTTCTTCTAACAGTAACACGAGTGTTCTCGGGATAATTTGGCAAATGCTAACACATTGAAAGATATCTTTACTTCAACCCAGAGACATGGCTCAGATATGGACATTTGAGACTCCAGTCAACGTTACTGCGATATCACTAGTCAATATAACGTGGAATCCGCGCACACTTGATTCCGTCAAATATGGAAACTTTCTTCTGAATTTATGGCTTTTGCGCGGCGATTACCAGGGCGATACCGAAGTTCGAGAGCATGAAGCTTTCCTTCTTGCTGGTAAGTATTCTCACTTCACCCCAAGTTACATTTGTTGGTTTACTAAAATCGTGCAAGGTGATCAAGACGTCTTCAACGCCTCCGTTTTATGGACACCAACAATCGACGACATCGATTTCAATGTCTCCGAAGCTGGAACTCATCAATTGTCTTGGGAACAGAGTAAAAACAATCCAAGCCACAGTCCATTTAACACTTCTTTTGAGGGTTGGTCAAGGGGATTCCACGTGAAAGCACTTCCTTCTGCAAGCTCTTCATCAGTGTTGTCTCCTACATCCACATCAACATTCTCCACACCGTCGTCGACCTTACTGGCTCCGACTCCCCCAGTTACCTCATCAATTTCCCAGGATCCCGCCAGTGACCTGCCCTCTCAATCCAGAACCAACACGCCCATAATAATCGGCCTCGTAATCGGACTCAGTCTCCTCCTCCTAATATTCCTCACCACCTCACTCTGGGGCGTACGAAAATATCGTCTGGCGAAAAAACAAAACCGTCATTTCAAAGGACTATCAACACCGTCCGGTTATCCATTAGTACCAAATTCAGAAATGTCTTACAACTCTTTACCAAGTTCGCTACCAGAGTCCACACCAATTTCACACTCAGCCCCAATATCAAGAAGTGAAATGGATTCGTACCCGCGAAGAAATATAAAGCCAGCAGAACTAGCTGCTCCTAGAATAGTAGCAGAGCTATAATATATAAAGAGGGCTAGAACATGCAAATTCGAAACTTATACCAGGTATTGGTTAAGTATATACTAAAGAATGGAGTTTCAAAGAGAAAAACGAGGTGCTTTGTTAGGAGGGATGAATAGCATGGCTACTTCCTCTAGTTATGGATATTTCTAGGTCAGGAGTTTTGGTTGATATTGATAAATATAAACTGAACTAGTATCATAGCACAGCATATTCTCACTCAAAACACCCGCTACATTTGTATATAATTTAATTTTTATTTTAATTAAACAAAGAGAGAAATAAACCTTTCACACATAATCCTACACAAAAATCTTCCATCTTCCATCTTCCATCCATCTTCATATAACCCATATTATACTGTATCATCAGAGGCATCATCACCACAACATATAACCACGCACGCACAAATCAACAAATCAACAAAGCAACAAAGAACAATATATAATCCTCCTATACAACAATATAACCCCACAAACCTATCTTCTCACCCTTTACCCTTTTCCTTTCTTAGCAGAATACCATCAATCCCAAAACCTACATCTTACTCTTACACCATTACCCCCTTGAAGTAAGACAACAAGTATTTCATCATGATTTTAGGTTAAGGAAGAAGCGAGGAGTGGAGATGAGGGAGACCTATCTCTAGATTGTAATGCTTGATTGAAGATACCGTTAGAGATCCATCTCTAAAGTGGGAAGGAGCAATACGCGAAGACATCTTTTAGTTATCCAAAGTCAGTGATTACAACCATTTCTGATGAGAATTACTTGGAACTGCTAAATCCTAGAAAATCCTTTAATCACACAATGTCACAATGCATCTAGGATTTATACGATGAATTTTTATTTAACTACGAACAAGGATGCAAGTTCCCTCCCTACCAACTGAAACCTCAATATTACTATTAATTGATAGCATTTCTGGTAAAAAAGGAAAAATCAAATAATGCAATTGCATCAGAAAAGAAACCACAGACCCTCGCACGATCATAATATCCGCGCATTCGTTTCATTCTTATCCACCGTATGAATCATAAACCATCCACCAAATTTGTATCAAGTGTGAGAAAGAAAGCTATATTTCATTTCGCAACCAAAGTAAAGCTCTGTGCCCAAATAATCCTACAAAAAGAAACTTGCGTATGTCTGTGGCTAAATAATTAAAACAAAAGGCAGTAATGTGAACGGCAAAAGAGCAAAGATACGATAAGGTCGGTACTAGTATAAGGAGGGTTTAAATCCTCTTATACAAGTTCCCCTATTTAGTATCAAATGCGGACGTGCCATCAATACAAGAAGAGCGTGTTGATATAATGTAGTCCCCAATACCTGACGAGAAAGTGCTGGGTAACCATGCAATGCGGATGAACATACGGTGGCTATTTCAGAAATTGCAGATACGGGATCCCGGACCTCCGTGCTGACTCAAGGCCTTTGAATTGCAAGATATGACAAAATCACATCATTTTAATTCAGATTGACGTCGCTTGATGGATGCGTGGCGAGCAATTTCCTTCAAGCAATTAAGGTAGTCCTCATTTCCCAAATGCTCTGGAGAACGTTGAGAAGATTGATTAAGACGAATACGTAAGCGATTTTCTGGTGTGCTTGGACTAGGTATTCCTAGTGGTGAGTTGACCATTGAGGATTTACTGATCGCTGCCATATTGACCATAGCAGGAGCTAGAGATGCAGCTGCCGAGCCTCGGTTCTGAAGTGGGACAATGCCTTGAGCATTAGCCGAAGAGACGTGAGCAGGTGCAGCAACAGGTGAATGAGCTGCGGGTTGAAGGTTTAGCAAATTCTTCAAAATTTGATTCTTCTGTACGGCACTACAGACAGTTGGATCAGTATGAATTGTACCTCCTAGGAAACATGTTTCACATACCTGCTTGTGGTTCGGATACGTTCCATGAAGCTAGATTTACTTTTTGGAGAGCCATCTTGAGTTGATGGAGTGGCAATCGAATTCTCCTTCTCATTGCCTGACTGAGTACTTGTTGAAACTCGATGCTCGGCACGTCGAGTCCAAGATTTAATGCTTTTCTTATCATAGAAATCATCTCCATCCATACATGTCGGCGAGATGGTACATTGTTTGTTTTTTATTGGAGAATCTGACGCAAATATATCACCCAAATGCGCAGAGGTATGAAGTCGAGCATTAGCAGGGTTCCCCGTCTCGTAAGACAGTGGTACTTGTGGTGAATTTGAAGCAAAAACGTCACCGACATTCTCATGTGTCAATAAGGTAGTGTCAACAGGATTCGAGACATGCTTGGACGCCGATGCATGTGAATCATTCAACTCAGAGATATTGCTCGAGGTCTTGGACTCATGTGGACGCATGCCAAGAGGAATTGAAGATTGTTCTGCCGCAATAGAATAATCTGACGTGTCTGGTCCATTAGAAGCAAAGATGTCGCCAAGGTCTTTGCGTGTCAATGAAGGAGTACTAGCAAATTTTGTGACTTGTTTTGGTATCGATCCATCTGCATCCCTTGAAGTAAAAATAGCAGCCAAATCCTCAGATGTATGCTGACGGTCGACGGAACTTTTGGCAACTTGCGCAAGCTCATTTTGAGAATTTGATGCAGCTCGATCCTCTAATTCGAAGATGGCACCAAGATCGCTGCGAGTCAAGGAGCGACTACTAGCAGAATTTGCGTTTTGCTCAGCTGAAGAACTGTGGGATTTTACAAAAATGTCGGTTTCAGGTTCTTGGAGTGCTGCAGATTGTTTGCCTGAGCCCAAGCATTTTTCAGGAGTCTTTGCGAACACGTTGGCGAGGATTTCGAGTCCTTGAGCATCGGCAGAAATCTCATGATACTTCTCGACACCATTGCCCGATAGGTTTCTATGATCAATTGTAGCAGAATTGTTAGCAGGAGATTGAGTAGTCAAATTGAAATGTTGTTTTGGTTCATCTACTCTTGGTCGATAATCTAGAGAATTGTGGCTAGCCGAGTTCCGCATTGGACTAGGAGATGGCGACGCATGTTTTGTCACCGCTGAGTCGGTCGATACATCAAGGAACATTGATTGGCATTTGTTTAGGTAATCATCGGTGGTGAATGCGGTTTGATTATTATAATTGCCATTAACGGGTGAAGTGTGCGTTAACGTCTGTCTACCTGCTTCAAACCTCGGATTTTGACGAGTAGGACCATGATTTAAAAGACTGTTTGCTGTATTGCCGAAGTATTCTTTTTGGGCGAGGAACCTCTCGGGATCAAAGCTTTGAGTATGTACTCTGGCATATGGCTGGAAGTTTGTACCGTTTGTATCAACACCACCGGCATAAGAACTTGATGCCATCTGCGCGACAGAGGAAGGATGAGTGTCAGCTCTTTGAAATACTGGCATAGAGGCTGCATGTGTTTGTAATTGAGGAACAGGCATTGTTTGAGATCTTGGCATACTGATCATACTTGAACCAGCAGCAGAATCTTCCCAACGAGTCTGACAATTGCTCATTAGCCGAGCCAATCTTTGAGCTGTATTTTCCGGTGTTGCTGGAGGTGATGTTCGACCTTCAGGACGGGGATCCGTTACTCTAGCAAACTCCTCCCAGTCAGCAGCGCTGAGATCTAAGCGGCAGCCACGAGGTTGGAATGGCGGTGCCATTGCTGCTGTAGCAGGCAATCTAGAGCCAGGTCCAGGTTTAGCGGTGGTAGTCCGCTGCAAAGTTGGGGAATCGAGACTTCGTGTGGTGTGGGCTGATGAGTTTGCATAAGCGACCGAGGGCTCCTGGCTGGGCAAGATGGTACTCGCGTTAGAGCTCACAATCACTGGACTGCGAAACTCACTGCTGGTGGACTGAGAATCTAGCGACCTCCCAGCATGGATAGGTGTTTGAGATGTAGGCCGTTCAACCTTGACATTGTGTAGATGATTGCGCTCAGACTGAAGTAAACTCGTTAATCTTGCAATTTCCCCCGTGAGAACTTGGCGCTGAGTCGCCCAGTAAGGGACTGATTGCAAAGATTGGCGAGAGATATGATCTTCAAGCATCACGAGATGATCTCGATGTTGTTGAAGGATCTGTTCAGTGGAAGCGGATTGGAATGGCAGCATTGAAGCCATAGAGCCTTGTTGGGCATGACCTTGATGCGGCATCATTGGGAACAATTGGCCACTTGGGTGTTGCATCATGGGGACAGGAAAGTTGCCAGGTGGCATTGAAAATGGGACGGGCCCGTGGATTGGATGTGGAATATGGTGTCCTGGAGGTCCACCTGGAATAGGAGGACCAAATGCTGGATTGCCTACTAAACCGGAAGGAAATCCGTTGGGATGTTGAGGAAAGCCCGAGGCAGGGAAGCACAGTTGGTTATTGACCATCATATATGGACGAGTAGGATCAAACTGACCAGGATGAGAGACTCTAACTGGCTGCAAAGAGCTGGATGGGCTGTCATTGCCATTGGCTCCTTGATGAGGAAGCTGGTTGTGACCTGGGTAACCAAAAGCTGGTCCAGGCATATTTGCAACGCCTTGTTGAAAATAACCGTAAGGTGGCAGAAAAGAACTAGAAAAGACAGGATGAAAGCCAGGAGGACCTTGTGCGCCAACGGAAACAAGAGATGCTTGAGAATCACCAGCAGTGCTACCAGCATGCTGGCTGGGTTCAAGTTCTTCTCTATCCTTGATTTGCTTCGGAGACTGCGCCAAATGCTTGTCACTAGTAGGCTCAAATGATGGAGGTGCCATTGCTCGGGTGTTTGGAACTATGCGACCACCAGCAGTGACTCGTACGTGGGTAGGTGAAACAACGGCTCTGTAAAATCTTCTAAAATTTTCAGCTTGATGTAAAGCCACGTTTGTGGGTGCAGAATGTGGTTGAATTTGATTGTCAAAGGTGCGGCGTGAATCAAAATTTGTATGTTGACGAAGGCACCAGCTTCCTTGACTGCGCATGGATTGAGACGAGGACGAAGAAGATTCTCCACGACGTGTTGTACCTTCAGGGCGTGTGTACTTTTGTTGTTTCAAGAGAACTGCAGTTAAGCAAGAGTAAGTTTGGGGATTTCGAAATGCTTGCTCAGGAAGAGTGAATATGGCAGCTACAAAGTTTGTTTAGTAATTGCGAAATGGTGAATTAAAGAAGATGGTGAAGATACTGACCAATATCAGGGTGCTTGTTGATATTGTTGACTACACAAGCAACGACAGGAAGAGAACTTTTCAAAGCAAGCAATTGATCGATCGAATAGTGACAAGCCTTTCTGTGGTTATCTTCATGAAGAGCCATCGCGCGAATTTGATAAACTGCCTCGTCAAATACCACGGTAGGTATCGATCTTCAGCTTTCTTTTTCGCGACAAGGGTGAAAAGAAATCAAGGTCTAATGTCGCAGGTGTGTGCGTGAAAACACTTTCAATCTATTGAAGTTGTGCAGTGGAAGAATTGCAGATTGGAATTGATTGGAATTGAACGGTAGAACTGGTCTTTTCTCCCAGGCAGGATTCGCAGGTTGAGTTGTTTGTGGGTTGTGGGTTGTCCTTCAAATATTCTTTCAAAATTGTAACTAAAAATAAAAGGGAAGTCAGTTATTGAACATCTTCAGGTGAATGAGAAAATGGGATGAGAATGCAGTCTCAAAACAAATCAGCCCGCCTGACGAAGAGCGGGGTAAATTAAAAGCATCCTCCCAGATAGAGTGTTGAAAAATCGACATGACGAAAATGATTAAGTCCTCAATGGTAATTACCATCGCGATAGTGCTCATCCAAACAACAAAATAAACTCTTCTCTGATGTTATGCCAAATATCCTGCATCTCCTCAAAACCCTTTCAGAGAAATCCATCTAGAGCTGAACAGTGCATTACTTACTGGTAGAATGGAAGTGGGAGAATTCAGAATCAGACACAACTTGTAAAAGGTGAAGAGCAGACAATTCTTTTACAAAGCTGGAGAGTTGACACCCAGATGTAAACAAAACGATTGAAAAGAAAATAATGAGACTTTTACAAGGGTTTAGCAAGAGGTAGAGAGTCGCTCTGTTGAAGGTAAGATTCAATGATATGTGAATGAATGAATTCAATAGCAGCAAAGCTGGAATTGAAAGGGATGGTGTAGTTATTTTAAGGAAAGGAAGTCAGTATACCGATAGACAGAACAAGCAATCGCTATACTAGGTACTTTTGACACTTTGAGTAAGCGAGAAACCACGATCCTTGATTGGCAGTTACTCTGAGCAATGTAGGTCGACCCCAACACAGCAAGAGGCAAAAGCAAAGAGCAAAGAGCAAAGAGCAAAGAGCAAAGAGCAAAGCGCAAAGAGCAAAGATCAGAACCAAGAATAGAGCTTCAATTGATGTCAAAAAACTATAACAGTCAGGTGAACTTCACGAGCCCAACAAACAAGAAATTAAGATTACCCAGATATTATATAATTGAAAATCGGACACACTTATCCCTACAGATCCACAAACGAGAGGTGAAACAGTCATGACTATTCCTTCCAAGGAGATTGTACAAGGGGTTCAATCAGAAAGAGTCCTAAATCCAAGACTTTGCTAGATATGATCACGTGCTCGCCATCGTGGTGGAGATCATGTGGTCCATCGATCGATATTTTGATGTAGTGAAGAAGCTTTGAAAGCAGATCATGATCATTTCTCCCAGTCTTACATGTTTTGAAAATGACGATGAGCAAAGCGGGCCACATTCCCAATTAATGTCATTTTCTGGAAGAATGAGGTACTTTTGAAAACTCAGGATGCAACTCGAAGTAAACATATTGGGAATCGATAATTACCTTTCTTCCAAGTCCTGCTCAGGTATCCAACTCCGCTATGGGAATCTGCTACCTTTCCTACCGCAAATATCACTAGGTATTGTTTCGAATACTCCTTGGAACTCATTTGGTCTTGGGCGGGGAGATAAAAGTGCATTACAGAGAGAAGAAGGGCAGAGAGGGAGAGGAAAGAAAGGAAACGATAAGTAGGCAAGTCAAGAACGATGGTACAAGGAAAGCCAGGAAAGAGGTTACGAAAATTCATACAGGCCGCAAACAAAACAACAAAACAGAACGAACGAAGCTTGAATGAAGTGATGTTGCTTTAAGCACTAACCTTAGCCACGCATTGTGGTCTCACGTGATTTAGCTTGTTCTCGTCTTTCCATCCTTCCACAACTCCAACGCAATTATAAGAATGGAGATTAATTCCACATGTCTTTATTAGCAACTGAGTGTTATGTATCATTTTCAAAGGTTCATTTGCCAATGTCGAAATGATTGGCGGAGATAGATAAACAAAGTGACTTGTTGTCGTAAGTGAATGCTGAGTTCACCGATAGAGGCAAACACTAACCAAATTTAGAATCACGCACCGTCAATGTTAATGGATGGATGTTCGACAAGGCAAGGTTCAAATGATACAGTAGGGCAGGTATTGAAACGTTGCAGTATCGATCATGCAAGGCTGTGGAACTTCTCTCCATATTCCGCATCACTCCTTCATTCCTCGACATTCTGCCCAGTGGCAAGAAATACACAGAGTAACATGTTTGTCGAAATTTGGAATACACAAACTGTACTATGTAATTTTATAGACGTCAAGATCCTATGCTACACACTTTCCACCCCCAAAATTTACTGATTACAAGATTCTAACACGTGAAGTTATCCTGACATGGTACTGAACGGCTTCTGACGATGGACAAGAGAACGTCGCAAATTGAAAGTTCGCGCAAAACTTGCAGAAAGTCTCACAATATGTTGCCAGCATTTTCATTCTGACTGACAACCGATGAAAGACCGCCACGATTGGCGGGGAAGAAACCGCAAACAGACTAGTTTTTCATGCTAAACCGATATAGGAGCCGTGGCAAGTAAATATAGTCTCGGAGGGAGGCGACAAAAGTGAAAGAGACGAGGCATTCGTTATCCGTGTGTGATGCTAGCCCTCCTTATGTCTCGGTGCTACTGGCTCTTTGAAAATTTGGACCGTAGCGCCTTCGGTCGCCTCGAGCTTTTCTATCGTTGGTGACGTTGATTTTGGAAATTCCGCGCTCTGCGTTTCCTTGACCACCCAGCCGTTGTCAAAGTCGCTCAAAGTGATGATTTCCGTCATTGTATAGTGTAAGTTTCCGTCTTTGAATTGTGGTACAAACACATCCCTTGACATCTGGTACTGGGATCGTGAAATGACTGTTTCCTCTCTTCCAATCGCCTAGTTGATATTAGCACGCAGGAGCTTACAGCTACTACTGACATACCAAACAATTCGCACACGGCTCGTTATTCACCCATACCCAATTACCGCAATTATAAACTAGCCAGTACTTGCACCGGTATTTGTAATATCCTCCACCCGATCCACGCGGAGCGCTCATTGCTCCAAAGTCTTTGTTCCGCTCGCTGGCAGGAAGATGGATGTAGAAGGTGCGTTTCTACCCGCTGGTAGTAGAGCGATATGATGCAGGGCAAATTTACTCGCAAGTGTAGCGCCAAATGAGTTCTTGAGTATTGGTCCATATGCTTGATATGAACGCCCAATCTGCGAATGAGGACTTCTTGATGACCAAGCGGGAGGAAATTGGGATTGGGATTGGGATTCCTGGTTTTAAAAAGACAAAAGATGAAAGAGTCGATATAAATACCTGACGTCGAATATCTAGAACTTTGTTAATGCCGGGGTGATTTTCAGACCATCAATACTTCGATCTCCCAAGGCGGAGCATATGGGAAAAAAGACGTGTATCTCCGCTCAAAGTCTTATGAAATTGTCGGTAGGAGTCCAATCTTGCATATTTATGTTGAAATGAATGTGGTTTCTAGCAATAAAGTGTCTTATGCAGACTCCACGGCTTGAGTGCACCAAATCTGAGCCAGCTCGCATCTGCAGCCAGCCGGAAATGGACTCCATATGAGTAAGAATTTAGGAATGTGGCATTAAATTCATTCCAGTGGCACTTCTAATAGCCGAAAGTCGATTTAGGATCCAACATCACGAATCATCTGGGGTTCATAGTCGGAAAGTCGATTCCATACAACAGTGAAGAATAATCGAGGTCAAACCCCACTTTGTGAAAAATATCATATTTGGCAGCGGGCACGGATTCATTCTTGATATATTTAAGCAGCTAATGTCGAATACGGTCCATTTTTTGATTGAATATACCTCCGCGGTCGCCTCTTGAATCATCATTGGCAATGATGTAACATTTCACCTGTCAAACTTGCAGGACCGCAAAGCTTCTGCAGCTAAGGTCTTGCACGTCTTACTGGCCACATTGACTCTCTGCATACAGTTTCGTCATCTCAATGCCAAATATGCTAGCTTCTTGTACCTATCATGAGTGTTGCTGCGCAGTCAATCGACGATTGTGTCCACTTCCGACTGAGGACTTCTAAGCCCCCTCCGCAGAACACAGCATGTGCAGCTCAGAGAATATGTCGGCTGCATTGTCATTTACATATTACTGATATGGAAACGCAGAACTATAGGATCTACTTGAATATACTGTGATGTGCTAGGATGCTCGCGTCACTAGCGAAAGGCGTCTCGGGTCAGATTCCACGCTTCCACCCCGCCCTTGTGCCGTAACATGGTTGTTATGGTACTTTTTTAGTGACGTTGTACATGAACTTCTCTTGGATCGTCAGCTCTACGAAGAATCAAATATCAATGCATCACATTTTAATCGAATTTGAGCAATCCACGTGCGGGCAAGCGGAAACCTGGTGCCCAAAATCAGATTTGCCTGATGAATTTCGACCCTCAAAATATCTTTCAAGGAAGTGGCCTTCCTCTCTATAAACATCTAGGGTCTTCTGTGTACGCAATCAAGAGGCGGCGTTTCAGCTGGGGCTCATCATCATGATGTTATTACGGTACCCCTACAGCCTTCGGTGCCCTAGCCAATTTTACCCTTGACCTTGTTTACTAAATCCACACTCTCACAGTTGCGACGAATAGCACAGCATCCAGACTCTCGCCGGCGAATAAATCCGACTTCGTAACCTCCCGTGGTACCAGTCTACGAAATCATGTTGTACCACGAGTCACAATTTTCGTGATGTCTTGATGCCATTATCAAATGCCTTCTCCAATGGCAAGCGAAGTTGTCTCTTCGATTTATTATCACGGAATCGCTGAGCAAAACAGGCTTGGCGCAAACAAGCCGATGTAGAAACTGATCGTGTGCGGTGTGAAGATTTCCACTTTTGTCCACATACATCGCAGTGATCAACAGCAAATTTTCAAAGTCTGATTGTTGAGCCAATAGACCGAATAATTGGCAGAGCAGGAAACGCACAAGCTTCATGTCAATTGTCATTGGAATGTCATTCAATCATTCAGAGATTTCTATTAGGATGAATTTCCAGTGAAACCGACACTGCGCGCTGTGCAGAAGATACATCCATGCTGAGAATGTAGGACACATTATGCTATCAATTCGTCGACTTACATTGAAAGGATTATATTCTTGAATTTCTAAGCTGATGTGTCGTGGTTCAGGATATTGGGTGGCTTTCCCACCAGGGAGGAGATTCAAATTTGTTGCGTCGCAATGTTTCCTCCAACAACCTGATGTCTTTTGGATTACTTCCAAAAACCTGATGTCTTTTGGATTACTTCCAAAAACCTGGATTGCAATTTTTGACACTGGAGACAGATTACACGGCGGCTGCTGTGCCTTTCATTACCACGATCAATTTCATAGATTCCCTCCAACTACCGAGATATCGGTGAAGTTTTGAACTACTTAGGTACTTATGGACTTTTGAAAATGACGGCATTTGAAGAAATTTCGGCTCAATCTTCCGGTCTGTGGCTTCTACATACCGGGGACGAAAGTGCCGTATTTGCATAATTATCATAGGCTACAAATGGTCCTGCACGATGTGCATATTGATTGTACGATTATTGCAAGTTCACACGTTTAAGCTACTGTCCCATGCACAATCACACGTTTTCTTGGTTCTCCTACGACAGGCTGCTCAATCTCCAAGTCAAGCAATCGTCGTTTTCGGCAACCCTCTTAGATGCAAAATCACGCATAGAGAAAGAGTTGCATTTAAAATAAGCCGTTGCCCAAAACAACTCGAAGGAATTTCCTCTGTAGCGGGTAGAGTGATATGATACGATAAATATCTAAAGCACATAATGGCGTGTGCCAAAACTATCAAGACGGATTCTCTGTTATGCATAGTGCTATGTTGGTCGACAGCTCTTGGATTCTCGCCTAGCATCAGCCATATTGCCATGAACTCTACATTCTAATCAAGAACCCGGCATTACATTACGGCGTCTTCGAGTAGTAGTTGCACCAATCATTTGTGATTTTCCTTCATCGTATAGTTCAAAACTCATTCCTAAAAGGCTGATGGACAATATTGTGAAACGTCAAGTGGCAATGTTCAATTCTCATTTGCCGCCTTGCATGTGCCCAAGGACTAGTTAAATGCTCACAAATGTGACATACCGGGGTTGCGAACGCTTTGAAGGCCATAGGGGAAGATATCAGCCTCGTTCGGCTTCTTTCCGCCATTTATGAATCTTAAATTTCAGTTTGCTTTCCAGAAAGACAGCCCAATTTCTTCTTTTAGCGGTGCGTTGAAGTATTCGTCCAATCAAGGTGTCTCCGGATAACATTGGCGCTTCTTCAACCTCAAACAGGAAAACGTTCTCATAACCTCATTAGCCTAAATTCATGATGCAAGGACACACGTGTTCTAATATTCCTCTTGTTGATAGGGCTATTGCCAGATTTCGCTAAGTTTAAGAATCTTTCGCATTATGTTACCTGTCCTTTGTTAAGTTTATTCCTGAGTATGGTGCTGTTATTTTTGTTGATACCACGCCCTCCAAAAAAGAAAATCATGAACGGATATTTTCCATTTATCTCAACATAAAACAGTTTACCGAAACAATGGACCAGCCGAAATACTACTTTAAGGCCGCATGCATGGTTATGATGCAAATGGACGGAACGGCGCGGTGTCGATCGAAGATACATGCGCAATTTCATATGGAAATTTCCGCAGATATCCCTAATTCTTAGTTGACCATTCCCTCGGAACTCGTTGCAAAATGTGAAGAAAGCAAATACCAACATCGGAGGATACCGAATTGTGGGGGATCAAGGACCTTGTTTGGCCTGGCTGATGTGGAGGATTTGCTGCCCAACCCCGTTCTTGGCTTTATCAGAGAAACCTAATTTTTACATTCAACGTCTGGTAATTGCACCTCATCAGTCATCATCTTTGGTTTGGTTGGTGTTAATTTTCTAAGACTTCAATAACATACATTCTATTGCTTAGGGGCTGCTGTACTTGATATCGAATGCATCGTGACAAATTTCTCAGTTCAAATCTCAGCTACTACTACCGTCACACCACTTACTTTCGTTTGGTCTCTGGATACTAAAACAGGGTCGTCTACCCTGTAAGAATACTAAGCATAGTCTATTGCCATACCTCAACGTCGTTCCTATATACTACATAATTCTAGAACTCGGGTTGACTATACTTTAGAATTGGGAAAATATATGGGTTCCAAATGTAAGAGTTCTGATCATTACTCATTGCACCCCTTTTAAATTTCACCTATACTTTTGAAAATTTAATATTAAATCAACATTACAATATTTTTTATTGAAAATCTGATAATATATTAATAAATAATAACTAATCCTTTTATTTCAATCATATTCTTTAATTTATAGATCAATTTTTCAATATATAATTTGAAATTTAAAGGATCAAATATCTTCTATAATTTCTTAAGTTTTCTTTTCAATTCCTTAATAAAAGTAAATACAAATAATAGTTTTTTTAGCTTCTTTTTTATTCAACATTATACCTTTTTAATTGAATTAAAATCTGAAGAAAAAGAAGGCTATTGAAAATCTTTAATATTATACTTTAATCGAATTAATTTAATATACTTCAAATAAATCTTTATATTATCTTTTATAAATATATATTCAGATTTTAATTCATCAAATAAAAAAAATATAATAAAAATAAAGATCTAATTTCAATATACTATTGAATTTATCTTTTTATTATTAAGATTCTTTTTTAAAAAGATTAATAAAGATTTATAATTCTAATCAAAAGCCTTTTATATTATTATAAAGATCCTTTTTAATTTGTATATTGATTTGATACAATTCTTATATCTCTTTTCTTCAATTTTACAAATTATCTATATCCTATTATATTCTCCAATCTCGAAAATACTTTCGTTCGATTATATAATTTTTCTCCAATCACTTTCCCTAGACTTTTCGAAAGCTACATCAATTATCCTTTACCAATAATATATATATACAAAATCCAACCTCTTTTTTGTTTATTTCTTAAAGATAAATAATTTAGAACAAGTTATACAATATTTATAACTATATCGATATAATTCATATTGAATAATACATACCGAAGTTTTAACTTTTAATATATATTTCATTTATTCAAAAATCATCTTTTTTTCTTTTCAATCTTTTATCAATTCCCTTATAATTCATCAAATCTCTTTAATTATTATTATAAAGAATCGATATACCTTCTCTTTACAAATAATTCTAAATGAATTCGATTTAATGATATTTCTTACAATACTTCAAGATACACCTAAATTTTGTTCGATTCAAGATCACGATTTTCTATCCCTTTTAATCTGAAAAACTCTAGTTCTATAAAGGGTATCCTAATTTTGATGAAATTCATGATTATTATTCTCATCTTGAATTTTGATAACTATTTTGAATTTGAATAGAAAATATTGAAAATTTGAATTTTGATGAATTATTTATAATTGAGGGTTGAAAATAAGGTTACAATTATTTCTCGATAAAATGTATAGTTAGAAGTTTCCAGAACTCTTACTTTCATCCACAATCATTATGCACATTGCATTTCATCTTTTAGGATGATGACTTACTACAGATCTTGAGCATTCTTTTTAGTACATGAAGAATCTAGGTATTGCGATACGCAATCGAGCCACCGAATACACTCGCTCAGATACTGAAAGGTAGTATCATTTTGGCCTTTCAAGTCAGTGGATACTATAGCTACAGGCACCCATTGAGTAATTAAAGTGCTTGGCTAGTAATCAATATAAACCGATATAAACTTCGTTTCTATACTTACGAGAAATCAATACCATGTATGCTCTTTCAGTCGAGAGATTGTCAAAATCCGTTACCTGGTAGTTTGAAAAGCGAATCGACATATGTTTTGACGGATTCGATCCTAGAATTTCGCTACTATGTATTTCTCATTCCCGCAGTGAACCCAGTATTAATCCCAGTTAATCGTCACACTCTCCAGCTTCATGTGGCACTGTGTCGAATAATATTCAAGTAATATTTCTACGTGCCTCATATTCACAATGCAGTTCATACACCACATCATAACACGTCCCACACCGCTGGACTATATATATATGTACATTTGGCACCTCTTCTACTTTGAAAGCACATTGTCTGATTAGGAATATCACATCAATAATGTCTTTAGTTATCTAGTTCAGCGTAAAGTTGAGGATTCTCCGGTTAAGTGCTATTACCGGATTTTGCACAGATAGTTATAGATTTCGGTACCTAATGGAGTTTTAGTTTTTATATATTGCTTTTACAAGAATCTTTCCTACTTACTTCTCTCTCTTACCTGGGTATCGTCTTCATAAAATGTTTACCCTAAAAATCTTGATAGAATTATCTTCTTTGCCCTGCATTTATGCATACATTCTTTCACATTTCATCTTTAAACATTAATCTTGTACAAATCCCTCGATATTTCCGCGGATCTTATTTTTCTTTGATTTCTTTTAGCTGCTGTATTTACACAATAGATCCTGATTCTATGCATTCCTACTCTCTTACATCCATTCCTGGAACTTCAACTCCCTTTGGCCAATTTACTCCCGATGCATGAAATTCTCGAATCGCAACGAATATTCTGTCCCAGTATCCTTCAAACTATTTAGTATAATACAAAATCTCCAGCCAAACCGTGAAATATCCTCGGATATCAAAAGTAACCTTACGTTGAATCCCTAGAGTATCCAATACATTACGAAGACTTACTTTTTCAAGATATAAAAACACCAACCATAGCAATAAACTCTCTCAACGTCTTATAAAAAAAATATTTATTGCCACAGCAAATACTCATATATCTAGGTTTCGACCTCTTGAAGTTATATTAATTTCTTAGATCTGATTAACTTCTCACTTATATCTATAGTAGGCAAGTCTTACTTCTCTTAACTATAATAGTCTTAGAAAGATCCGAATAGTGTAATTAATAAAAAAGTTATTTAATTACTCTCAAGTATATATACTAATCAACATCAATAACAACAAATTAAACACCTACTGGGAAATGAAAAACCCTGCAAATAAAAGAAAGCGGTATATAATAAATCATATCTATAATCTATATTATAATATATCTAATCTTTTTATTATTCACCATATTATATATATTATATTCTCTTCTTTTTCTTATTCTTTTTATTTTTTCTTAAAAATTAAGTTTAGTTTATTGATTATAATGAATAATAATTGTGATGAGAATTGTCATCATAGTGATTCCACAAACGAAGTAGAGTGAGTATCTGAAAACTAAACGCAGAGAAAAAGTTCTAGTTATTACTCGAAAATTAATGGTTTTATATCACATCATATCATAGTTATATAGTCTGCCAATATGCGGTGTCAAAGTAGTATGTAGTCGTCTTAATTATTCTTCTTTTCCCCATCCTTTCCTTTCCGTTTCATGATCTATCTACCGATATGCAAATCTATGTATAAATAAGCAAGTACGCAAAATTCTTAATTCACCTCGACCTTTGTTTTAATTGATCTCCTTGGACCCTTTCTAGTATCTCAATGAGTAAATGTGTCCACCCTCCCACAATAAATTCTCGCAAAGAGCTTTTTCTGTGCATCAAAAGGATTGCCCCCCTTCCTAATCTTCCTTATGACCTCGAAAGTGTACAAGCACAACTCAACTCCGCAATCGCATTATTTGACATATATGTTTTTTCCTTGGTCCTTGGTCCGTAGATGTCAATAACTAGCATATCATTGATGCTCTAGAGGTAGGCTAGATTCGACATCATGGAATGTATCACCTGTTTAAGGCCGTAGGAAAGAGCCATAGCGCCTATCTCCCACCTTTCATAGCTTGCTTCCTCTTAATCTTATCTTGAGCACGAATTAAGGCTGTTTTAATTTCTCCTTTCTCAAAGGTTGGAATATCGTAGTATGTCGGCGCGATGTCCTGCTTTGAATTAGCTTATGTCTATTCATATGATGATAATTGAGTTCGATGAGGGGCTAGAATAAAAACAGCATCGAAGGAAAGAACAAACATACCAATAACCACTCCGGTCTAATAGCCGTTACAGTTCTCACGTAATTTTTCGTCGTAAGCACGAACTCGTTATACAACACCCATTCGGCATCCTGTTTCAATACTGTACTAGGATGTAATAAAACACTTTGATCATCCTTAACGGTTTTGTATGTTTTGCCTATCGCTTCCTTCCTGGCAACTTGCATGAAGAAACCTGCTACGAGTGCACGACGGATATTGGTATAGTAAGATTTATCATTGAAATCTGTGGATACAAGATCGAGTTCGGATTTTTCCATAATGCGCTTAAGTTGTTGCCGGACGTTATCAGCTGACTGAAGAGCCCTTAGAGAGAGGAAATGTTCGTGGCACCAGCGTTTAGGGTCGGCTTGAGCATTTTCGCCCTTGAAAGCGTGGTAGACATTGAGCATAGTTAAGTGATCTCCGTCAGGGTGAGCGAACAGATCTTTCATTTCATCGGCGCGTTTTCTGGCTGAAGCGGGGCGGACGAAAATTTGAGGAACAGAGAGGAGGGCAGTAAGCGAGAGAATTTCGTTTGAACAATAGAATTCTGGGGATGAGATGAGCATTACGGCAAGGGCAGGGTCGAGAGGGAATTCTGAGGCAAGTTTGCCTAGTTGTGTGAGGTTTCCATCATCATCCAGACAGGCAAGGTAGTTGAGTTCCTCGAGTGCTCGCATGAGTGTTTCTGGAGCTGGAGGATCCATAAGATCGAAATGTACTAAATCATCAATGCCAAGTTTCTTCAATTCCAAGACCGTGTTGGCCAAATTCGATCGAAGAATTTCGGGATACGTTTGTTCGATAAGTTCCTTCTTAAAAGCTGCCTCAGTATATAATCTAAAGCATTTACCAGGTCTTGTACGACCAGCACGACCAGCTCGCTGTTGTGCAGATGCTTTCGAGATAGGCGAAACAAGAAGGGATTCGACCCGAATTCTAGGGTTGTAGACCTTTTGTTTACTGAATCCAGGATCAACGACGTACACGATACCGTCGATTGTCAAGGATGTTTCTGCAATATTCGTTCCTACAATAACCTTTCGTCCTGGACGTCCACCGGGCCTCAATGGCTGTGGTGCTGGCTCGAAAATCCTCTGTTGTTGTGCCGGTGGTAGTGTACCGTAAAGTGGATACACCTTTAATGGACCTGCATCTGCTTCTCTAATCATCTCATCTGCCTCTAATGATATTTTCCGGCATGCATCTTCAATTTCCTCTTCACCAGTCAAGAACAACAAAATATCTCCCTCGCCTTCGGTGGCGTGGATCTGTAAAACCGTTCGGAGTGCGGCCTCAACATAATCTCTTTCTGGCTCTGGTGTGTAAAAGATTTCGACTGGATGTGTTCGTCCAGGTACTGCTAGAAGCGGAGCATCGTTGAAGTATTTCTGGAACTTTTGTGCATCAAGGGTAGCAGACATAATAACAATCTTTAGATCTGGTCGTCTAAGTGCCACTTCTTTCAACAAACCCATTAAAATATCTGTAGCCAAAGTACGTTCGTGAGCTTCATCAAGAATGATGCAGCTATATCTCGTCAAATTGTGATCATGCATTGCTTCTCTCAGAAGCATACCATCAGTCATATATTTGAGTATGGTTTTCGAACTCGTCACATCCTCGAAACGAATGCTATATCCGACTTCATCTCCTAATTTGACATCCATTTCGTTTGCCACACGCTGCGCTACTGACATAGCTGCTACTCGACGAGGTTGTGTACAAGCGACGAGCTTGCCACTGAGGTGAGGTAGATCATCGTAGAGGACGAATTGAGGAATTTGTGTTGTTTTACCAGAACCAGTTTCACCGACGAAGACCAGGATTTGGGTCTTTTGAAACATATTAAGGAACTCCTGTCTACAAAGTAGTTAGCAACTAATTGGCAGCTTTCAGGCAATTTAATATCTAACCTTTGCTTGTGCACAGGCAAATCTCTTCTAGTCTTCAAGATATTGAGATACTGTTTGGAAAGAGGCTTATCGTTAAATGGATTCAAAGGGCCATCTTCCGCTTCATGTGCCTGTGCAGCAGTTGTTTGATGGCGCTTGAATTTCGATAGTCCAGATCCAGTGCCATTCGAACCATTGCCCCAATCATTACTTTCCTCCTCATACATATGCGCCAAATACGGATTCGACTTTGGATCCATATCTTCGGTTCTTGGACGCTTTGCTCGAGACATTTCCGGTTCTTCTGGACGATGGTCAGCCATTGTTGAAAGCTGATCAAGGATTGTTTGTTGTTATGTTTACTTTTCAAAGCTTTGCGCACAAGGCTGATGAGAATTCATGCAAAAATATTGCGGTTAGAAAAAGTTATCGATATGCTACAGGATTGTTGATTACGCTAGACTTATTTAAGTCACCGCTTTTGGTTCAGGTACGGATTATGTAAGCTAAACCTACTATGATTGATACTTAAGATATTGCGAATGTTGTAAGGTCACAACTCATAGTCATTATAGGATAGTCGAAGTCTATCCAGAATAATAAATATGGCTGCACCATCTCCTGATCCCGCTTTGGATCTTGTTCCCATTAAACAAGAAGAAGACGCAGTTGAAAATGGTTCGCCACCACAAGAACCCAAACTTCCAACCAAAAAGGATATCTCACTGAAAGAGTTCCTTGGGAAGATGGATGATTATGCTCCAATCGTAAGACTTGCTTGTTTAGTATTGTGTCTCATCCCATTATCTAACCCTTGCTCGTAGATTCCTGATGCAGTGACAAACTATTACCTCACAAAAGCTGGTCTTCCACCCCCACCACAGACAGATGCGCGTCTGGCGCGTCTGCTTGCACTTGCGACCCAAAAGTTCATTGCTGATATTGCGGCCGATGCTTATCAATATTCACGCATTCGGTCTTCGAATTCCTCAAGTGCCAATAATCCTATGGGAAACTTGGGTGCTGCAGCTGGTTTCCCAATTCCAGGTCAGCAACCTGCTGGTGCGACAGGAGGCAAGGACCAACAGGGACGTGGAGGACCTTTGGGTATTCAAAGACCCGGGTTTGGTGGTGGCGGACAAGGAGGTAGTCAAAACAGAACGGTTCTCACAATGGAAGATTTGGGTATGGCTGTGGGAGAATATGGCGTTAATGTAAAGCGCGGGGAGTTCTATCGCTAAATTCACGGCATCATAAGGCATAATAAGGTTGGGATTGGGTTTCAATGGCGTTACAAATGATCATTAGTTATGAAGAAGGTATAAGGGTTTACGGAGAACGACACGTCATGAAATTGTATAACGTTTCTATGTTCCAGGTACGGAGATTGGCCAGAAATTTATCTCATTTCATATATTTTGCGATTCATTCTATAGGATGTGTGGAGTTGGGTGCATGTCTTGTGAGGACCCTGAATCTGGTCGGCGGTTGGTCGAGCTTTTCATGACCTCGAAAGTCATGCTTCAATGCCAAAGGGCCGAGCCGTTATTCGACCGTGGAGCTGCAACGATTCCTCTGCAGTAAGGTTTTTATAGTCATTGGCATGAGTTCCTGAGAAGTAGGACTGCCACAGCCGTTTCACAGTCCTCATTTCTCACAGCTCATATGTCGTAAACAATATACACCAAAATGTACACCCCAACCCCAGAGACTCTCCCCCGACCCAAAACGCCATGCCATGCCGTACCATACCATGATGAACGCTTCCCCATCTACTTATTCTTACTTTGCTTATAAGTAAATCGTTTTCTCGTCCTATTCACAGATTAGCGCCTGATTCCAGTCTTTTGAATCTTCACAACATACATCGAGAATTCTCCCAACTTATGTCCCACCATGTCCTCCGTAATTGTCACCTCATTATAAACCTTTCCATTATGAATTTCAAACGTCAATCCCACAAAGTTTGGCAGAATAGTCGCAGATCTTGCTTGGGTTCTTATCGGCTGTGTTCGTACACCTGTCACGGCTTTGACAATTGGAAGACTTGTGAGGGGGTGATTAGAGAAGTTATAGAATCTGCGGGGGACATCTCACGGGACGATATTGGGGCCTGGGAACATTTCTTAGTAATTTTTACTAGCTTGGGAGGAATTGGACGAAACATACCTTTCCAGACCGACCGCGCGAGTAGAACTCTGCTAGGAAACATTGTGCTGTTGAATAGATATCAAATTGTATTTTTATCAGATTATGGCAACCTTTGTCGTCTGACAAATTTCTAAGTGCTCGCATTTTGCAGGGATAAAACACGCTAGTCCAGATCGCGTCTCCCAAAGACTGCAGGCAACCAAGAACACTGGATTTTAATTGGGACCGCGACTTTGAGCGGAAATCTACATGAACCATTAGTTATCTCGTGTTTTTGATGTTCTTGATCTCTTTTAAGTGGTTTCTGAGTCTGCGATAATCAAGATAACTGCAAGCTTTCTGGCAAGGTTCACGTAGAGCATAGAGTGGCCAGTATGCCGACTTTTACAGGTAGGTTATTTCTCTCAAAAGTATTAAATGGTTTATTGACTTCTCTGTAGCAGCAGACACAATACGGATACTTATTGCCACGGACAGTCATGTTGGATACGCAGAGAATGATGCTGTGCGCAAGGATGACAGTTGGAGAAGTTTCGATGAAGTTATGCGACTAGCAAAAGATCGAGATGTAGATATGGTTCTACTCGCTGGTGATCTCTTCCATTACAGTCAACCTTCTCGTAAAGCCATGTACCAAGTCATGCGATCACTGCGAATGAACTGCCTTGGAGAAAAACCATGCGAGTTGGAGTTACTGAGCGATGCAAATGATATTTTTGACGGATCATTCAATCATGTCAATTATGAGGATCCGGATATAAACGTTGCAATACCGGTTTTCTCTATTCATGGAAATCATGATGATCCCGCTGGAGATGGGAATTATTGTGCTTTGGATTTACTACAAGCTTCCGGATTGGTCAACTACTTTGGTCGAACACCTGAAGCTGATCGTATCCAAATCAAGCCAGTACTTCTGCAGAAAGGTCAAACAAAATTGGCTTTATATGGCATGAGCAATGTGAGAGATGAGCGTCTTTATCGTACATTCAGAGATGGTCATGTTAAATGGTTCAAGCCAGGAGTGCAACAAAAGGATTGGTTCAATATCATGGCAGTTCATCAAAATCACCACGCTCACACTGATACTTCATATTTGCCGGAAAACTTTCTTCCTGATTTCCTGGACTTGGTCGTCTGGGGTCACGAGCACGAATGTCTTATTGATCCGACTTACAATCCTGAAAAATGCTTTCACGTCATGCAACCAGGATCATCAGTAGCAACATCCCTAGTACCTGGTGAAGCTGTTCCAAAACACATCGCTATCGCCAGTATCACGGGTCGAGAATTCAAAATCGAAAAGATACGTCTCAAGTCTGTTAGGCCGTTTATAACGAAAGAAGTCGTCCTCGCCACCGACAAGCGAACTAAACATCTTGCCAAAGTAAAGGATAATCGCACTAAGCTTACCAAAGAACTCATGACCATTGTGGATGAGCTCATAGAACAAGCACGCGCCGAATGGATCTCCCTTCAAGACGAGCCGGAAGACGAACTCGATGAAATCCCTCTCCCTCTAGTTCGCTTAAAAGTCGAGTTTACAGCCCCAGAAGGCGGCAAGTTCGATTGTGAAAATCCACAACGTTTCTCTAGTCGTTTCATCAACCGCGTTGCAAATATAAAAGACGTAATACAATACCACCGCAAAAAAGCCAGCTCAACTCGTAAATCTGCCACTGAAATTGACCTCCCAGAAGAAGGAACCCTTGCCCAAGTCGCTGGCTTCGACGACGTCAAAGTCGAACTATTGGTTAAGGAGTTCCTCGAGAAGCAATCCCTTCAAGTTCTTCCCACCACCCCTTTCGGTGACGCCGTAGGTCAATTCGTTGATAAAGATGATCGTCACGCCATGGAAATATTTGTACAAAAATCCCTCAAAGCACAGGTTGAAGAACTAATCAAACAAGCCAATGGCGCTGACAACGAAGTCGGAGACGAAGATGAATATCTCAACGCCGCTATGGAGAAGTTTCGCGCCCAGCAAGAAGCACTGGCCGCCCGATCAGGAAATAAGTCCCAAAAACCCGTCAAAAAACTCAAACCTAAACCCAGACCCGCGGATTTCGACTCAGATCTCGATGGGGAATGGGGTGAAAAAGTCGAACATTGTGAGACAGATCATGGAGAAGATAATGATGATAGTGACGACGCACCACCTGCCCCTCCACCCAAACGTGGAAACGGAAAAAACAAAAGTGGATTTATAATCAGCGATGACGATTCCGATGATCCCTTCGCAGAAGCTGCAGAAGAAGATCCTAAACCCTCTACTAAAAAAGCACCCGCTAAACGTGCACCCGCTAAAAAACCCGCACCACCCAAAAAAGCCCCAGCTAAACCCGCCACCACAAGAGGCAGAAAAAAGGCACCAGAACCCGAACCAAGCGACGACGAAGACGAAGACGTAGAAATGGAAGAAGCGCCCCCTCCTTCAAGTAAAACGAAGACTCAACCGAAGAGAGCGGCTGCTACGAGGGGAAGACAGACGCAGGCGAGTGGGGCGAGTCAGGCGACGGGAAGAAAAAAACAAGTGGTGGAGTTAAGTGACGATGAGATTAGTGAGGATGGTGATGATGCTTTTGAACCGATTAGTGTACCTAGTTCAGGACGGGGTCGAAGGAGATGAGGAGCTCAATCGCACTTTTCATGCGTTCGATTCGCATGCTGCTTCTGCATTTTAATCGATGATGGTTGGATGGATTTGTGAGCATTTGCCATTATAATACCTACCCTTTCAAGAAACAAGAAAAGAAATGCTCTCAGAGCAGAGCAGAGCAGCAAACAAAAACACAGCACATATTACGAATTTACATTATAATGAAATGAATCACTTTATACTTATCTATCTATTCATCTATCTCTCTGTCTGTTTAACATTTCAAAAGAGTATTGACGAGTAGATAAATATTGTATTGTATTTTTATATATAATAATATACTCAACATCTTTAGTTTTAACTTTGTAATATATTATATTATTATCGGCTTGCTGATACTAAAACCTTACCGTATGTAAGGTTTACCCGGTGTAGATGATAGAAAATGAGAAACTTGTTTAAGTGAGTTACAATCCTAATAATCTGATTAGTCTAAAATACTCTGATAAATAATTTATCAAAAAGCTTGGTATAAGCCTTATAATTTTAGATAAATCTGACTTAGCTTTTTGAAATCATTCAACTCATTCAACTGTCACGTACTCTCACATGCTCTCTAACATCATAGTACTCACTCTCTTATATTTTCTTTATATCTTATTGATATCACATAATCATATTGATCTTATTACTTTTTACAAAGTTCTATTTTTTAAATCTATATCCTTATCAGGATAATCGTCGATTAGATAATAAGTGTAACGATCTGGTTGAGGCAGCGGCTGCCTCAGGATTCGTCTGATTGGTAGTTGTAGGTTAAGGTTAATAATCATTGGTTATCCATTCGAAGATGAATACATTATTAAATCAATTGGAATATAGATAAACTAATTGATAATTAAGTTGAATATAAAGTTTTTAAATTATAAAACTATTCTGATTATATATTAATGAGTATAAAAAAGTTTTATAAAACTTTAAAGCTTCAAAAAGCTTTTGGAACTCTAAAAGCTTTCGAAGTTTTCAAAGCTTTTTATTATATAATTAGGATTAGATTATATATCCGAGTTTGTTAAAGGTGGAAAGATTATATGAGACGATTATTATACAAATTTATATACGAATCGCCTTGTTTTTCAATAAAGTCTAAGCTTATATAGATATATTGATTATTGCTCCTCAATATATTCTTATTTTAATTGTAAATTGTGATATTATCCTCTTTTTAACTAAGTATTATTCTAATCGTTTATAACCCTTCGGGTTTCATCTGATAATTAGTGTTTTCTCTTATATTTTATTTATCTCTCTTTCTTTATTATAAACAATTCTGATTTCTTCAATAGTTTAACTTGAAGAAAGAAAAAGAAATATATATATTTAATTATAATTATTGATTTTGTTGATATTAAGATGATTCCTTATTCTTATTATTAACAAAAGAATTGTTATTATATTAAGAATCTTTTTAATAAATATTATTTATATTATTCGAAATATATACAAAATTTTGTTTCATATAATACTGAATTTCGTTTAAAAGATAATTGGGATTGTGAAATTCTTCGGGAGTATAATTGGGAGAATCTTGATCGACAAATCGATAAGTTGGATACTGAAATCGCTGAATCTTCTATTAAGATTGCTCGTTTTGTTAAATAAAAGATATAATTCAAAAAACGATATAATGAAATATTATATCGTAAACTCAAATACCTTAATGAACTTGATATTCTTGAAGAAAAAGAGTAAAAAAAAAAGGATAAAGAAATTCTTATAATTTTTTTATCACCCTTTAATCAATTTGATCAATTTAATCAATTTGATTAATTTGATTAATTAATTCCTAATCGATTTGATTAATTATTAATTGATTTTATTAACCCTAACGAAATTTTTATAAACGAATTCGATTTTTTTGATTTTTCTTTACAAGAAATAATGAATTCTTTTTTTTTTTGAATAAATCCGGATTTTATTAACGAAACTCCTAATACTTTTTCAAATATTTAATTTCTTTCTCAAGTTCTTATATATTTTCGGAATCAGAGTAATCTTCCTATTTTATTAAATACTTAATCTTATCTCTAATATATTTACAATCTAATATCTTTTCCATTTTGTATTCAATATCTTGATTTATAAATATGATTTCTATTTTAGAAGCTTTAGATACTTCTAAAAATGCTAATTCAAATAAGGATATATAGAATACTGAATATATATTTATACTTTTCGATAATACCAATTTATAATTCAAAAGTCTTTTAACCTTCTTGATTTTGAATAATTCGAATTTCTTGTAATCCAATTTTGTATTAGATCTTTTTGTTTCAATATTTTTTCGAAGTAAATAGACTTTATCCTTCTCTTTTAATATTAATTCTTGATTACATTTTCGATTATAATAATATATATTTCTTTCGATAATGAATTTCAATTTTATTATTATTTCTTTATAGATTTTTTTGAATCTTTCTATTTATATTATTACAAATTAATTCTT